TGATCTCCGCACATGTTTACAGGCTTCCATGCTTTGCTTCTACTTTTGGGCGACACTCTGGAAGTTTTTTCTTTTTCCCCATATTTATTGGAGCAGTCTTTAAATAGTTCCAGCAATTCTGAAGTACATAGTGCATTGAAATAAGCAATAGGCTCGTCACCAATATCTTGTTTCAGTCCGGAGTTCTTTAGAAATGGGAATTCGGTTGAATCGCTGATAGGATTTAAGGGCAACCACGATTCATTAGGCGAAACATAATCCGCTTGTATATAGTTTGTCCATTTTATAAATGGTTTTTTGACAGCTTACGCCCATGAAGTTTCGTATTTAATGGTTAACCGGTAAGTTAAAATTTCATACAAATAATATTGTACTTCATGGACGGGTACCGCCCCCTTATTGATGTGCCACACATAACGATTACTATGTAATGCGGGAACTTAATGAGACAACTGTTTGGCTCCAAGGTTCGTTTAATACTCTCTTAATTATAACAGGTCGTACAATATATAGGTATTGGGGAGGCTTATACACATACACACTACAACTACGATTGTGCCACAGATTACAAATAATCGATAGAAATAAATGCTAATATGTAAATAAGGTGTAATATGTTATTTAATCAGGAAGACAGCAAAATTTTAAGGTTGAAACCAATAAATTAAAATATTAACATTATGTAAAGTTTTACTTTCTTCTTAGCATGAGGCATACAAATAAAACAACTAAAATAGTTTAATTCCTTTTATTAACATGTTTCGTCAGAATCATCATTTATATTAGATTCGTCCGATTAGGAGTCTTCAGTTATATTAATTATTAACTCTTGTGTGCATAAATTATCAAATGCTATGTCACGGTCCCAATCAGACATTATGACTCTTTTAGTTCTCTCCACCACACTTGCCCAGTTCTCGGCCGTTACGTGGGTGCAAGCGTTTTTGAGTAATACTTTCTTAGATTTACGCGAATGTTTGACATTATTAAATAAAACTATCTTTTCGGATTATTTCGCGGATTTATTTTGATTTTTGGTTCCCGACGTTTCCAATGCTTTACAGCATCCATGGTCACGGGAGAGACTGAGGTGTTACATGTAACAACTATATCTTTAAGACAAGTAACAACTATATCTTTAAGACATGTAACACCTCAGTCTCTCCCGTGACCATGGATGCTGTAAAGCATTCGAAACGTCGGGAACCAAAAATCAAAATAAATCCGCGAAATAATCCGAAAAGATAGTTTTATTTAATAACGTTTTTGAGTAATTGCAACATTTTATTCGCTGTGAATGGGGGCCTTGTATTGTTTCTTGCAGCATGCCCTTTTACTTGTGCCCATATAAGTTCTATTGCATTGTATTGGCAGTGATATGGAGGAATCCTAAGGACGTTATGACCATATTCTGCTGCCATTTCATCGATCACATACCGTTTTGGTTTCTTTTTGGTTTTTAATATTTTTACCAATTCTATTTTTAACATAGAATCATCCACATTTTCTCCATTTTCGCGTAGCCAATTAATAATTTCATGTTTTTTATTGGCTTGCGTTGGCATTTTGTCAATTTGGCGAGAGTGGTAGGGCGCGTTATCAATAAAAATTATTGATGGTTCTTCCAATGATAAAAGCATATTCTTGAACCACTCTTCATACACCTCCGCATTCATTTCTGCGTGGTAATCGCCAGATCCCTTTGATTTAAATGCCAGCAGTGCGTCTTGTACAAAACCTTTTGCTGTACCTGTGTGGCAAATGATGAGGCGTTCGCCTTTTCCAATTGGTACTGCGGAGGTGGAAGCAGCAGTGTCGTCAGTCCAGGATCGGGATACAGTGTGGTTAGCGTTGAGCCATGTTTCATCCGCAAAGACAATATTTGGCCAATCTTGAATATTTTTGCCTCTCTTAAAAAGTCACATCGTGCCAAAGCAATATCAGTGCGTTTTGTTAATATTTTTCTTTTATCTGATTTTTTATACGAAAAGCCAATTCTTTTTAAAACTTTGGCCACAGAAGACTTTTGACCACAAAATAGACCACTTCTTTTCAAAGAAACAACAAGTTTTCTTATAGTTGGAATTTCTTTTTTCAGATAATAGTCATATACATGACGAATGGCGTCAGCGTCAAAATCGTCAACTGCTGTCACATCACGAGGCCGGCGTTTTCTTTTTGGTGTAACAGGCTTGTTTTGTTCTAAGCCGCTCCTGCCGTAGGCTTCGTAGTGATTTTAGTCATAGTTGTAAACCATGAAGTTGTAGCACTGATTTTCTCGATTGTCCTTTCAACACACTTCCTTTCGGCATTTTCACGATTAATGTACTCTGCTAACTGCTTAATGTAAGCACTCCCAAAAGTTGCACCGAGGAATAAAACTACTCAACTCGAGGTCTAACAAATGCGAGAGAACACTCAGCGAACGTAAATGCGTGTGACTAGCACGGGCGTTTGTTGCGAGTGACAGACTACGTCAAAATGGCGGCCGGACGGACGGTCCGTATATATAGTTTTACGATTATAATATTTATTTTCAAATTAATAAATATAAAAATAAATATTATTTTATATTTAAAAAATAAGGGATATCGATTATTACGTCCTTTAGGACATCATTATTACTTGTCAGTCGTCGAGCTGTCAAAAAACCATTACTAAAATGGACAAACTATAGTTATATTTTCTTCAACAAATTCAAAATCAGAGTCATCGTCAGGAACCATCTCTTCGATTACATTTTCAGACAATATATACAAAAACAATTCTCAGTCCATGATTCGATATTGCTGTGAAGGCATAAATAAACTGTTATATATATAGAAATATATAGATACATACAAAGAAATATATATTTATAAATATACTTTACATAAATTATAATAAAATACTTTACATAAATAATTATTAAGAGTGGAATTTTAGGAAACAGGGTTCGATACATGTAGTTACTCTGCATCCGAAACAAAAGGTAGACGCGAGGGATTTACAGACGATACACTGTCTTCGCATACGTTGGTGACCAGACAAGGGATACTGGGATATCCGATGTGTCAGGTCTACCTTTTGTTTCGGAGGTGCAGGCGGATCTGGGATAGGCAAGTGTTTGGAGAGGAGAGCTTTACATAAATTAATACGGAACTGTCTGTGTGAGAGAGGTGTGGGAGTCGAGTGTGCGTGTATTATATATGCATTTAATACGGAGACGCTTAAAAGTCTCCGGAAAATTTCTTATACCACACCTTTGTACGTTTTCAAATCTCATAGGTTTTGATGCCTTTGTTTGCAGCTTTATTTGGAATTTATAAATATACTTTACATAAATTATAATAAAATACTTTACATAAATAATTATTAAGAGTGGAATTTTAGGAAACAGGGTTCGATACATGTAGTTACTCTGCATCCGAAACAAAAGGTAGACGCGAGGGATCTACATACGACACACAGTCTTCGCTTACGTTGGTGACCACCAGTAATAGGATACTGGGATATCCTATGGGTCAGGTCTACCTTTTGTTTCGGACGTGCAGGCGGATCTGGGATAGGCAAGTGTTTGGAGAGGAGAGTTTTACATAAAGTAATACGGAACTGTCTGTGTGTGAGAGGTGTGGGAGTCGAGTGTGCGTGTATTATATGTGCATTTAATACGGAGACGTTTAAAAGTCTCCGGAACAATTTCTTATACCACACCTTTGTACGTTTTCGCTCGACAGTGAGTTCTAGTGCATTCATGTCTATATTACGCGAAAAATGTAGACATCTATTTAAAATCAAAAACCTGTCGATAGTCATGAGTGCACTAAAGACCGGAGTTGAAAATATGTCAGGGGCGGAAGACCAATACTCCTCCAACCTCGATTTGACCACTATCCCCATCGCCAGTATAATGCCAAAAAACGCATAGAGCTCGTCGACCGTTGTGTCTACCCAACGACCGATGCGGCTCCTGGGATGAAGATTTTGGTCAACAAGCATTTGTCTAGCCGCCGATTCCTGAGCATAAATGTTCGTTTCCAGGGCAATGTGCTCCATAATTTGACGATCCCATATGTCAACGAATATGTCATATGGGTCGACACATGGAGTGGTCGGACAAACATTTATCTGGGAAAACTTTTCCCTTCTCAATTCAGGCTGAATTTGAGAATCGGGAAATTGTTCCCACTTAAAATCGAAATAACTTATAGGTAGGTGAGTAGCGTCGCTGGCCGGCGCTGCAGCGACGGGCTCTGCCCCAGGCACGTCACATGCCTCTTCTGCAGCGCGCACTTCCTCTTCCAAGGGCGTATCGAAATACGCCGACGCAACCCTTGGGCCGAACTCGTTCTCCTCGCCCTCGCTGGAGTCCTCTTCACTGCCTATTACGAATGATAAATTGGTTCTAAGACTGAGTTGAGGTAATAAACATAAAAAAAAACATACAGCCGAATTGAGAACCTCCTACTTTTTGAGGAAGTCGGTTGAAAATTAAAATCGCAGGTACTTACCACAGTTGACAAACTCCAGGATCTCAGCCTCTGTGAGGATGCGAGAGCGAGGAGGAGGAAGGGCGCGCCCATTAAGACTTCTACAAACCTACAACAACAAAACAAAACAGTGTTTAGTATCTATATCTTAAATATCTTTATACAGATAAATAGAAAGTTCGTAAGTAACTTACATGGACGGCGAAGGCACCGACACGCACGGTGATGCTGGTGGTGCTGGGAAATAAATCTCCGCCAGCAGCTGCGCCGATGATGGCCGTGCTTCGGATCTAGATGGACATTGTAAAACAAAAATTTAAAATTAGTAATACAACCAGAATAATATCTATTAGATACTCAAGTAGAACTACTTACAGTTGCCACATGCGACTTTTTCTTGGCCGTATGTGAACCTCCAAAGCACGGCCAACAGGCACATCTTCAATTTGGCGCAGGTTGATACTAAAATTCGACACGATTCATTGTAATACTCAAAAATAATAAGGTTATTTAAAAATCTGAAAATCGCTAAGGTTGTAAGGGCCCGGGCGTTGGTGGACCCGTCCACGACCCCGCTGCCTCGCGCTTCTCATTGCTGGTAATAGGCCAGCCACTGCAGGTGACTGTAGCCCTGAGGGGCCAGCCACTGCAGGTGGCTGTAACCCCGTGGGGCCAGCCACCACAGGCACCTCGTCCACCACAGGCACCTCGTCCACCACAGGCACCTCGTCCACCACAGGCACCTCGTCCACCACAGGCACCTGTGGTGACCCACCCACACGACGTCCACCCCGCGTACGCAGGCCCCGTCGCCCACGGCGACCTCCTCGCGTACGCGGTCCACGTGGCTGCTGGTTTCTAGAAAAGATTAATTTAAATTATACGAAATTGATATTATTCAAAGTCGGTTAAAGTATAAAAAAATAGACTTAAATTAATTTAAATACAGCAACTTACATCGCCGGCGATGCTGGTGGTGCTGGGGATGGTGCTGCGGATGCTGGCCGTGCTTCGGATCTAGATGGACATTGTAAAACAAAAATTAAAAAGTATTGTAATACTCAAAAATAATAAGGTTATTTAAAAATCTGAAAAGTGAAAGAAAAAAATACTAACTCGCGTTGGAACCGTGCGGGAAGCCTCACGCTCCTAACTGGACGCCCTGAGGGGCCAAGTGGCTACTGGTTTCTAGAAAAGATTAATTTAAATTATTCGAAATTGATATTATTCAAAGTCGGTTAAAGTATTAAAAAATAGACTTAAATTAATTTAAATACCTACGTCTGAAAGGCTGAACCGATTCCGATGCATCTAAATACAACACGTGCCACATCATTATTATACATAACATAACCTTCTTTCATTCCAGTCGGTTAAAATATAAAAAATTTAAAAATAACGTCTGAAAGGCTGAACCGATTCCGATGCATCTAAATACAACACGTGCCACATCATTATTATACATAACCTAACTTTCTTTCATTCCAGTCGGTTAAAATATAAAATGTAAAAAATTTAAAAATAACGTCTGAAAGGCTGAACCGATTCCGATGCATCTAAATACCCTATCATGGAAAGATCATTATAGTTGTATACTCTAACCTTTCCTTTGTAAAATTCTACTCTAAAGCCATGGTTTTCCATTTTAAATACTGACAATAAGTTCTTTCTTAAATCAGGGACATAATAAACATTTTTAATAGTAAAATAAGACTCTTTTCTACCAACAAAACATTTTACATTAATATTACCTATGCCTTCTGCTTGTAACATGATACCATTTTTAGCTGCTGCAATTATTTTAGGTTTACTTAATTGTATGTAATCTGTAAAGAAACTTATCATTAGTTAAGTGATCAGAGCAACCTGAGTCTACACACCATGTAGTATAGTTACTTTCATTTATATACACCTCACTAATACACAGCGGTGCCTCCTCTTCTTCAACTGTTGACAGGAATGTGTGATGGTTCTTTTCATGGTGGTGTCCCCTATATTGTCCTCGTCCTCTGCCATGTCCACGCCCTCGTCCTGCATTACCTCCTCGGGCTGGTCCGTAACGTCCTCTCCCTCTATTACGGCATTGAAACTTCTTATGGCCCGGCAAACACCAGTTGTAGCACAGGAAAGCATTGTTGACAGCTGTTCTCCTCTGATTTTGTTTTCTTTCTTTTCTCCTCTTCCCCCAGCAATCTCTCTTTGACAAAGTTGACACTCAGATGAGTCATAGTTTCCAAAGTTGTTATTACCACTTCATATGATTTCGGCATACTGAGTAAGATGTAATTCACCTTTTCTTCCTCTGACAGGGTGGATCCTCCGTTTTTGAGTTGTGTAAACAATTCCTCCATTTGTGTACAGTGTGATTGCAATTTTTCATTTTCATTAAACTTAATTTCCATTTATTGTCTTCTTATAAAAATTTTACTTCTGGTATTTTTCTTCATGAAGTTTTCTTCTAATTTCTTAAGCATCCCATATGCCGTTTTCTCGACTTTTATATTTTCGATATGACTGTCTGCGATGGAGCTTACTAAAATGCTTACTGCTCTTGTTTCCTTTTTTATGTTTTCTGTTTTGATCGCAAAATTCTCATTTTCTATAGCATCTAAGCATTCCTGGGGGCTTAGCCATATTACAAACGTTTCCTATCTAATCTCTTTCTATCATTGGTAGCGTATTGTCGATAGCTATTTTAGAAAACGATTTGATGCTAGCCATATCAACAAAACTAGTGTCTACAGTGTCAATCGTTCATTCTACAATGTGGATCGAAAAATAGCTTATTGTGAGCGTTCCTATACACGTCAAAGTCACGGTCTTGTTTGAAAAATCAAAATATGTTTTGTTTTGTGATAAAAAAGTGAGTGAATTATAATGGAAATACTTGAGTGTTCAATATTCTTATTTTAACGTAAGGATATTTACATTTTACGTCAAGAATGCAGCTTACGTGAGGTCGATGTAGAGTGGATGTTTTTGTTCAGCACCTATGAAGTGGTTGATAAGTGATTTAAAATCGTCGCTTAAGTAAGTATAGCATTCCTTCAGAGTAATTAATTTATATTTTATTTGACAAAATGAAGTGACTCGTAATGTAAGTCGTCACTTTAAGAAAAATAGTTTTGTCTTAAAAAGGGTCTATTGAAATATTTATGTATTTGACTTTGTAGTTATTAGTGTTACGGGGATGGAAGTGCGCAACGGAGGGGAAAGAGCTTTACTTTAAAATGGGTTAGTTAGCTTAAGTTCGACACATTTCTAGCTGGGGTACTGAGTCTGTGTGTGTTGTTAATATCACAGTGCCAAATATAAATAAATTATTATAGTGAGGATGGAGTCCAGATGCCGAGCTAGCCCAGAACAATTTCAGCTTTACTAGAATTCGTGGAAAGGTACGTATATTATTATTAGTTATCTCAGCTTATAGTCATACTCAGGAACTAGAAAAAAACGAGGCTACTCTTACTGAGGCTTTAAACTATAACTGTATATTTCAACAATGTAATGTAGACATTTTCCCTAACACCTTAAGTTTATTTAAAGAGAAATTGTATTTAAATATTTAGATAAGATTAAATTGTTGAACAACTTCAATGTCACTACCAATTTTAATTTATTAGAAGACAACACCGGGGTACCTATATTGTCAATATATAATATCCACTTTTTGCCCAGTTTTGTTTATTGGGCCATAAATTTTTTGTTTCTTGGCCGATTTCGATGTTTTTTTTTCAATTTATGGAGGATAAAATGCACTTTGATTTGATGATATATATATATATATATATATATATATATATATATATATATATATATATATATATATTTGTTGTATATTATTTATCATACTTGCGTTTTGTCGCATTATATAGGGGATTGTAACTGAAGATCTTTTTTTAATTTATTCCTCAACCACATAAAATTTAATTAAAATATTTCTACACAAAGCTGTGCCTTTTAGTTAATTAAATAGAATTAAATAGAAAAGAAGAAAATTAATTAAATAGAAAATAGAGAACTATTATTGTGTTAAACTCATGTCACTATGTAAATATAGTTAGTAAGCCTTTGACAAAAAATAAATAAAATATAATAGGTTTACTACTTGCATAGAAAACAAACAAAACGCTTGACACCTCTAGGTAAATTTCTAAGAAATTAATTAAAATTCTAAGAAATTTATTGTTAACTGACATGCCGGCGTGTCCGCGCTCGTGGAGGGATTAATCAATAGACCCTTTATTTTTCTAATATAGTTTTAATTTATAGCCATGGAGATATAGCAAGACCCCAACAAGGGGCTCAAGGCAGGATAAGGGCAGACCATCTATGGCAGGAGTTGAGAGAGTTACTTAACTCCATTGGTGGAGGAGTCAATAGATCAATGGAAAAATGGAAAAAAGTGAGATCCATTATTTTAATTCTCAAGAAAAGCTCTCAATAAAATTATACATTTTTTTATAGGTATTTCAAGCTCAGACTAGTGTTAGCATATTTATCTATTTTAGTTTAATTAAAACAATTGCAAACCAATCATAAGGTACAATAAATATTTACTATATAGTAAAAAGAGGCAAAAATAATTATATGAAAATATGTCCTTCATCTTTCTCACACAACTTTAAACATACTAATAAAATCTGTTCATTATCAATAAACAGAATAATAGTAGATATCAGTGTATATAACAATCTGTTCACTTAATTGACTGTATAATTAGATAACAACTTACATTATTTAACATTAACTGACTAATATCTGCAGGTGTGGGCGGATTGGAAAGCCAAAACAAAAAAAAAGGCCTTGGCAATGCGTCGCGAGGCTAGTGGTACTGGTGGTGGTCCAAGCAGCAGACAAACTCTCACAGCTTCGGAACAAAGGGTGTTGGGCATAATGGGTTTGTCTGCTGTTTTTGGTCTAGTTGGAATTGAGGAGAGAGGATTTGATGTTAGTTATTTACTTTCCTTGTGATTTTTGTAGTAGTAGTTGTAATAATAGTAATATTAGATTACTACTACCCACTAATAAGTGGGTTTAGGTTGAATTCTTTAATGTATATTTGTCATATCCTCAGGAACCACCACTTCAAGGAAGCCCTCTACCATCACCATCCAGAGATACCGTCCACACTGAATTTCCCTCCCAAACTGCCGCAGACGAGATTATGTTGTATTCCATAGAAGGTACTTTCTACTTGTATTCATTATGTGCTAAAATGTATTTGCACGTGAAGGATTATAATGTATAATTCACACCTTGCTTTGTATTGCCCAAAGGGTTAACAAAGCGTTAAGTCATATAAATAAAAATTAAATGCTGTTCATTGGTAAGGGCATTATTTGAGAAGTAATATATATATATAGATATATATATATAGATATATATATATAGATATATATATATCAGTTTGTAACTATAAGTTTTGTTTCCTCAGCGTCTCCTGCCCCATCAGCTCAACTGCCATCTCCCTCTATACTTTCACGTCTTCCTCCAACCCGAGTGTCAACACCACCGCTCGCCTCTGTGACCACGCCGATGCCGTCAGCGACGTCTCGTAATACAACTATACGAGGCGAACCACAACGACGAAGGCGTCCGGCGACCCCTTCGCCCGTGGCGTCACCTGCCACGTCTACGCCGCGGCGGCATAGGCTGCTTCGAGCACGCACAAGGCGAGTACAGACACCATTTGAACGAGCCACGAGCGAGTTCGTAACCGTCGAGAATCGCCGACTGCAATTGGAGGAAGACCGCGAAAAAAATAACCATCAGAGGGAGATGGAACGCCTTCGATTGGAATCGCGAAGGATTGAAATGGAAGAAATCCAAAATCAAATGTTTAACCGTTTAACTGGGATTCTAGATAGTTTGACAGAAATTTTAACTCAGTTGAGACCATCATCACTGGCTTCAACAGTTATTCTGTCTTGATGTGTCCAGTAATGGTGGCCTCACTTGTGAATGTGTCAAATTGTCTGATTTTTCAGCATCTTTTATTTCAATCCTTTGCAATTCTTTTCAAAAAGGAAATAGGTTTTTTTTTAAATACAAATTTTTATTAATGTTTTTAAATTTATTTTATTTTTGTTAATACATTTTAAGTACATTTTTATGCTAAAAACCTCGTCTTCCTTACAATAAGAGTTTACATAATAATAAAGGCATTTAGTATAATGAAAACATTTGTTTCATTTTTACAATTACTTATTAAATATTATATTCATACATTTTATAATATACATATACCTAGTAAAAAAAGAAAAATGCAAATATTCACATTAATATTAGTGATGTAGATAACGAATATTCGAATATTTTTTGACAAGTATTTGCCTTAAACGAAATAATTTCCCATTTGTTCTAGTTAGTCTAATTGAAAAATTTAAAAATATCACATCTAAATAAAAAAAGAATATCCAGCCTTATATTTAAAAAAAGATTCTAAATTATCTCTTTTGTGAAGAACGAACTGAATTGACGACACGTTTGGCTCAGTGTGTAGTGACCCTACTTGTTGTGCCAGCGGTCGCGGGTAGAGGTCCGCTGGGGGCATTCATTGTCTGATGAGCATGAATGTTTGTACTCCAGTCATGGGTGTTTATATTTAAAATATGTATGTTTTTAAAGTTTATATATGTGTAGTGTATCAACTATCTGGTATACATAACACAAGCCTCGTAGCTTACGATGGAACTAGATGGTGCTGTGTGTTAATGTCCCAACATGTTAAAAAAAAACTTGAGAAGACTAATCAAATTAATAACAATATCTAGGACTTATAACTCTTGTTACAATTATAGAAGGTTTGTACTTATTTAGCAGATTGTAAACTTTTCATTTACAGAAAACAAAAATATATTTGAAACAAACTTAAACTTATAATATCCAATATGTTATATAACCTTTGGCTTTCATGTATATTTTTCCATTCCATTATATATATTTTTCTAAGAATTAAGGCTAATGAATTATAAACTAAAAAATAATAATAGTGAATACTTAACTGAACCGTTTGTAAATAAAGTTATAATTTCTTTTAACAGAAAACAAAACAATATTTTAACGGTTATATAAACAAAAGTAAAGTTCTAATATCCATAATTTTTATTTAACCTTCGGTTCCAACGATATATTTTTTCACTATATATTTTCTTCTATATATTTAATAAATAATATGTTATTACCGACACAGAGGCGGATTTTGTAGTTTTTAGAATTTTTGTCTGTCTGTTTGAGAATGCATCAAGAGAAAATCACTGGACAGATTTTGATGAAATTTTGCATAATAGTAGCTGCGTCAACATAAAGGATACTTTTTACTGCGGGAAAATATCTCATTTTTGAGAAATCTGTACTAAACGTTAAAACGTATTATATAATAACTATAAATTAATGATAATGAAATATAAACTACACAATTATATGTTGATAACAATGTTGACCAATAGAATAATAATTAATATTAATTATAAATAAACTTGCTGTAACTTTAAATTCTTAGTAATTAAATTGATGTAAAGGAATCTAAAGTTTTAAAATAAAAGATTTCAAGCTCTTTTTCCATGCAGCCTATTTTTATTTAATTTCAACAACATTCGCATTCGTGAATATTGAAGATAAAAATTCGCATTCGCGAATGTGAAAAATCGAATATTTCTTACTATTACTAATTAATATGTACAACTAGCCTAAAACCTATCAAATCAAATCATTTTTGTTATCACAGGTGCACAAAATAACATAGAAAGGTCTTAATTCTAGATTCAGATCTTTGTGATATACAATGAGTTATTTAACTAGTTAAAACTGTATAATACTCCTAATGTAACCTATTTAATAAGCAATTCAACATGGCCCTACCTTGGATTAGCTCATTTTGGCTATCTATAGTGGTAGAGATGGGAGCTCGCATGGGTATATCACTTTCATCCTCATGTGCAACTGGAAGTGGTTGTGGTAATGGTAAACGGGCTTTCAATGCAATGTTGTGCAGGACACAACATGCCGCTATTATTTTGCTAGCTACATAAGGATGATAGTGAAGTGTCCTATCTCGAAGCAAACATCTCCACCGTGCTTTGAGTAATCCAAAACAGCGTTCAATGCAATTACGCGCTTGCACATGTTTTTGGGTATATAGTTCTTCTCTTGAACCTGGAACTGCATTGAGGATGGGAGTCATAAGCCAAGGGCGTTGTGGATATCCAGAATCACCTGAAAAAATTGTTTTTGTAAACAAAACAAACAAATTCTTCTACTACTACTTACTACTACTACTACTACTACTAACATATCAATTACATCTTTCATGTTATTTTTGTAAACACTTACCTAATAACCATACTTGTTCATTATTTTGATGAAGTTCACGCATGTATGATTCAGCTTTACTAGATGACCATATATGTGAATCGTGTGTAGCTCCACCAAACTTTGCATTCACATTTGTGATGCGAAGATGACTGTCACAAATCTGTAAAGTGAAACTAATATTCAGAAATGTTTTTATATTATTTTACCTGAAACAAGTCATAAATAAATACAATTACCATTTGAACATTTAATGAATGATACCCTTTTCTGTTATAAAAAACATGTTCTTCATCATTGGGCTTAACTAAAGCCACATGGGTGCAATCTATGCACCCAATTACACCAGGCAGACCAAATCTACTCTGAAACCTAAAACAATAAGTTATATTATTAAATGCATTACATGTACCTAAGAGTAAAATTGTAAATATATAATATGATACATACTCTTGTTTTACATCCTCTGTCTTGCCTTGTTTTCGGAAACACAATCCATTTTGCCATAATAGCGGGGTGGTTCAAAGCATCCACTACTTGTCGGATGCAGCGACTAGTTGTGCGTTGAGGAAGATTGTGAGTAATACCAACAATTCGTTGATAGGACCCTGTAGCCAGGAAACTAACTGCGCACAACTCCTATAAAAGACAGCCAAAAAGAAATAAATAATAGTGATTGTTAGGGTTGTGTAGGCTTCGATAACTAAATGGACTGTTTGCTGGTATATATGTATTGTTTAACATTGAATTAAAATATCACATTTTCATCATGTACATTTAACAAAAGTCTTATGCAAGTTACACCATGCGTGCGTGTGTTCATGAACTCATGTAATGAAACAAAATAAATGGTAGGCTAGGCACATTTATTCTTGTACTTAAAACAGCAGAATTACATATTTGGCATATCTTACCTTAACTTCTAGTGGAATCTCATTGGATCCTTTTAAAGAAGTTTTCCGTCGTAGGTCTTGAACGAGGGCTTCGAAAGTCACTTTGCTTAACCGAAATCGTTGTATAAACAAAGTGCCCGACATTTCATGTATTGTTTCGATATACTGACGATATAAATCTCTTTGCCGGCGTTTTAACCACACTTCTTCGTTATGACCGGACCGCAACATATTTAAGGTATACATTTTATACATTTTAAATGCTAAAAAGAAAATATAAATAGTCTAAAATCAACGCGAATTAACAAAACACTTCTATCTTATAGCAGCTGTGAGCTGATTCTAAACTTTAAAGTTATAGACGCCACTTTTTTAGCGTTAACTCGAGGGTCTCGCCGTTCGATGATAGCGTTAAAGAACTTAGATTTGAATTCTCAAGCGCTTGTCAAACGTGCAACTTGGCTACCATTTTGTATGAGATCTTGTGATCCACATTGTAGAATCGCTCAGTTCGTTTCTATTTTTAGAACGAACTATGTACCTTGTAAACTTGGCTACGAATTTTCAATTCGATCGTTTTGACCACGTGACATATCGTTCAAAATACGTAATGCCCATACATTTCATTAGTTTTCTAAATCGTTAACGATTGTAGATAGTCAACATGGCTAAGCCCCCTGCTCCCTTAATATAGTTTTCAATCTGTATTTCCAAGTATCGAAATTTTCTCCTTCAAACTGTTTCATTTTACCTAACTCGTATTGTCCTGACGCCATTTTGGTCGTTACACGTTGCGTTCGACGATGTTTTTTCTTTCGTAGACTGCCGGAGGTTTTTGTGCCGGAAACTGCATGGAACTACGCTCTGCTACCACTGTTAGTTATTTTGGCAGTGTCGAGGAATAATAAAACTCTTCATTTGAAACACTTTTTCTTTTATTTCTCATAACCTTACATTATAACATCAATCTTACAAAACTCTTCCCCCTTTAAAGTTGCCATAGACTAAAAAACATTCTAATTTCAAAGAGTATAAACTAAATATTTGGAAGTGGAACATTGTCCTTTCCTCAACAATACATACGAAGAAATATATATTTATAAATATACTTTACATAAATTATAATAAAATACTTTACATAAATAATTATTAAGAATGGAATTTCAGGAAACAGGGTTCGATACAGGTAGTTACTCTGCATCCGAAACAAAAGGTAGTCGCAATGGATTTATACACGATGCACTGCCTGCACTGACGTTGAGGACCAGCCAAGGGATATTGCGATATCCGATGGGTTAAATCTACCTTTTGTTTAGGACGTGCAGGCGGATCTGGGATAGGCAAGTGTTTGGAGAGGAGAGCTTTACATAAATTTATACAGAACTGTATAAATTTATGTAAAACTTATTGAAATCGGTTAACTAATTTGGGAGATATGATATCACAGACAGACAAAGGCTTTAAACTTATAACACTTCTTTTTTTGCTTCTGGTTTTAAAACGCCCTTTTAGTAACAACAAACTAAATTGAAAGAAGTTAGTTACTTTTTCAGTAAAACTATAGTAGTTGTAATATTCAAATAATCTTTTATAACAATAGTTGGAATATTCAAATATTATTTTAGCTTCAGCGCGAGCGAAGCCCCAGGATCTGCTAGTTTATTTATATCAAATTAACAGCCTAAAAATAAGTTTCAAGCTTCTAGGTCTAAAAATGACGATAATTCCATACAACTTTTCATCCCCCCTTTCAATCCCTTACAACCCTTTTTGAGCATTGAAAAGCAGCTTATGTCCTTTCTCAGGCTCTAGACTATCTGTGTACCTAATGTCATTTAAATCAGTTCAGTAGTTTTTGCGTGAAAGCGCGACAGTTACTTTTGCATTTATAATATTATTCTAGAATAGTAAGGATAAGGTTTATTTTGAACTGTAATCATTTATGTAAATTATTTAATTACCATTTAAAATGTGTTCATCTACTGTTGCATTTTGCTGTTTGCTTGTGCCAGAGTGCAGAGGGGCTGAAATTAAAATAAAAAATCTATATTTGTATCCCATATTAAACACAATAAAACATCTATACATTATAAATTAATGTAATAAACATACCAGTTTTGCTTGCAACATGAAAAGGGAACTCTCTTAACACTTCATCAGGCAATGGTGCTGCCAACAAATTCAACTTGGGGTATGCCCTTTTTTTAAGTCGGTTCCCTTTTTTATTAAAATCTCTTTTTTCAAAGTGATCCCCACATACACTGCGCAACTTGTGAAGTTTCTCTATTGGTAGAAACACAAGATCTTTTTTACCAACTAACATGACCAAAGCTCGACAACTGTAAGTAAACATTGTATTTAAAATAATTAATGGAAAAAATATATATACAAATGATGTGTCTATCTACCATGAAACACATAATACAAGCTATAAAGTTAACTTTCGGTATTGTTTGAATCTTTCGTAATCCATCCATTAACATCTTCAAAAAGTCTGAGGTTATTATTATGATTATGTAGATTTGATCATGTCGCCATCATAAGAATTAAAACTCCATTTAGAGTATAAATAACTCAAAATTTTAAGCGTCCCGTCTGTAATCACTGGCTTTGAAGCGAATGTATAGCAGTAAAGTAATTCTACTCATGGATTTTTAGGTTATACTTACCGGTTCTCATCCAATGGAAAACTACCGAAAAATCCACCCCTGCGGCTTTCATTAATACCACACACTTCACACACTCTTTTTCCACCCATACTTATTGAGTCTATTATCTCACAAATGTTAATAAATTATAAAAACTATAACAGTCTTATCTAATAATAGTGTCAAACCACCAAAGCGGAGAAGCCAGGTTCAATTCAACTGTATTACGAAGAGAGAAATAAACGCACGTAGCACTAAAATATCTTAATTTTCACTGTGAATACTAAAAGCTAAAATCCACTATAACAGTAGGTGCTATAGCGAAAGAAAGTTTTAGATACACAGCGTCCATTTATATGTTTTGATTTGGTTCGAAACGGAATGTTGGACATACTGTCTGTGCTGCCACTTTATAACTAAAAAAAAGGATTTTTCATTTTCTATGATGGCAAGTTACATGTAATATTTGTAGGTTAGTAGAAGAAGTACAGAACGCCGTACATTTTTTTTTTGTATGGGAGTTTCGACAGGCTGGTGTGAGGTATATTACGGATTTCAATTTGTGTTGAGTTAGCCTGCCTTTCAAAATCTTCCATTCTATCACTTAATGTAGTTATAAATTTTTGTTGCTCCATGCATAATGTCTCAGTAGTTTGAAGTTTGAGTTTAATGTCTTCTTTATATTCGTTCGAAACAAAGTTAAGGGATTTTTCCATTTCGATATTATTGCGCTGAATTTCGAGATTTTGCCTTTTCACCTTGGATATATCCTGACTTAATTTACGAAAAAGATGATAGATTTCAAATATTCGCGTAAATCTTAGAAAGTATTAGATTTTATGTAATTAAAATAATTGGCATATTAGTCTTGCGTCGACTTGGGATCTTGATACATCGAAATACCTATGAATGATATTTAAAGTTATTTGTTTATCTGCAAACACTACGTTGTTTGTAAAAAATGTTTAGATATAAATGTCTTATGTTTACACATAATAAGCGATTATAAATTTGCTTTATTGATTATGTGAAGTAGTTGCAACTACTCCTTTGTTGCAAATAGTGTGTCATTCGGATTTTGAATAAGAATTGTCTTAATTAAATATGATAATAATGTAAGTAAAAATCTTAAATAATATTATTTTTGTCTAATATTTATAGGTACAGAATTTTATTAGATTGAATTTAGTAGTGTACATATAAAATTCGCCTTCATATTTCCCCTAATAAATATAGCTGAGAACTAAAGATAATATTTTCTTGTTTTCTGTTTTTACGACGTTTGACTACACGCTTGGCTGTGTAGTTACCGTACTTGCTGTACCATCGGTCGTGGGTTCGAGTCCCGCTGGGGGCATTCATTTGTATGATGAGCAGGAATGTTTGTACTCCAGTCATGGGTGTTTATATTTATAATATGTATGTACTTAAAGTTATAAATGTGTAGTGTATCAACTATCTGTTTTCTACAACACAAGCCTCGTAGCTTACCTTTATTAATTTAGTTCAATAAAGGCAATTAAATTGTTGCCATAAAAGAAATTATTCTTTTATGGCAACATATTAATTGATATTTAATTAATAATAATTAATAACTAGTTTTATTACAGGCTTACTTGACATACATATATAAAAAAAACAACAATGCTATAGAATAAAACTAATATTTTGTTGAATAGTTAGGGTTTAAAATGTAACTAATGTAGTTAAAATTAAATTAATGGAAATAAAACTTGAAAAATAATAAAACATTAGCTTATTCACATTATCAATATATAATTAATACATATTTGTATCATTGATTATTTAATATATAATTTTTAACTGAAACCTCTTATTTCTAGAGAAATTACTTATTACTCTTATATAATAGTGAACATTTCTTTTAGATTTTTTCTGCATTTACTATTGCAGTCCGCATTTTGCTTTTGGGATATGGGAACTACTACTAGAAGTCCTAGTCGTGAAGATAGGTTAGAAAGAACGAGTTTTTTTAGATGGCAGAGGACAGAATTTGATTCTATGCAGTTTTGGTACCCCTCTTTTGACTGGAAAGATATTCGTAATCGTCGTCGTCTTCAAATGATAGCGGGAATATCTATAGGTAAACGTCTATTAAAAGGAAGTGTAAGAAATGAACTCTTACCAAAGGCCGGTATAAGAAACCCGTTCGTACTTTACCATATTTATTTCACTTTTCAAATCACTTATCTATGACAACTTTTACTTTCAGCATTATTTCAACTCCAGAAAATACAACAGCCTTTCTTTTTACAAAATACCTCTTTTGTACCTTAAAATTTTTCCACTTCCACATATTTCAATTAAAGGGTATATGTTTTGACTTTATTTTAAAAATCATAATTCATACTAAATACAGTTTTTGGTGTTGCCATGTCTACAAGCTTGGCAGGAAATAAGTATTTCATTTGACTCTAAATAATAGTGATAAATACATTTATTCTACTCTAATACTAGTAACAATTCATAATATTGCCAATACAAGTAAGATTACATTAATCAGTTATTTTAATAAACTACTAATTTCATCCTGTGGGTTTTTCTAAGATTTTAAAGTTGCTTTCAAATAAGCCGGAAAAAGTGCTTAGGAGCTGTATTACTAGGACCGGTACTTCTTTTAGTTTTTTACGGTCTTCTAAGACGTTAAAATAAAAGTTAATATAGTCTGGCAAACAAAAGTAGAGACTTAAAAAAAGCGGCAAATTTAAAAAATCTTAGTCTAGTAACCCCAAAATTTGTATGAAATGAATGGAATAACCTAACTTGATACTTTAGGAGTTTTTTTTGTGTCAAACAATATTTGTACACTACTGCTTCACGGCACTTGGACAGGTCCAAAAATGGGAACCTATGGTACTTGTTGCATGTAAAGTCGTATTTTTAATCAGATGAAGTAAACTGAAGTTTCGAGATGTAAAATCATGTCTACCCATTATGATCCAAACCAAGAGATACCTCGTGCGTGACATTTCAAATAGTGATGCAACGGAACTGGCATAACGGAAGCAGAAACGGAAACAGATGTCAAAAGTAAATCTTAACGGAAGCGGAAACAGAAACGGAAGCGGAAACGGAAGCGTTAACACTATGAAAAAAAAGCACAATTGTACATTTAAAACTTTTTTTATTAAATTTCTATGTTAGTAGTCAAAATTAAACAGCGGCAAGTTATATTTAATAAAGAGTAACTTGGCCGCTTTTTCACCTTTCAGCCTATTTCGATGTTCTTCATATATTAAACCAGCTCCGCTAAATAATTGCTCGCTGGCTACACTGCTGGGGGGAGCTGATAAGTATTGGCGAACTATTGGCAAAATATTATTATATTTGTGCGCATTTCCATTCCACCACATAAGGGGATCCTCATGAAGAGGTAGCCTTTTTTCTTTCTTGTACTCCCGAAGGTGTGACTGTATCTTTAAAAGTAAATTGTCACCATCGTCAGCTGTAGAAGAGTCCTCCTCCTGGTCTTCATTTACACTTAACATCGATTCCAATATTTGCAATGATGCTGATGATTTGGAAGTAGAAGGCTGGACTTCAATGTCTTCAATTGCAATTTGAGTTCGGCTTCTTTTGGGGGAAGGTTCGCAGTCATCATCTTGGATGGAATTGGATTGTCTGGTTCTAATAGTGTTAATCGTCATATTAAGTAATTTAGATTCAACCTGCTCTGCAATGACGCTGGTGAAAAAATGCGATTTGTATCGCGGATCCAAATACGTCGCAATAGTGTATTTGTCGTCTTCGACCAGGTTTCCAAATCTTACACTTGAATTCAATTCATCGCGTAATTTTGTTATAAAATTTATGAATTGTTCTGAAGTATTAGGTTTCGTCTCTTCTTGTTGTAATGTGGTCTTAAGAACTTGAATTAATGGTATGACTGATGAAATACTGATTTGAGAACTACTTAGATTTCTTGTTATTTCTTCAAATGGCTGCATGAATTGCACAAATTTTTGAATATTCATCCAGTCTTCGGGGGATATCATCGCGATTGGATTTGCGCTTAGGTACAAGACAAGCGAATCTTTGAGTTTTGAAAACCTTGCCATCATGTAGAATGTGCTGTTCCATCTGAAATTAAATCAAATCAATTCAATTTTACTTGCTAGAAATATGATCAATAAATAGATGGTCACAGAAAATAAAATGTTAGATATTTCACCCAATGATGGCTTGCAAAAATTTATACAAAATTAAATGTCAAAATATTAGTTCTTTTCAAAATATAAATCCAAATTCAATTACCTAATCTTAAAAATATATTTATTTATAAGTACAATCAAAAAACTCCTATAACTCATAAAAACATTTGCTTATTAGTAATTTAATAGGTATTTATATTTACCTTGTAGGACAATCCTGAATGACAGAAAGAGGAGACTGATTAAGGCGTTCCTTTTGAATTTTTGTAAGCTCTGCCTGTGCGACCAAGGAATGATTGAAATGGGTGGCAATTTTTTTCAATTTAGCAATAAGTTGTAGGAGCCACTCTTGAGATTCAACACCTGCTCGTATGCACAGCTGAATTTGGTGTATTGCGCAACTGATATCCTCAAAGCCTGACAACTGCATTGCTCTAACCATGTTGGATCCACGATCACGAACCATGCAGTGAACTTTTTGGCGATCAATGCCCCATTCTTCAAGAATCGTTTGAAACTTTGTTGATATTATGGTGCCCGTATGACGTTCATCCATGACTTCACATTTCAAAATTATAGTCTTTTTGCGAAAATCTTTTGAGATCCCATGAGCAGTTAAACTAAGCAATGAAACAGCAGAATGAAGTTCCGACCATATGTCGCTTGTAAAAGATAACTTGTCAAATTCTTCAAGTAAATCTTTGGTCTTCTTTGCTAACTTATTGTACAAATTGTCGCACACATAGGAAGAAAAAAAATCACGGCCTCTTATCTTGTACTTTGGAAGAGCAGCTTGCATTACTCTACGAAATCCTGTACCTTCGACAAAATGAAAGGGTAAGTTTTGGAGGGCAATCATTTCAGCAATCGTACGATCCATTTCTTGAGATTTGTGATGCGATGAATCCCAATAATCCTTTACTTGTAGACTTTGTTGTAATGTTAATTGTCTTTTAGCGTTTTCGGTTGGAGTTAACGTAACCTACAATTACAACAACATAAATTGGTTACGATTACTTCACGAAATAAAACACGTATCCATACTAATATTCGACCACTAGGCCACGCACGACCTCACTTACTCAAAGTTGGTAAAGTAAGTAATAAATAAATATTAACTGACCATTTCTTTTTTCGTTTCCGATGAAAGTTTGACAGCATCATTTAACTTCTCAAACTCTGCAAACCGTTCGGCATGAATTGATTTTAGGTGACTCTTTAAAGCTGTAGTTGTGCGGCCTTTTCGCGAATACACTTTTTCACAAAGTTTGCATTTGGCACTCGAGTCGTCGATTTCATCAAAATAGTTCCAAATGGGACTTGTTTTTGGTTTCATAATTGCACTCTTATTGCACTAAATACAACTAGGTATCAAGCAAACAATAACAGAAGAAAAAACAACTGAAAATGTCACTACTCAAAGTCACGGGGCGCGGAGATGCGCATAGTGAACTAAAAACAATAATTAAATAAACGAACGAACTCGTTGTGACACGTTTGTTTACCGCGCGCCCCTCCCTCCCAAAATACGCGGAAGGGATTCGGTAATTATCGGCAGCACGCGCGCCTGGACGCTCGACGCTCGTGTCATTCGTCCACGCGCGGCCCCCGCAACCGCCCGCGCCGTGCCGCCGGCCGTCGCGTCTGCTGCACCGCTCGCTTTCTCCCCGCTTCCGTTCAGAGTTCTGTTATAAAATTTGCGGAACCAGAAGCAGAAACGGAAGTGAAAAAACATGCGGAACTTCTGCAGTTGCGGAAGCGGAAGCAGAGTTCTGTTGCAACACTAATTTCAAATATCAGTTAACTTCGTTGGAATAAAAATACGACTAGGTATATATTATGTGATACTATCTGAATAAAAAAAACAACAATATTCTATATTAATTTTGGTTTATTCGCTATCATAATCTGAATCTAGCATTTCCATGTGGAAAGATTCATTAGACCCACTAGAATCAATATCTCCAATATTAATAATGAAACTTTCTAAATTATTTTCTAATATTCTGTCTCTTTCTTTATATTTATTTTCGATGTGAATTATATGATCAGTATTTTTTTTCCATTCCTGTGGAGTTATGCTTTCAAAAGACTCTTTAATAAGTTTATCTAACTCCACAGCAGGCAGGGCAATATTTATACTTGCCACTTTACGTTTAGCCAAACTCCATACCAGCTCAATGGCATTTAGATCGCAGTAGTACGGGGGAAGTCGCAATACCTCATACCCATTCTGCTTCAGAAGTTCATCAGCTTCATATATTGGTTCTGCTGTGTTTCATTTCACAAGACATAGCAGCTCTGCTTTTGTGTGATATTGTTCAAATGGAATATCATTCAAAGTAAGCCATTCTCTTATCTTATTTTTGCGACTTTGTGATGTAGGAGATTTATTTACAATGGTTGAATGGTAACTGGGATTATCCATTACTCTTGGTTCATTTAAATTGGGTATGAGCTTTTCTCTTAGCCATTTATTAAAGTTAACGGCATCTATGTCATGATGGTAATCTGCCATTTTAGATTTAGTGCTAAATATTAATAATGAGTTAGGCACAGGGCCTTTCTCTGATCCAGCATGTACAATTATATACCTTTTCCCTGATGAAACATTTTCAATCGCACCACTTGTAGATGGACCTTGCCAAGACTTCTTGGGCTTGTAGCTTTTATGAATATTGGTCTCATCTAAATAAATGATTGACTTTCTTTCTCTACGTTTCAATGCAATGGTTCTTAAAAACCGATGTCTCCAGGCAGCTATGTCATAACGCTCAATTAACAATGAACGCTCATTTTTATTTCTCTTAAATTCATAGCCATTGGACAATAATAAGTGGCGAAGTGTTTTCCGGCATCCAGTAAATCCAATGCTTTCCTTTAACTCCACTAACAGAGTTCTCAACGTAGGAACTTGTTTTCTAACAATGTAATATTCGTTAATTTTGTTACGAATAGCATCTTTATCGAAACTGTCTAGGTTAGATACTGTGGGCTTATGTGGCCGTTTTTTTCCTGGGGTATTCCAGACACCTTCATTTACCACACCTTCCTTTTTTCTTCTTTTTAAAGTTGCAATACTCACTTCTGTAAAGAATGATGAAACTGAATGATTAGGTGCTGCATTTTTAATAGCAAATCATGTAGTAAATTATATCATTGTAAAACTTATGTATGTATTTAGTAAAACTGACCAGTCATTGAAGCTATTTCATCCAAATACTGGTTCTGGGTTCTTATCCTGTCTTTCTGCTCTAAAGCTGTAAGTTTTTCAATAGTTTTCACTATATCATCAACCCCTGCTACATTCTTCAGATTTTCTGTAAACTAAAAATAAATATTAAATAACAATTTGTATTAAAATTGTTGTGCATTATTATGATGGTGTTTAACGTTTTTTAAGCAGAATGTGAACCAAACACATCAATATTTTTTGTAAAATCTTAAATAATAATTACGAATACAAAGTATCAACATCGCAGCGTCATACTAACTTATGAAATCCAAAACCACACGTAAACAATCTTGTTTCTGGTTAAATAGGGCTTCTTTCTCCTGTTGTTTTTCTTCAAACTTAGGAATCATGCGAAACAACATCTCTCGCACTCCACTTTTAATCGTTTTATTCATTTTTAAGTTGGAAAAATGCTCTTACAACGTCAAAATAAATAAAAAACAACACAACAACAATTTTGACAAATTGAAATTGACATAAATAAAACATTGCCATATGAAAAGTTTTCAAATAATTCGAGTATCAACTTTCTTTTGCCAGACTTCTAGCTGTTAATTAATTAGAGCGGTCCGTTACCGGTGGACTTTGTGCAGACGAGTGGGACTAAACTCCACATACGTCGCGCGGCACGTTCATCCCCGTCCTGCGTAACGCGCCTAAGACCGGTTCCCAACATTTTAATATAATGTTGTATGTTCTATACATTTAGTAAAATTCTAACTAAGGTGAATCTGTACATTACTCTTTTGGAAAATCTTATTTAATTAGACATTATTATCGTACAGAGACCGAATCTATATTTTTAAGAATTTTTGCCTGTCTGTCTGTCTGTCTGTCTGTGACTGCACGGAAGAACCACTGGAACTGGACTGAAATTTGGTATGATGATAGCTGATTACCCGGGTCAACATATAATAAGATACTTAATAATGAGGCACTATAAGATATGGTTTCTCTGCTAGGAATTAAGAAATAAGTAGTAGATACAATATACTCAATGCCGTTATCTAAGATAAGCGGCTCGGTTAGACCATCAATTTCTGTTAAAGCGTTAGTGGATAGCTTGCGTTCAGTACTTTTAAGTTTTGATTTACTATAAGTACTAAAAAAACACGAATTTTTGTTTACAGATTTTACTCCGCTCAGTACAGCTGCGATGATGAATCGCCGAATCCTTGTCACCGCAGCTAATTTTCTGGAACCAGTTATGAATAGAATGAAAGAACTACGTATTTGGTGCTTGGGCAGAGCAGGTTATTTTGATACGCCTTACAGATATCGCGTCTTTCGCGTTATGCGTGTGCTCCCAAAAAGCAATAATCCGGAACACCAGCACGGTCCAAGAGGTTCTCATGTTCCCAGACATGACGTTGCTGTGATTATCAGCTTAGATCAGATATATATTTGGTATAGAAGACCTACCCACTACCAGTATGCCTACCCGGGGTCCTTAACATCTCCTCGACACACATTGGACCCTGAGTTGTTAATGGCAGGATCTGGTTTTGAATACTTAGAACATATTTATGAAAATTACAAAATATTCTACCATGTCCTTCCAAGAACTGATGTTGTTGATTGTTCAAAATACCTTCCCAAGTGGTGGGGTAAATTTATTTGTATTAAAAATTCCAAAGGTTTTCCTGGAATTCAAAATGGGGGTGCACTTATAACTGAATACAACACTTTAGTCGGTGTCGGATGTTTTGAAATACGATACAATGATGATAAAATATTTGTGTTCACAGATTTAAGGTATTACGTGCACTGGATATATAAAGCCGCGGAACTTTATCCCGGTCAGTATTATGAGTATGCCTATCCACAGTGGGGTCAGGTACTATCAAGCATATACGATGGTCACATGAATTGGCCTTACATTCCTCACCATCAAAAGCGTGATGATTTATATCCTTTAGGGAAAAAATAGTTGAAGAAAAGGCTAGCTAAAAATGATTTATAGTATGGGCGCGTACACATAGAACGTCCGATTTTACAGGATCCTTTTTAACTGATCCGTCGCTACTGGAGGTAATATTCACACAGCATTTACAGGACCGATTTTATTCAGTGTATCGCCTACTTTCTACGACGATGGACGTTGTCGTATTGTATTGGTACTATGTCGTCTGCGTCGGAGGAAGCCTCGGCGTTATTGGACACAACCATTTTTGCAAAGATTTTGTCGAGGTGCTCTTGTGCGTCAGCTGCAAGAACACGAATCTAAATTTTTTACTTATTTCCGAATGACGACATCTACTTTTGATGACCTTCTTAAAAGATTAGAAAAGGATTTAAAAAAGAAAGACTCAAACTGGAGGAAAACCCCCGCACCCCTGTGCCAAGCCTCGCGCGGTTTCGATCCGATAAAACGGGTTAGTATTTCCGTTGTGTGTGGGATTTTTTACTGTATCCGTAATAATGTCACGTGTGTGAACTGGCTCATACAACTACATACGCTAATAACATATAAGTTTAAACGGACCTGTAAAATAGATTGCCGTTTTTTTGTCGGATCGGAATTTTTTACTGGATCCGGAATACTGTATTCTGTGTGACCTCGCTCGTACAACTACATACGCTAATAACATATATGTTTAAACGGACCTGTAAAACGGACGTTCTATGTGTACGCGCCCTCACTTGAGTAATTTAATAATAAAGTATTTATAAGTATTACGCACAATTATTTTTTTTTGTGCTATACCACAGTTATGTGATCTAGGTTTCAGTTTTAAATCATGAGATTCTACTTAGGGCGCGTACACATAGAACGTCCGATTTACAGGATCCTTTTTAACTGATCCGTCGCTACTGGAGGTAATATTCACACAGCATTTACAGGACCGATTTTAACGGATCCGTCGCTACTGGAGGTTAATATTCACACAGCATTTTTACTTATTTCCGAATAACGACATCTACTTTTGATGACCTTCTTAAAAGATTAGAAAAGGATTTAAAAAAGAAAGACACAAACTGGAGGAAAACCCCCGCAACCCTGTGCCAAGCCTCGCGCGGTTTCGATCCAATAAAACGGGTCAGTATTTCTGTTGTGTATGGGATTTTTTACTAGATCCGGAATACTGTCATGTGTGTGAACTGGCTCATACAGCTACATACGCTAATAACATATACGTTTAAACGGACCTGTAAAACGGACGTTCTATGTGTACGCGCCCTTAGTTATTCGTCAACTACATTGTTTAAAATATATACAAAATAAAACTATCTTTTCGGATTTTTTCACGATTGATTTTGATTTTTGGTTCCCGACGTTTCGAATGCTTTACAGCAATCATGATTACGGAAGAGATTAAGATTTTAGAGGTTTAAAAGGTGCTATAATATAGCTGTTGCAGATAGTGTCTACCCACAATTTTACAAAATGATTTCAGAAATACAAAAATGGCACCAAAGTATCAGGATTAATAGACCCACCCCCCGTCCTCATTCTCTCTTTTTTTTTCTAGGTTTAACATAGCTTTGCGCCGAGTTTTTAAGTTATCCCAACATTTTTTTTGTTGTATTTATAGTTCTCTGAAAAAATATATATTAGAACTAACTTTATAACTCTACTATTGACTGTAGATAGGTACACATTTTTTGGTGCACCAACAAGTATAAGCAAATTGTTACTTAATTTTGATATAACTTCCAAAATATTTTGATTATCTTAATGTGTGATACTTTTTTGAACTGGTCTTGTTGTTCTCTATCAATTTATATGTGTTAGAACTCTCTCTTTCTCTCCGTGTGGAAAAGAGGTAATTTCTCGATCTTGTTTTTTTCGAAGATTTCACACACTTCCTGTTGTCGAATAAATCCGATTTTGGTGTCGTTAGATTGGTCTTTTATTGTTTTTTAACGCACTATTAAAAAATAGGGGTCGTCGATTTAGAACGCGTGTCGCACGAAAAAAAACCGTTCAAATGTTTTAAAATTTTACGTTTTCGGGTCAAAAAAACTGAATTTTGTGCACTTTTTGTGTCCCGAAATGCATTGTCACTTCCTAAACCTGTTTGTATAGTTTTTATACTTTTTTCAGTCTTTTATTCATTTTTAATGAATTTTTTGCACTTTACATCGCTATTAACTTATGCGGAGTGTCGTTCCCGACGCACTGGGCGCGTGTGTTCATTCCAAGAGATCGAGCGGGACTCTGGTTCTAGAGGTTAGTAACCTCAGGTTATGACTGGTTGGTGGATGACGTGCTGTTACTTTTTACTTCATTTTACGAGTTTCTATTGGATAATGCTTGTTTCTGATTGGCTAACACAACGCGTCTTCCGACTCTCTAGCCAATGGCATCAAAATGTCAAAACCGTCAAAAATGACTTACCTACGTGGTGTGAAGGTGCGTACAGACTATGTAACATAATTATATAACTTGTGTTTTATAACATGTCCACATTATGTAACCTTGTTATTCAACATTATAACATAAAACAATACTGTACACATTAGAATAACAATGCAATATAACTAATGTTATATAACCATTGTCGTTTGTCGTTCTCCAGTGCTATCCACAATGTCGACACGAGAGGACGTTTTGCTGGCTGCGGCAGCGACTGTTGTAATTTTAAATAACAAAAGAAAAACAAAAAAACGTAGATGCTGGGTTCGTCCTAGTTTATTGACCAGAGGAAAATACTGTGGCGAAACTATGGTGAATAAATAACCTTATTCATGAAAATACGCTCTATGGAGAATTACGTGACAACGGGAATATTATAAACTTTCTACGGATGTCCAGCACAGACATAGAATATTTAATAAATAACGTGGGCCCTAGAATAAAAAAGGAAGATACTGCGTTCAGAAATTCCATATCAGTTACAGAACGTTTAGCCATCACATTGCGATTTATAGCCAGTGGGGATTCATACCAAAGCCTTGAGTATGTATTTAAAGTATCAAAACAGAGTATTTCTTCTATCGTACCAAAAGTGTGCACAGCAATAATAGACTCATTAAAACACGAAATAATGGTATGTACTTATTTCTTTATTAAAAAATGTTTGTTCTTACAAAAATCTGAATCGTTTTGAGGTAGTCAAATATCAATAAAATTATGTATTATTATCATATCCTTGTGATTGTTGTAATTTTAACAATATGTCGTCAAGGTCTTCCGAAAACTGTGAAGAATGTGTCCGTATGTGGTAAATCTGCTCGACCAGAACTATTGTTTAGAAAAGAACTTGTATAGTAGCCTCTGTCGAAACTTGTACTTGCGCTGCCGCTGTTTGAACCAACTGTATTGGCGCTGCCGCTGTATGAACCAATTCTATTTGCGCCGCCGCTGTATAAATTCATTTCAGCTTGGAATATAATATTATGAATTTGGTTTTGCACTGTAGAAATAGTAAGTGGATCCTGTAAATTGCGCAATCTACAAACAATATACTCCCCAAAAACAGAAAAATTATCTCGTGTTTTGCGCTCAGTTTGCAATTCCTTCATTATGCCGTATGCTTCTTTCTGAGCTTCCAAATTATCAAAAGCTTCTTTCTGAGCGTTCAAACTATCGAACGTTTTTTTCTTTTTTGGAGAAGTACGGTTTTCTTGAGGGTTGTCCTGAAACAAAAAAAAATATAAGTTTGCTATCTTTTCCAGATGCCAAGAACACCTGAAGAGTGGAGTGTCATCCCAGATGACTTTTATAAATTATGGCAATTTCCACATTGTAGTGGTTGTATGGATGGAAAGCACGTCATGATACAAGCACCTGCCAATTCAGAAAGTGAATTTTACAACTATAAAGGGTTTTTTAGCATCGTACTATTAGCGCTTGTCGATGCACAATATCGTTTTATGTTTGTTAATGTAGGTAGTCAAGGCCGCATATCTGATGGAGGTGTGTTTGCCAATTCAACACTAAAAACCATGTTGGAAAACGATTCTCTTAATCTACCTGCTGCGCGTCCACTTCCTGGAAGAATGTTACTTACACCCTACGTTTTTTTGACAGATGACGCATTCCCATTAAATAAAAACATTATGAAACCGTATCCAGGACTTCATAATAAAGGCTCTAAAGAACGAGTTTTCAATTATGGACTAAGTCGTGCAAGAAGGGTTGTAGAAAATGTTTTTGGGATTATGTCCTCTAAATTCAGACTGTTAAGAAAACCCCTTCTCTTGAATCCTACAAAATCATCTAACGTAATACTCGCATGCACGTACTTACATAATTTTTTAATGAGGAGTGATTCACGACCATTTTATGTGGGCCACAGTGTGAATTTTCAACAAAATACTCTTGACATGGATACTGTAAATGACCTAACTGTCGAACCTGGGAATGATTTAACAGAAGCGGCAGAAGTTCGAAAAGAGTTTGCTGATTTTTTTTTAACAAATGTTGGAAGTGTACCGTGGCAAACAAATTACTAAACTATATCGTCGTAATTTCTCACAGTATTTGTCTCGACTGGATTAGAGTTTCAAAAAATAAATAAAGAGTTATAATTACAATGTGTGTTTTTCATTTGGGTACTTAATTCTAAAATATTATCATAAAAAGAAATTTTTTTACCTCTGAAACGCCCGCTTCGTTTGTAGAGCGAACCTTATTTTATCTCTTAAAAATAATAGCAACTCGAATCCGATGAGCATCATGATAATAGCAACTCGAATCCGATGAGCATCATGATGATTGATGATGAATCAAATCATGAACATAATCATGTGCGCCGGAGGCGCACGATTGTTCGATTACTGTTGTTGTATGCGTTGGATTTAATGAGAAATTTTTAAGATAAAAAATTTCAAGTTATATAAATACTTTACGGTGGTGTTTTACATGATAGATTTTATAAAGTATGACGTCATAGAATTTATATATAAAAGCGGAGTTCCATTATTTTTCAACAATGACTCCCGGTCGTACGCTTCATAGAGGTCAAGCTCGTTACGCTTCCTTACAAAAAGCTTATTCTAAGGCTTGGAGACAACTATCAGCTGCAGAAAAATCTCAGTTCAGTAATTATAATCAATGGAGGTTAAGTAATGCTGGAAGAGAAGTTAAAAGATTATTTGATCAAGAATATCAAAAACAAAATAGATCCGATACCACCGATTCCAGACGTAATAACGACGCCGACACCACCGGACCCTCAAGAATTGTTGATTTTGACACCGAAGACTTTAATTTGGACGATTTATTTATTGAGCATTTGGATAATATTGACGAATATATTAATATGGCAGATGTACAAAATAATGTGCCTTCGATGCCGTCGGCGTCATCTGTCGCTGCGGGAGGTAGTAATGCGGAGCCTATGGATACCACTGGATTGGGATCCAATACAGGAGCAGCAGGAAGAGCTGGAGTTACTACATCGGAATCGACTGGCTTAGCTAAAATTTTACCAAATCCAAAGCTAAAAGTCATACATATGTCATTCTCGAAAAAATGGTATCATTATACTTATGGATATGCTCACACAATGATAAATGGTGATATTTTAAGCAGACAATTAACACCATATGCATATTATCCAGTAGATTGGGTGCCATGGTATTTATCGCCTCAAGAGTTTACAAGTTTACCGTTTAATTCTAAAATTGTAAAAGTGAAATGTGATATTCACTTGTGTGGAACCAGAACATCGTTTGATCACGGGACTACATTATCTGGCACCGCAACTACCGAATATGTTCCCGTTATAAAATGGTGCGTGGGTTTGAATAACAAAATATATTTGGATAATCGCCCATTAAAAAGCGAAGCCACTGAACCGATGTTGCCTACCGGCGTGAAGGACAAATCATTGGAAGAGCAGTTCGACACTATGTATAAACCTGCTGGTTCGAGTGAGATACCAAGACATTTAAATTGGTATGCTGGCGTCATATTTAATAAAACATCAGGGGCTTACGATGGGTTGCCAGAAATAATTAATTATAGAATGGATAAGATTTTGCATACCGGTTTCGCTAATAAATGTATGCATGAAGCAATTGTGAATTATGAATACAGTCCATCTAATGGTTATATAAAACCAACTAAAAAAGTAGTGATTCCAATGTATAATAAAAAAGATGGATTTGCTGATGACGTTAATTATAAAGAAGTCATTTATAAACATCAATTGCCTCATATTATAAAATTATCTACAACAGAGGGTGAGAGAGGTATTGTACGAGCTAGCCAAGAACTCACCAAAACATCATACGACTATGTAAATCGTACATCATATACATACTATCAATCTGTAGAAGGTTATACGTTTGTACATGTGCACTCTGGTCAACATTCGTCATTCCGTAATCAACCTCAAGTGCATTTAGGTTTACTCGCTACGCCGGCATTAAATCCAGCTACTGAAAATACTAATTTTTTGAATAGTTCTTTGTATACGGTAAGCTATGCACATTGTGATGTTGAATTTGACATGGAATCTATGTGTACTAGTGGAGATCCTTATGATTGGCCTGAAGATGTTAAAATGTTTATTAATAAACAAAAAGGATTTCAAGGATATGGTGCTCAAATTATGGGTGTTACTGCTACTGTGTCCGGTCGTGTTGAGTCAAACAGAGATGTCTCTAGAGCAAACAGAAGACTTAGAGCAAGCCCCGATCAGGTTCTTGTTTCGCGGAGATCACTCAGAACCCCCGATGGTAAAACTAGATCAGAACGCGAACATCGAGGAATACATAAATTGGCAAAACGATTCAAATCAGTCGGAGTTAGAAATGTTGAGGTTGGAAATAGGGAGCACAATGTTCGAGAAATGCGAGGGTCTTGCGAATCAGACCCAGACATCGACCTCTACAGCTACGAAAACATCGATGACTTCGACTCTACTTAATAGTATTACTTTTCAAAATTGTATATTAAAAGATAAGTGGAAAAAAGTTGTACCAACTATTAATATTCAAACAAGAAAATCGTTTTATGATATATTTAAAGATTTTGTAAATTTTAATCGTAATATTGAAAATAAAATGAAATATAGAGGAGATTGTTTATATTATGCAAAAAAGACTCCTGTTAATGTACCTACAGATTGCTATTGGAAAACAATGCCTGTTGATAAAACTGAACATAGACTTGCATGGGAATTATTTAAATTCTGGCATACATATGGACCTGATTTATTATATACTTTTGATTTTGTTTTGTATGACGAAGTTAATTTAATTGATAATCAAAATAAACTTTGGTTCTTAATTGCCTATTTAAAAGTCATTACTAAATTAGTTGACAATCCATTAGATATCGTTGCCCTAGTTCAAGAAAGAACTATTTATCGTAAATTATATTTACAAACAAAGGCACGTATCGATAATTTAGAACGGATTGTTGGTCATTTATTTGATAATAAACAAGTACTCGTGGAAAATAACATAAAAATAAAAGATAACCCACAAGTACATACATTGTTAACCTTGTTATCGGAAAGCGATAAGACTGGCAAACACAATACATTAATTACTAACATAGATAAGGAATCTAATGGTGAAGAAATAAAAGATAATAAAAATATTATTGTAAAACCTTTATTTTTGTTTTATTAAATCCATTTCCCAATTTTCAAATTTAAAATTATTCATACTTAAAATATTATATTTAAAAAAAACATAGAATAATGCTATTGGATGTGGTTTTTTCAACAAGTATTTCAAAAATGGTGCAACACGCCATGTATATTTCCATACTCTACTTCTAAAGGCATCAGTATCTGGTATAATATCTCTGTTAGTTAAGACAACTATTGGTGTCCGCAAAATACAAGCATCACCTTCATATTTAATTCTAGCAGCACACGTGTCACCGCCAAATAGAAGTTTTAATATCTCTTCAGAACCTGGTTCAAAATTTGGTTCATTCCATAATAATATACGTCTTTGTAAAGCATCTTGTAAAGGAAATCGATCATACTTGTTGAAATTACCAATTTGTCCAAAATTAATACAACTATGTATAACACAATCAAAAAAGAAATTTTTACCACTACACGAAGGTCCTACAATACAAATACAATTTTTTTTCGGTACCTTCTTATCAATGAGATAGTATAAAGATTTTAAAAAAATTATATATATTTTCTTCATTTTCGTTAAATTGAAATTTCAATAGTTCTTCTAAAACAGAAACACTTTGATATGCGTCATAATAATAATCGGAAACAGCATTCCATGGAGCTACATATATTAGCTTATTCATAGAAATGACTCTTGTTTTTAAAAATAGTTCTCTATAAGTCATATCAACTATTCTTTGTTGAATATTGTGAAAACATACCGTTAAAATTTGTTTATTTTTGGGTAAATATTTATAAGGGCCGTTTGTCCAATGTCCGGCATATATAATGTTTTTCATTGGTGTTATAATGAATGATTCTAACCACTTTTCCAGCCTGATACGACCTTCTTTTCGGTCTTTACATTTTTGATTTTCATAACGTCCTTTGTCATCTGGCGTCTCAGTTTCATTACTAGATCGTATGCAGGGGATGTTGGCGAAGAGATCACTGTTAGTGAGCTGTATGTGCGCTTGGTCCAATACTGATTCTTCGGTAATTTGGCGCAATCTTTGAATGGGTAAAGCTCTAACTTCACCAGCATACACCCACGCTCTCCCGGCGACGTTATATTGATATAACCGTCTGCATCCTTTACTAAGATAGATTGCGAGATTTTTCCAGTACTCTGTACTAATGAATGAGCTTGAGCAAGATTTGCGACCATACAAGCGTAATCCTCTTCTTCGTCCACTCCTTCTTTCTCCGAATCCGAGTCGTTCCATGTCACTTTCCTCTTTTTCTTCGGCGTTTCTGGATGAATGTCCACATCCGGTTCGCTCTCGTCCTCTACACTCCCTTGAGTATTTTTCTGTTGTTCCTGGAATAATTGACCGACTTCGTATTCGTCGTCGCTGCTCAGTTTCCTCAGCCTCTTCGATGGTGATTTCTCCTTCAGGAATGTGACTTTGTTTTTCGTTATCCCAGATTTGTTCTTCTTCGATATCTTCGGTAACATAATCTCTGAGTCTTTGGATGTGGACGCACCTACATGTACTTCCTGAATATTGGCAGTCGTGGATGACGTGGATATGCCTTTCATGTTCGCCGATGATAAATATTCCACTTCGTCCTCTGATTCCTGTTGACGTTTCTCCAACTCCATGATTGCTTCGGAATAATGGTCGAATAATATTGAGCTCAAACCTTCGTCCCAATCCATCGCTTGGAGCTTCCCATATGTCGTGGATAATCCTTCTTCGCAGATCCACTCCTCGAAGACTCCGAAGCCACAGTTCGTCAAGTTTACCTTTGCATTCTTTGCGTGTATTAAAAATTCCTTCATTATTTTCGTTATCGCTTGTCCTATTTGATATAATTTCATATTCTTTGTTGCTAACGCTTTTTTGTTGACTAATTGAAGCCATGGTTTCATTATGCGTAGAGTTATGTCGCTCTGCCACAAATTTTCCACAAATAGCCACAAATAGGATTTTTCTTGATCGTCGATATTTGCTTCTTCTTTGTTGACATCAGTTGTTTTCCTTTGTTTATTTTTTTTGGAGCAGGTTCCACTTCCAGAGCATACTGCGTATTCTGTACCATCAAATTCTCCGTTATTTCCTCCTGACCTTCGTTCAAAGCCACAATCTGAACACAATCGTCGTTTTCTTGAAACATATTTGGATATTGATTGTTGTTGTCCATTTGTATTCTTAAACACCAAAAATTCTTTGAGAGACTCAATGATGTTAACTTCCCGAACACTTGAAAGCGAATGGCTAAAAACTCCACCGTAAAGTCTTTATATAACTTGAAATTTTTTATCTTAAAAATTTCTCATTAAATCCAACGCATACAACAACAGTAATCGAACAATCGTGCGCCTCCGGCGCACATGATTATGTTCATGATTTCCACATTGTAGTGGTTGTATGGATGGAAAGCACGTCATGATACAAGCACCTGCCAATTCAGAAAGTGAATTTTACAACTATAAAGGGTTTTTTAGCATCGTACTATTAGCGCTTGTCGATGCACAATATCGTTTTATGTTTGTTAATGTAGGTAGTCAAGGCCGCATATCTGATGGAGGTGTGTTTGCCAATTCAACACTAAAAACCATGTTGGAAAACGATTCTCTTAATCTACCTGCTGCGCGTCCACTTCCTGGAAGAATGTTACTTACACCCTACGTTTTTTTGACAGATGACGCATTCCCATTAAATAAAAACATTATGAAACCGTATCCAGGACTTCATAATAAAGGCTCTAAAGAACGAGTTTTCAATTATGGACTAAGTCGTGCAAGAAGGGTTGTAGAAAATGTTTTTGGGATTATGTCCTCTAAATTCAGACTGTTAAGAAAACCCCTTCTCTTGAATCCTACAAAATCATCTAACGTAATACTCGCATGCACGTACTTACATAATTTTTTAATGAGGAGTGATTCACGACCATTTTATGTGGGCCACAGTGTGAATTTTCAACAAAATACTCTTGACATGGATACTGTAAATGACCTAACTGTCGAACCTGGGAATGATATAACAGAAGCGGCAGAAGTTCGAAAAGAGTTTGCTGATTTTTTTTTAACAAATGTTGGAAGTGTACCGTGGCAAACAAATTACTAAACTATATCGTCGTAATTTCTCACAGTATTTGTCTCGACTGGATTAGAGTTTCAAAAAATAAATAAAGAGTTATAATTACAATGTGTGTTTTTCATTTGGGTACTTAATTCTAAAATATCATAAAAAGAAATTTTTTTACCTCTGAAACGCCCGCTTCGTTTGTAGAGCGAACCTTATTTTATCTCTTAAAAATAATAGCAACTCGAATCCAAACCATTTTGAAGAAATTTCTTCTGCTCCTGCCCCCGATCGAGGCTTTTTTAGTTCTCTTTGAAACTGTCGAATTAAACTTCGCATCTTCTTTTCAATAACACTTTTCTGTATCGAACTTACTAGCCAAATCTATCCATGCGTCATGTTTTTTGTTGCGATCCTTAAAATGTTCACTTGTCGAATCTCACAATTCTCTTCTTTCTTTAAAGTGCTCAATCAGTAAAGTAAAGTGTTCTCTTTGTTCCACTCCATTTTAAAAACCACAAAAAATGAACACATCTACACCCGTCAAAGTCAACTTAAACACTGCCACCACCCCGCCACCCGCCGTTGAGCCCGCGCGTTTGAGTACACGTGACTAAGTAAATTATATAACATTGTGGTACATTTCAATAACATGTTATTATAACATGTTTTATAACATTCAGTGTCCACATTATCTAAAACATGTTGTATAGCAATATTGTATAAAATGTTATGTTATATAGTCTGTACGCACCTTTAGATCTTCAGCAACGATAACCTATTATATATTGGATTAAATTTTATTTTATTAGTTGGCTGTATGAAATAAGTGTTTGCCTGTTTATTTTTTATATTGTAACACCTGATGGTGTCACTACTTTACTTCCTTCTTCCGGTTTTGTAAAGCGAGCGTCTAGCGTCTACTTACTGTGCAAGTGTGAATTTAAATAAACTTTTCATCAGAAGTCTTGTTTATTAACCTAATCTCAATAGGTTATGGGCCCAGGTCCACGTAAGTGAACAATTGGTGATAAACAAAGAGCAGAGAAAACAGTAAAGTACTAAGTGTGATTTGACAGTAAAACCGCGTGCTGCATATAACCTAAAATGGAGTTTGGAAAGACAATGAACCTAAAAAAATTCGATGGAACTAATTTTAAACAGTGGAAATTTCAAATAAAATGTGCCCTCCGTGCCAAAGGGTTAGATATCTACACGCTAAAACCAGAAGGAAATGCAACTTAATGGAACAAAGATGATGGGATGGCAATGTTTATATTAACATCGGCTATGGATTTTAATCAAATAGAACTCATCGAAAATTGCGAATCAGCGCTTGAGGTGATGACGATGATTGAGTCTATATATGAACAAAAATCCGAGATGACTAAAATGATGATACATTAGCGTTTTTATCAATACAAAATGTCACCGGCAGATAGCATTGCTCAGCATATAGCTAAAGTAGAAAGTTTGGCTAAACAACTAAAGAAAGTGGAGAGGTTATTAGTGATACTGCGATCATAACTAAAATATTGAGTACACTACCTCCCAAGTACAGATCTCTACGCCAGGCTTGGATGTCACTCGATACTCGAAATCAAACTATAGTTAACCTAACAGCTCGCTTGTTAGATGAGCAGGCCAGCTTAAATGTAGAAGAGAATGAGACTGCTTTATTAGTGTCAAAACAAAGTACAAAGAAGAGAAACATTCCATTAATAAAAACACACAAAGAATTAAATGAAAAGTCACATCGCTTCACATGTTACAACTGTGGCAAACGTGGTCATTATGCAAGAGATTGTCAAGCCCCTAAACAAAAACATAAGCAACACAGTGAAAGGAATATGTTAGCTTTCAATGTAGCAAATACAGATTTGAAAAATAATAATGAAGGTTTACAATGGATATTAGACAGCGGTGCCTCAGCTCACATGTCTTATAAACGTGAAAACTTTGTTGAATTGTATGAGTATACAGGATCTCCACTGAAACTAGGAAACCAAGAAGCTGTAGAAGTGATTGGCCAAGGAAATATTTTGATAGACAAGTGTGTCAATGGACAGTGGAAGACAAGTATCTTGAAGAATGTTCTTTATGTACCTAAATTGAGAAGAAACCTATTCTCCGAAGGAGTAGTGACAAGACAAGGATATAATATTGTAAAAAAACATACTGATGCTTTGATTTACAAGGACAATAAAATAGTGCTGTGTGCATCTTTACAAAACAACAATTTATATGAGTTAAAAATTAAAACAATTGAAAATCCAGTGTGTAATGTAGTGCAAAAATTTTACTTTAAAACATGGCATGAACGTTTGGGACATTTGAATGTTAAAGAGATACAGAAAATGTGCAAAAACAATGTGATTACTGGTGTGGACTTATCAGACTGTGACAAATTTGTATGTGAGGGTTGTGCTTATAGCAAGCATGCTCGTCAACCATTCGAGAAATCAAACCGAGGACCACAGCAACCAGGTGATGGTGTATACAGTGATGTTTGTGGACCACTCAGTGTGCCTTCTGTTCAAGGTATGAAATATTTTGTTATCTTTAAAGATGCTGCTACAAGTTTTAGGTATGTGTACTTTATAAAGAATAAATGTGATGTGTTAAACTGTTTTAAAAAATATAATTTAATGATTAAAAACAAATTCTCACATAGTGTACGCATATTACACTCTGATAATGGTGGAGAATACATAAGCAAAGACTTTAAAGAATATCTTGACAGTGAGGGTATTTCTCATGGGCTCACTGCCCCTTACACGCCTGAACAGAATGGCCGAGCAGAAAGAAAACTTAGAACAATAATGGAAAGTGCTCGATTCATGCTTTATGGTTGTAATGTACCACTCAATCTATGGGCAGAACCTGTCAATTATGCTGTTTATGTATTGAATCGCACATCCTCGAGTCAGACACCAAATATTACACCTATAGAGTTGTGGAGTGGTGTAAAACCTAGTTTAGATCATGTCAGAGTATTTGGATGTGAAGGGTATGTTCATGTGCCAGATCAGCTGAGAAAGAAGCTTGATTGTAAAAGTCAAAAGATGATGTTAGTTGGGTATGATAATACAAACTATAAAATGTATGATTTAACCACCAAAAGAATTACAATATCAAGAAATGTCATTTACAATGAACACAAAAGTCCAGAATTAAAACAGAATAAAGCTCAAATTTTTATATGTGATGATGATGATGAACAAAATGCTGAAGTGCTGATAGACAACACTGAGAATAATACAAGTGAACAGAATTGGGGAAGTGATGACAGCACACATACTACCAATGATGAAAGTGATGAGACTTAGTAACCTTCACAAGAAATTGATCTCGCTAACATAGATAGATCAAATGTAACTTTGCGACCAAGAAGAAATAATTATTTTTATGAGGCAAATTTAATAGAGTTGGATATACCTACAACTTATAACGAAGCAATTAATAGTAAAGAATGTGAATTATGGCTAGAAGCCATAAATGAAGAATTAGAAGCTCATCGTTCGAATAATACCTGGAGTTTTGTAGATAATCAAAATCAGAGAACTATATCATCAAAATGGGTTTTTAATATTAAAAGAAACCAAGATGGTCAAGTAGAAAGGTATAAAGCTCGACTTTGTGCCCGTGGTTTCACACAAATAGAAAGGATAGATCACAATGAAATTTTTTCACCTACTACAAGATATGAGTCAATAAGAATATTATTATCTATTTCTGCTGAATATAATTGGAATATAAGACAACTAGATGTTAAGACTGCCTTCTTGTATGGAGAGTTAGAAGAGGATATTTTTATGGAAATTCCAGATGGTGTGAAAGCACCAGAAAATAAAATATGTAAATTAAACAAATCCCTGTATGGCTTAAAACAAGCATCCCGATGCTGGAATCATAAACTTACAATTTTTTTATTGAAGTTTGGTTTTGTTCAGTCACAAGCAGACAATTGTGTGTTTGTAGGTAACTTTAATGGTATTAAAGCTTTGTTAATTTTATATGTAGAGGATGCTTTAATTATGTCTAAATCAAATGCGATATTAAATCAAATTGTAAGTTACTTAAAGGAAGGATTTAATAAGAATAAAAGAGTTAATTTTAAATCGTTTTGTTGCTTTAGAAATTGTAAAAAGAAATGATTGTGTTTGTATCAATCAAAAACAATATATGGAACAGTTAATAAATAAATTTAATATGAGTACTGCACACCCTTGTAATACACCGGTTGATGTAAATATTCAGTTAACAAAAAATATTGATAATGATCAGATTAATTTTCCTTACAGGGTCATTATTGTTTTTATCTATAGCAACTAGGCCAGATATTTCATATGGTGTAAATATGTTAAGTAGATATATTAATAATCCAAGTGTACATCATGTAAATCAAGTTAAGAGAACAATTAGATATCTTATTAAAACTAAAGATTTATGTATAAAGTATCAAGGTCATGAAAACTTAATTGGATTTTCAGATTCAGATTTTGCTGGGGACTTAGATACAAGAAAATCAACTACTGGTTATATTTTTATGTTAAATGGTGGGCCTATATCTTGGTCTAGTCAAAAACAACCTTGTATTGCCTTATCAACAACTGAAGCTGAATTTATGGCTGGGTGTGAAGCCGCCAAAAATCTATTATGGTTAAGACAGTTTTTCAAAGAAATTGATATAAGTCAAAATTGCACAACTCTCTGTATTGATAACCAGAGTGCTATCAAATTAATAAATAATCCTGTTTATCATAAAAAGACAAAACACATTGATGTTAAATTAATTTCATTAGAGAAAAGGTCAAAGAAAAATTAATTATTATTAAGTATGTACAAAGTTCACATCAACTCGCAGATATTTTAACAAAGGCTCTACCTACTATTAAATTTGGATGTTTAAGAGATGAAATATGTATTGTCAAATAAGTAAGTTGTTTATTATTATAAAAGTTTTTTTTAAACCAGGCAAATATAAATGTTTTCTTTTGTATAAAATTTAGTGGGAGTATTGGATTAAATTTTATTTTATTAGTTGGCTGTATGAAATAAGTGTTTGCCTGTTTATTTTTTATATTGTAACACCTGATGGCGTCACTACTTTACTTCCTTCTTCCGGTTTTGTAAAGCGAGCGTCTAGCATCTACTTACTGTGCAAGTGTGAATTTAAATAAACTTTTCATCAGAAGTCTTGTTTATTAACCTAATCTCAATATTATAAAGCGTGCACTCAGATAACGACAGACTATCTTAAAATGATAACAAGTTACAACAGTAATAACATACTCGTATATGGTGTTATTAGTATACATTTTGTTACTAAAATATAAGACGGGCCTTTCCATCACCTTTTTTAAAACATTCTTACTTCAAGACTGTTTTATTTTAAGATTACAATAATCTTACTTTAATTCGTACCATGCACCACCTTTAAAAACAAGCTTGTTTTATAATTGCTTAGTGATGCGGCAGAATGAATGATTTGTCTATTCCCTCCTATAAAAGAAATAGCGCTATAATAAGTCGTATAGCTTTATCCTTGTTACACGTTAATCGTTCTTCATTACGATCAGCACTTACCAAGAATGAAATTAATCTTGGTGGCTATGAATATTTGCAATAGACATCGCCTGCCAGTACCACAATTGCCCCATGATGATGTTGAAAATGATTGGAATCATCGAGATCCACGAACACTTCTAGCTGTGGGTGCTGATGCAGAACAACAGCTCTTGGCCAGTGGGAGACTACATACAAAGAGACAGAATAGTGCAATGATTGTAATCAGCCCCCAGGCAATAAATAATACAATTATTTTAATTATATAAAACATTTAATGTTAGAAAATATGATTTTTATTTTTTCCCAGTTTGCTCTCTAATCAGCTCTATCAGTGCATGAATATTTTCGTGTTGCTTATATGATTAGGCTTGTGTTCGCGTAGACTCTGACATAATAAGAGCAGCCTCTGCAAGCTTGGTCTCTGCATCAACTCTGCGATTCTCTATAGTTCCTTTACCCATTCTGGGTCAATTTTAGATTGAACTCAAATAAAATAATATTTTAATTTTATTTAAAACAATACATAAAAGCATTAATTAATTATTCTTAACAAAATTTTCTAAAGTGATCTTACCTGTAGTTTTAGATTTACGAGTCTAAGGGCTATTGAGTCTTTCATCATGGGCGATAGATATGTGGTCACCCCACTGGACTATCTAATCCTGTAAAATAATGATTATAGCTTTATGTATTTTAATAAGGAAACTAATTATTTTTTTATTATAAATAAGTATACGCACCAGTCAGTGGTGGTTCTGTGTTTAAGCCCATTTTTACTGATAGAGAACCAGTTTCTGGAATTTGGGAAGTGCCTGTGAATAAACAAACAAAAATTGTTAAAAATAAACAAATTAAAATACATTTTTTTTATTCCTTCATATGAGCCTTAGCAGATATATATATTTATGTCATAATAGCTGTCCATATGCCTATCAGCTCAATCCGTCCAGTGATTTGAGCTGAGTGTTGATAGATCAGACAATCATCTTTTTGTTATATATTAAGTTTGAGATATGATATAATATTATAACAGTACTTTGTAGTTTGATAAAAATCATAACACTTACATAAGTTGGATGTTTGACCTTTTGTGGAAGGTGAGGTCACAGTAATGGGCCCTGATAATACCATAATATACGCATCATCTGCTTTATTATCTAAAATATTACAAAAAATATTTAATTGGTACAATTGTGTGACATGCAGTACCACCGTTTTAAATGACATTTAAACCAAATCATTACTTAAAGCCTTGAAATATTTTAAGTAAATAAATAATTCATATAAATCAGTCTTAGATAAGTTATTATAAAACAAAATATATGTTCCCAACATCCTATAATATCCCATTGCCTGACCCTCACATCACATCACAAATCCTCTTCTAAATAACTTACTAGGTAATTCATATGATGTTGATGGTTCTGGTGTTAACTGTTCACTGATCTTAAAAAGAATAAGTATTTAGTTTTCATAAATAATAAAAACATTAAAAAAGCTATGAAAGAAACTTACAAATGGAATTCGGTGCTCAGTATCGCCAAACACAGCTTGCTCCCCGATGATAGACAAGATTTTCTTGTCTACCTCGGAGAGGTTGTCTTGGCTACAAGGACCGCCACCAGTACCCAAAGCATCCCTTCTCCATTTAGCTAGCCTAGCCTTGCTTTTATGCTGAATATCAGCCCAGTACTATTACAACATAAGTATTTAGCACAAAATATAAAGTTTTTCTATTAATTGATTAAAAATGGATCTCTTTTATATTGAGAACTTTTTCCATCGTTCTCCAGATTTCGACGATTCAGAACCATGGGAATTGAGCTTTATAGCAAGACTGTCCCATTGCTTGTCGACAGCTTTCTTGGATCTTGCTCCAAGCCCAACTCCCTTGGCTAAGGTAGAATGCTCGCTAAGGAACTCTCTTCGAGCTGGTCGTTCGACACTTTTATTTGTATTTGCCCTTATATGAATTACCAGTAGAATGTAGATATAAACAAAACAAATTATAATCCAATTTCCAAATGTCAATTTGCATTTTTTCACAGATTATATATTAGTTGCTACGTTTTTAGTTCCAATTATCGCTACCAAATTGTTAGTGGCGCTAGTTAGATCGCGAAAACTGCATTTGGTGATCAGCGAACGATTAGCGAGCGATCGCTTAGGTAATATGATTGTTTTTCACATAGAGCGATCAATCACGCTTCTTCTGCGCAATGAGTGCACAATTTCGCTGATCGTTTAATTTTAGATAATAAGCCTGCGGATTACGATTAAACCATTTGGTAATAATGGTTTTATTTATTTTTCAATGTACCTACAGTAGTCAAGTATTGTACTTGTGTATGCCTGCACAATTTTATAGGAAGAAATGAAGTTGATGTTAACGACGATATATTATAGAAGATATAGTCATGATAACAATACCGACACAAATTATTGGAATAGCTCAAAATTTGGTACCGTCAGTTGTCAGAACTAAGTTAATGAACTATACATACCGGCATATTTAGCGGAACACAAAATAAATGTTTGATATCAGTATCATATAAGGTTGCTGGCTGGTTTATACGTCATTTAATTTAAAAAGAAATATTTTCAAATTAAGAAAATAACTGAACATCACATTTTATGCAATTGTTTTAATTTAATTCAAATACACCTTATCTGGAGCGAACTTCAAGTATTTCTTCCTTCTGAGTTTGATTTAAAATTTCATTGAAATACTGTTTTTTGTTAGTTTTTTTAATCGCGTATCTTTTTGGAGTTGAGGACTGAATTATGCCTGACTTAGCCCCAACGGAGATTGCCAGGGCACTCGAAATGCGAAGAAATGGTCAAACCTACAGAGTGATATCCAGAGATCTTTGTCGACCAGTTTCAACGATCCATCGCAGTATCCAACGGTTCAGGGAGACCGATACTTATGTGAGAAGAGCAGGATAAGGCAGAAAAAGACGCATTTCGAGTAGGGATGATCGTTTCATTTGGTTTCGTGTACGTAGAAACCCCCGTTTGACAGCCGTCCAAGCCCGGCATGAGTTAGAAGCAGTGCGGGGTGTAACCGTAAGTGAGCGTACGGTACGAAGAAGGTTCGAAGAAGCTGGTTTGGGTTCATTTGTGCCCGCCAAGGCTCCAAGGCTCGAGGTAAATCATCGTAGAAACAGGTTAACTTTTGCTCAGGAACATCGACTTTGAAACGCGGCCCAATGGAGTAAGGTATTGTTTAGTGATGAGTGTAGAATTCTCTTAAATCAAATTGACGGCAGGCAAAGAATATACAGACGCAAAGGAGAACGATACATTCAGACAAACTTTGAAACTACAGTTGCATACGGTGGTGGATCAATAATGGTTTGGGCGGGCATTTGTTTGGGAGCTCGCACAGACTTGGTAGTGATTGACAGAGAGAGTCTGACTGCAGACCGCTATATCAGAGAAGTTTTAGAAGAAAATGTCGTACCGTTTGCCCCATATATCGGTAACGGTTTTGTTTTTATGCAGGATAATGCTCGGCCGCATACCGCTCGGGTAACTCAAGCTTATCTTAATGATATGAATATCACTGTTATGGAGTGGCCGGCGAGATCACCAGATATGAACCCAATAGAGCACGTTTGGGACTTGCTAAAAAGAAAAGTTAAGTCCAGAATTCTTGCTCCTGCCAACGTGGGTGAACTGCGAATCACCGTAGTTGAGGAATGGCGGAGACTATCCCAGGAGACCATCGATAACATCATTCTCAGTATGCCTAGACGGGTAGAAACTTTAATAAGAGCACGTGGACGAAATACGCGATATTACTCACCATTTTTCTAATTTATTTATTTTTATTTTAATATTAATTTTCACTTTTCTCGGTTATATGAAAAGTTCAAAAATGTATCATTTTTCACAAATAGCCTTTACTCGCAAAATCTGTTTTTAATGTGATCTCATTTTAAGTAAAACAAATGAAACTTTAAATAACAAAAGAAGTGTAGTAAGTAGATTTTAAAATAAAACCATATTTTTTTAATAATGGACCTTTTTTTTGTGTTCCGCTAAACATGCCGGCGAGTGTATTTTGTTCCAGAACAGAACACAAATAAAAATTAATTTAAGTAGGAACAACGTTTATTTAATATGTATTCAAAGTAACATTTATTTACCATGTATTCTTCTCACTATTGATCAAAATTAAGTAAGTACTTATTAACACCTCCAGGTAAATTTCTAAGAAATTAATAAAAATTCTAAAAAATCTATTGTTAACTGACACGCCGGCGTGTTCGCGGTCGTGGAGGGATTATATTAGAATTTCTAATAAATCAACATAAATTGAAAATTGTGTTTTAATTGTTTTCCAAAAATGAATAGTCTATCCTGAGTATCTGAATTGTCAATATTGCAGCTATACAGGGTGGCCGGTCAATTGACGTCATAAAAAAAAATTTTGGTCCGGTATGTTGTGGGGTATACGAATCACCCCCCTGTATGTTACGCGATTTTTTATAGTTTAGGAGTTATGAATTTTTTTAGATTTTTTGAGAAATTTCGACTTGACTATCTTTAAAAAATTCTAAAAAAAAGAAAAAGACTAGAGTTTTATTTTTTTGCAACTGAATTTGCATGAGTTGTACTTTTATGCATAAAATAATTAGCTTCGTAGCTTTGATGAAAGTTATGAAAATGTTGGTCTAAAGTCAAATTTTTACGTTCCGTGAATTAGGATTTAAATTTTCAACTCTAGATTAAAAATCTAAACAGGTGACTTTCTGATTTCTTAGTTATTCTTAAAAATGCGGCAGACTTTCAGCTTTCATAATAATAAAAGAAAAGCTGTACTTAATAGGGGAAATTTGGCTAAAATCGGTCTTCAAAGACAGCAAGGTGGAGAATTCTTAAAATTAGCAATTGATTAAAAAAAATCTATCATTCTTAAGACTAATTAATTATTAGAAAATGCTGAAATCCTATCGTGTTGGTTGGATAAGAAAAGTTTTAAGTAAGAACGAGATCATAATGTTAAACAAATTTAATATTTTTAAAATTTATAATAAGTTTTCAAAGTGGCCACCTCCAGCAGCAATACACATACGACACCTTCGTAAAAAATTGTGTTTTAATCGTCTAAATGCTTCTCTTTTCTCTCTGACAACATGTTGGACGTCTGCAATATTTTGCCTCAGCTCTTGTTCACCCAAACATTCTCGGGCGTATACTATTTCTTTGTAATAGCCCCTAATGAAAAAATCGATAGGATTGAGGTCAGGTGAGCGTGGAGGCCATCTAATTGGTCCACTGCGTCCTATCCATCTGTTGGGGTTTGTTGCATTTAAATAATTTCGCACTTGTGTTGCGTAATGACATGGAGCGCCATCATTTTGAAATACCATAGTACGTCTAAGTTCGAGACTCACATCTTCCAGCAACAATGGAACTTCATTTTCTAAGAAGTTTTTGTAAGTTGCTCCATCAAGTCTGGTCGGCAATTCAAACGGGCCAATTAGTTCACCATTGAGGACACCAGACCACAAGTTAACGCTAAAGCGGTCTTAAAACGTTGAAGCTCTCACAGCGTGTGGATTTTCAGTTGCCCACGTGTGATAATTATGAATATTAAATATTCCAGATCGCTCAAATCTTGATTCATCTGACCATAACACTTTATTGAAAAATCCAGGATCATCTAGCTCTTTTTGTAACATGGTTTGGCAAAAAGCTTGGACTCGTCGAAAGTGGAACGCGTGGTATCCTTCATCGTGAAGTACATATGGCTTGGATAGAAGTCCTTGGGATGTCGAAAGCACGAGCCATGGCTCTCGTACTTGTAGACGGATTTCGCTGAACTGCTTCCAGCACCACTTCTGTGCGATCCGGGTCTGCTCTAAGGATAGCTTCACGATTGCCGCGTTGACCAGGAATGCGGCCTGCCATTAAAGCATTGTGTGTGTTAATAAAAACACGGTGGTCGGGATATCGCGGAGGTTGCGGTCCACCACGGCGTTGAAGTTGTTCGCGATACAGACGCGCTGCTTTAATGCCGTCTCCTTGTGCAACTCCATAAAAATAATGCATTTCTGTATATTCACTTAACGTGTAACTCAACTCTTACACTACCAAGTAAACAAAATCCAAATCAAAATGCAAAACAGTCCAGTAAACGAGCTAAGTAGTGAAACAAGTAAGCAGAGGCGGAGTCCGTGAGCAATAACAAAATGGCGACACGAGTAGCAGTAATCACTATGTGAGCACAACTGAGATCGGTAACTAACGAACTAGTTTTTTTTATGACGTCAATTGACCGGCCATCCTGTATAATTAGATTTACAAGCGGAGCCCTTGAGCAGCCGCTATCATGGAACGTCTCTAAACATAAGCGCCCATTTCAGCCGGATATATAATATTTTGTGTGTGTCGTTGTACTGAAGATAAGGTAACTGGATCCATTTTTCGTATTTTACTGGATATATATTATCCAAATACCGACGCATCGTCTGGTACAGGTGCTGACATATTGTTCAAAACTTGTAGAGCTTCAGCAATATCGCTGTCTTTATCAGTATTGCATTTTCTCCTCCGGGACCTCGTCGTTTTTTATCTCGCTGGTCTCCCAGCGAATTTATCTGAAAATAAAAGGTCGGTGAATATTTCATTACGTGCATATTCAAACACATTTTGAAGAAAAATCAAATATTAGGCCTGATGTCGTTCTTTATTATGTTTTTGGAAAATATATAATTAAAATAGACTAATTATGTCAGAGGGACAGTAATGTTAACAGTGGAGTGTAGCATCGAAGACATTAAGCTTATATTTTTTTTCTAATAAACGGTAATGAGATTTACACGAACGGTAATCGATGTCTAATTATGGTAAAGAGATTCCCTAAAATAGTGATTAGATATATAATAAAACTAGCTACTAACCCTCGCTTCGCTTGCGTTCGTCCCTGGCTTGCTTCCCAATACAAACTTTCATCCCCATTTTTACCCCCTTAAGGGATGATTTCCGGGATAAAAAGTATCCTATGTCCTTCCTAGGCTCTCAAACTATCTTCTTACGAAATTTAATCTAAATCGGTTCTGTAGATCCAGAGATTACCCCCTATAACAGCGGTCGACAAGTAGTTTTAGGTGGGGTCCGGATACTGTGGGAAAATTTTAAGGAGGTCCAGAAAAAAAAAACAACTGATAATAATTAAGTGCTATGTATTATTTTGGTTTCAAATCAAATTCTGAATTATAAAACACAAGACCTAAAATTAATGTGAGAAACTACACGACGGTCTTGAGAGCCAGTTTTTTATAGTTTGGTTCTCGAGAGCAACAGCAAATTCGAAGTGTGTCTTCTAGATGGGCGTCCGTCAATCTCGAACGATATTTCTTCTTTAAAAAATTCATCTTAGAGAAAGATGTTTCACACACGTATATCGAGCCAAACATAGTTGCCAAATTTATAGCTAGTTTCTTGCAATTTTCATATTTTTCTGGGACTTGTTTGGCCCAAAATTCTTCAGTGGATACCGTTTTATACATTTGCAAAGACACATCTTCTTGCAAATAAATTATCTCCATTTGAAATGATGGTTATGACAGATTAAAAAAATCGCAAAAATTGGGTTTCGTACATGTAGCAAAAAGCGTTTCCAACAACTTTTAATTTTGTTTATTGTGTCTTTAATAGAAGAAAGAGTTGAAGTGAAAACTAGAATTTTCTGTTTAACTAATTCAGACAGTTTAGATTGATCCGTTTCTATGAGTTGAATAGCGTTACTGTATTTAATAGCATCATCTTCATTCATAGTACCAAATAGATTTTTGAGTACGGTCCCTACACCTCCGAACCAAGCCGATCGTTTGGACCTTGATATAGTTAAATGAGAGATAGAATCAAAATCTCGGATTATATCATTATATCTTATTAATAATGGCTGGTGTAAGTTAAGACACTCGACTTCGGTTAGAGTAGAGCCGTTTGTCTACAGAGGAACTTAGAGGTGCCTATCACACCGTTAAGATTTTCAATATGCGGTTGTATATAAGAAATATGTACAGGAATTACGACGTTAAGAAAACCGTCTATTATTTTCAGCGTGCCAATAGGGTCAATGTATATTCCGGAAGTATTCGTGGATGTTTCAATAAACATTTCCTCTGCAGAAGACAGAACTGTAAAGAAATAATTAAAAAGATTGTTTAAGAGATTACTTATTATCTTAACACTTAGATATTACATTTTACTCTAACTAAAATAAAAGAATCTTATAATTATGATCATGTCACAGCGTCGCGACGATAAGCTAATTTTATTTCATCAAAGTGATGAGTCACATGTCTTCTATTTAGCAAAAGCGTTACACTATTTCTACCATTTACTTTAATGATTTTATACGGGCCTTTCCAGACTGGAGATAAAGCTTTGCGCATGCGAAGATGGTTTTTTAGGAATTCATAGTCGCCAGCATGATAACTTACGGATTTAGTATGAATGTCATAGTAGGCTTTGGAAGACTCTTTTGATTTTTTAATATATTCAATGGCTTTACTCCGTGTACATTTAAGTCTGTGTTGTAATATCCTAATATAGTCCGGGTAAGAGGCGTTTAAGGTTAGCTCGTAAATGGAATTTGGAAGGATAGGTTTATGTCCGAAAACTAACTCATAGGGACTGTAATTAGTAACCGAGTGGATTGCTGTATTGTAAGCTAACATACCTGTATACATATTTTGGCCAATTGTCCTGATTTTCAGTTATATACGATTTAAGATATTCCTTTAAAGTCAAATGGCTTTAATCTAGTGCACCTTGGGTTTGTGGATGATATGGAGATGACCAGAGCTGCTTGACCTTAAGGAATTTGCACGTTTCTTTGAATTACTCTGCGGTAAAGTTTGTGCCTTGATCTGTAAGAATAGTTTTCGGGATCCCAAACAAGGAAATGAAATGAATTAGGCAGTCGCTGGTTTCCTCAGCTGTTGTACTTCGAATTGGATATTTTACTGAATACTTAGTTAGATCGTCTTGAAGCGTTAGTGTATATTTAAGTTTAGCTGTACCAGAGTCGGGAAGAGGGCCAACTATATCAAGAGACACTCTTTCAAATAGAGAAGTTGAGGTACTTGTTATTTGCATGGGTGCTCGATTAATTTTCCTAAGAGCTTTATTGGTTTGGCAAGAACTGCACCTTTTTAGATAATCCTCTATTTCTGTTCTCATATTTTTCCAATAATACTGTTCTCGAATTTTGTTAAACATTCTACTTACACCAAGGTGTCCAGCAATAGGAATGTCATGGTTCTCGCAAAGAATTTTCTGGGCTTAAATTTATACCAATGAGAGACAAATTTAGTTTGTTTAAAGCAATACAGTCCCTGTTTGATTGTCTATCTACTGACAAATATTTAGTCATAGAGTCGTCAGATGACCTCATACAGACAACTCTCATTATATTTTCATCCATCTTATAATTTGCTGGCAGCATTCCTAATGTAGTGGAAGCAGCATTCAGCATCCCTATTAACATCCCTGGACTAGACCGCAGAAATTTCCAATTATCTGTTATATAATCTCGCACCTTCAAATACCATTCTCTTGTGAACTCGTTCATCTTTTCAAGATGCTTATTTTCCCAAGTGATCCTGGAATATTCGTTTTCGTTTGACACGAGAACTCCTTGTCCTAGTTGTATCTCCTTCCAAATTTGTAGAAAATTTCCCATCCCAGCTATTTTAGAAAAAAGTCTCCCATATTCATTGGTCCTGGGCAATCCTAATCTCAATCTTGTGCTCTCATCAAACAAAAATTTATGCATTATAGCAAATGCTCCTGGAGACACACACTCATTCCATTTTGTTGCATGTTCAGTTCCTTGAGATACCTGCTGTTCCATTTTTCAGGGAGTTTGTGTTCTTGTATATATTGAGTATCTTCGCCTTCCTTTCTTCTCCTCCTATTGATATTGTTGACCCAGGTATTTTTTTGGATAGTTCTAAGTGGAATTCTTCAATTATATATAAAAATATTCTGCTAAACGGTGTTGCAGATGCTATGACTATTCTGTCTTTCTTTCCTCTTTCCTTATGTTTTATATAAGAAGCAAATCTACAAACAAGTTTTTTCATAACCATTCTAGTTTCTTCTACACTCGATGTCTTTTTCTAACTCTTTTTGTAGTCTGTTTCTCTACCAAAACATGTTGTTTGGTTGCTCTATTATATTTTCTTACTGTGTGCACTGATTCTTTTGTAGTCATGTAAACAATAGATTCTTTGTCAAACAACATCATAGTATGCATAGCCATATCAAGGACACTGAACCCTACCTCACCAGTGTTCTCACCTAAGAAGTTACTCGTATATGCATTTTCATATGCTTAAACAGATGTTATACTTTGATTAGTAAACGGGCAAAATGTTTGTTTCCCTCTAGTAAGAATGTCAGAGTTTGTGTCAATAATCCGTTTCATTACGTTCTCTACTATTGCATCAACATGGGCACAAGATATCTAAACCTTTGGATAAATAATGAACTATTTATTTATATTTATAACCCATCTCCAGTCGTCCCGGAAATAATATCAAAATACGACGATACTAAAATATAATTAGGAAACTCTATCTGACAAACACATTAGTGCCCGTCACAAAAACCCATACACATAGCATTATTGAAAGTTTCAATATTGGTAATATAATTCATGTACCTACCTATACTTCTACAATCTATATAAATGTTTCTTTGTATGTACATATGTACCCAATTGTTCCTAAACCATTCATCCGATTGTGAGGAAATTCTTTACAACACGGTTAAAACCTAGTCAACAATTGCATTGTTCTCTATATATTCATTTCTTTTAAATATAATTAGCTAGACTTAGAGCCCCAGGCAGATCGGACATCGATTCCGAGACGCATTAAGGACTAATGTTCGGAAGTCAAAATACTGGAGAATTGTGTTAAATATCTTAATAAACTTCTAGGTTTTTATTGTAGTTTCCTTTTTAAAACACAAACGGGGTAGGCCTCCTAGGGCGCTCGAGGGTTTTTGGTCTAAAAAATATATTTTTTTTCATTCATTTATCATTTAGTCATATTTAAAATATTTAAATCACTATCACATATCTAGAAAAAATACATTTATTTAGACTTGTGTACATGCATTGTAATATACAATAATGGATTAAAATTTTCTAAAAATATATAAAGAAAAGGTGACTAACTGATATATCAATGCACAGATATAACTACAGGACTGATTGAAATTTTTCATATAGATGGTTATTATGATGTAGGCATCCCTTAAGCAATATTTTAAAATTCAATCCCTGGAGGGTAAAGTAGAACTTCATTTAAGTGAAACTGTGGACTCAACACTAGTTGTCATAAGTACAAAAAACATACAAAATATAAGAGCTACATGGGTACCATCTATACAACCCAAGCAACCACGGAAACCAAATTTATTTGAAAAGCTAAAATAAAGTAAATTTGTGAATCATACAGTAAAAAACAGTTCTGAAATTACAATTTTTACAAATATTCTAGTTCTTACCCATTTATTATTGCCTGTCTTTCTTGTCGAGAACGAGGGAGATGTATGTACTTGGTAAGTATACTATGTGTATTTAATGCCCTAGTCACTTCTTTTACAGCATTAGATATACTAGCTTGACTTAGCCCAAGCAAGTAGCTCATGCCAACAGGCTTCTGATAAGTGCCTGTGGCATAGAATGAGAGAGCTGTAAGCACCTGTAACATCACCATATTATATTACCATTAAGCCTCCTGTCCATCACAAATGGTCAAGCGGAAACAAAAACGTAACAAACCCACAAAACTTAACACAAAAAAAAAGAACAGAAACAAACTCAAAGAAAATATAACAAATCGTAGTATTCTTACAAATAAAACATCCAGTGTTCAGGAACACACCATATATTAATATTATTTATTAAGGTTATTACAGAGCTCATTACTTATCATTAGTATCGAGATGCTGTCTCTTGGCAAGTGACGCCACCATGTTACTCAGATCATTATTCTAAAAAGTATACCGTCTGTACCAAATTAGTTAGTAATTGCACTGTCATTTACAAACGTCTGTACTTGTGTTACGTTCGGATACACGCATATATTACACAAATAACACTCGAAATTGGATCATAATGGATACAACGGACGCATTTGAACACTCACAGGTTGAAGGACGAATAAGGTAAACAAAATGGCGTCCAGTGTTGTTCCTGTGAAATTTAGAGTTGCCGTATTCAAAATCTAACATTTTTAAAACACAATAACTACTGTATATCATAATTAGTTAAAAATTGCCGTTGTTTGTCAAGGTGTCAAGTTCCATAATTGCCGTATTTTTTAAGTTCTGCCGTTTTGTTAGAGAAAAAGGTTAAGATTGCCGATTTAACGCGTACGGGAACAAGACTGATGCGTCTATCAATTTTGTTTTGTTTAATTTTATGGCATCGAAACATGGTCGGATCACGCATAGCGTCGCGTGGTCAGATTTCACAGGCGCGTCGTGTGGCCGTGTGTACGTACGTGAATTTTAATGATATGCTTTGGAATATAAAACTATTAAGCGAATCGTCTAATAAAGATAAAAAGTTACGACTCAACAAACCGGTATCGTAGATACGATACTGCACAAAAGAGCTAGCAACATTATTTGTACAAATAATTTCCATCAGGAAAGCAAATCTAATATATTTCGATACGTAAAATACATATTTACCTATTAGATACTTATATTTGTAGTTACAAAATCACCATTTGCCACAAAAATTTTAATTTCTCTGTCTAAAGTTATGATATTGTTCATAAAGTTACTAAATTTTTTCTTGTATAAGTTGCTCCGTGCATCCAGTATCGACTATCCACTCAATTTTACAACTATTATTATTAGACATTTTACAAACCATATTTATAGTCTTTATTATCAACATCGGCAAAAAACAACACATTATTATTATAATATGAAGAATTTGACATATTAGTACTCGCTCCAGAAAAATTTTGAGTTCCCCATCCTCTTCTTAGGGGTCTCCTTGACTTATATCCTCGTTGACCTCTATTGGAACGTTGTGACCATCCCTGTCCACGTCCTTGACCATAATATTTACAATTAATTGCCTTGTGACCTCTATTTTGACACTTAAAGCAAATAATAAATGCATTTTCATCATTATTTTCACTATTTTTAGAAGTCATTTTTAATTCCTAATCCAGAAATCTCGCTGTCACGTTTTCAAACTTTATATCATCTTTGTTGAGTGTCTCTATTGCAGTAATACATACACAGGTTTCATACTTTTGTGGTAATCCAATTAATAAGCAGCAAATTTTGTCCAATTAGAGTAACTTTTGTTGTTGTTTCCTAAATCCTCTATGATACTGTTAAAGTTTTGAAAATATATTTTCAATTTTTCATTTTCCATGCCTTTCAAACTTAGAAGTTGACGTCTCAAATAAAGTTTGGAAACAACAGATTTGCGTTGAAAAGTATTTTTTAATTTTTCAATCATTGACTTACTTGTAGTACACTCCTTTATTATTCCCAAATGAGTATCACTGACACATGAAATAATAATGCTTTTGGCCGTTACGTCATCTTTAACAAACTTTGTATCTTTTGTTTCAGAGTTTAAACTTTGAATACAGTACAACACGCCTTTTTCTTCAAGAACCGCTATCAGTCGAAATAACCAACTATTAAAGTTATCCGACTTTAAATTATTTATTTGTATCTAATGTATGCTGTATGACGCCATATTGCGCAACGTTATTTAAACTTTTATTATCAAAACTTTTCATCCACCTCAATCAGCCCATAACCTATTATTGGTAACCTCTTATTTAGGAATACCATATGAGGTGAATGCTAATTTACTCTTGTTAATCTTAGTTTATTATTTTAGGAAAACACCATTATATTAATCAACACACTTTATATTCTCTTCAACAACTTTACACACATTACAGATAACGGACAATCGAGAGTAAACTACAGATAATATAACTAACAACATGTACACAGATAATATGGTTCTATACTCTAATGACAACAACATTACCGCTAACAACCTAGGTTAAAGCCGTTGTAGCTTTTGTACCTAGAGAAAAAACCGTAAAACGCAATACAACTGCATTACTTGCAAAAAAAGTTTTTGTTTGGAACACGCGGTTATAGTTTGTTCTCATTGCTATACTAATTAATTTAATTAGGTTTTCTTTTTTTATTCCTAGTACTGTTACCTACAAGATATACTCGTAAGAAGATCATATTTTTTTGTTTTGGAAGTATTTTAATTTTAGTTCACTTTTTAGTACTATGTAAGAATTACTGTTATTTTTTAACGGCTGTTTCAGAAGACTGCAAAACAAAAATAAAAACAAATAATTTAATGATCTATCATATTATTCTATTAAACACCTCCCTAACTTTAAATAAAACATAAGTTTGTAATAAGTTTTCTCTATAAACTTAAAACTACAGCTTTTAAAGTTTCGGTCCGTTAGATCGTGCGCTGGGTATATACTCGTACTATTTGGCGCTAGTACAGGAATAAATAAATAATTTTAAAACATGAATAGCTGTACTTTTTATTTATCTCCTACACATATAATAAATATAATTACAAAATACATGCAATTTGATATTTCTAGAGAATTAGTATATGTAAAAAAAACACTTTCAGGTCCATTCAACACTTCGTCGAGAGTTTTTCGTGAGCATTTAATGATCTGTGTGCTTAGTGTGAGTTTCATATGACAAATCGAATGACTTAACCACGTTGTAAATCGAACATACGTTGTCACGAAGTAAAATGAATAAGTCTGAGTGCGAGTGACGAGCTAGTCATTCGATTCAAATGACGTTTGCTCACCAAGTTTAGCGTTTATATTTTTTCGTATATTGGTAGCACGTAGCGCATATGCGATAAGCCGACCAAATTAAATATAATGATTTTCTAACGCTATTTGTATGGAGGCGATGTATTATCTAAATAGTCGAGTTATGTATGACGTAACTTGTTGGATTTTGTTGTATAAACAAACTGTGCGACGTGCGTGAGTTATGTACCTAACCCAACATATGGTCTATTTAGATATCCTTCTCGGAAGGATCTCTCACTGTAAAATGTATCGTCTCTTTAGAAATCATTCTCAAAAGGATCTGTTAAAACAATGCACATTTAAGACAATTGAATGTATCGTTTTTTAGAGACATTTCTCAAAAGGATCTATTATTATAAACAGTGTACATGTAAGACAATTGAGTTGTCCTTTTTTTTAACTATGAACCCAAACACACTCCCACACTCATTTAAAATATAAAACCGTGGAAATTAAGAAAAGAAAGTTATTTGTAACTATCCTATCGACGAAAAACATCGTTTCATCACAACCCATAGTCCGGTAATGTAACTCCTTTGTACCAATTATTGTTTTTCAACTCTCAGGATTTAAAATCCTTAAAATGAAAACAAGTCAGCATCAATTTGAATTGTTAGTAACTTTATGGAAGAGTAAGTACCTAATCAAGTTATTTAAAATATTGAAATTGAGTTGATGAAGTGAACTTTTTATATATTTTGTGTTTTTGTTTTCTTATTGCTAGACATGGAGATCTTACTAAGCCGATAACCAATGCAAGAGGTAGAGTCGTAACCATTCAGCATTGGGAGGAGCTAGCATCACTGCTTAACAGTGATGGCAGTGGTGATACAAAAACCACAGATAAGTGGAAAAAGGTTTTCATGGTGATAAGTGATAAGCGATCAGTCCTATATGTATATTAGAACTCTTTATAATATATTATCAATATTCTATATATCTTTTTACATGGTGGATGTACCTACCATCGGGCTAATCTGTATCTATGCAATAAAATCTAACTAAGGTTATTATTTTGTTTAGTTTATAATTAGTTGAGGGCCTGGGTTATTTATTAAAATTATGCTTTTTCAATGTTAAAGGTGTGGAGCGATTTTAAAAACAATACCAAGAAGAAAGCTGCGCGACTGCATAGAGCAGCTAGTGGAACTGGTGGTGGGCCTGCAGTGTATATCAAACTCACAGAGTTAGAAAAAAGAGTGCTAAATATTATTATTGGCATACAGGCAGCAACGGGTTTGGTAGTGCCTGAGGCAGGGTTTTCAAAGGTTATTAACTTTTAGGAGCACATTTTTAATAAGCACTTGTAATTAAAGCAATTGTTTGTTTCTATATTATTTACATTATATTAAATTTAGGATATTGTTGCTGCAACAGGTGTGCTTGATGTGGCACAACCCAGGACTCGGGAATCTAGCACAGAACAATTAGGTATACAGGAAGACCATAGCTATCCAATTAATGAATGTAAGTTGTTTGGTATAGGTAGATATTACCTATCATTTTGTAAATAAATAGAGGATAGGTTTAAATATATTTTTATTTTTTAGGTATTGAGCCATGGAATGAACCTGGACCTTCTAGCAGAGTGCATGTCGAGCCTCTTTTAAGCCAGGTTCATATAGAGTCAAGACCTCCTAGCCAAGCCTTCAATGTAGAAATTGAAGTCACAGAAAGTAAGTTAATTGTTACTTAAATTGTACTTAATCTAAATCATAAAGTGAAAATATCCAGAGAATGTGGTGTATAGAATTAAAAAAGTCTTATTTATTTTACAATATTAGCAGTGTTAGCTTGCCAACCTAAATATCAAATATTTTCTTTTGTCAGATGCTGTAGAAGTCTTACCCACTTTATCTCCAGAGACTCAAGTTTCTGCCCCTCAGCCTCGTATGCATCCTGCTCCGTATGGGCAAACTTCACCACGCCGTAGTGAAAGATCTTCACGAATACGATCCTCACCTCGAAGACGTGTGAGGCTCACACAAACAGAGCAGGCTGCACGTCAGTTTGTAAATTCTGATTTTGAATGGAGAGCATTCAGGATGCAGCAACATAAAGATTATATGGAGATGAAAAGGGAGCAAAATAGGATAAGAGAAATGGAAGTGCAGACTCAGAGGGAATGGCAAGCTTTAGGTTTAAGAATGTTAGATATATTAGATAAACTAGCTAATAAGTTTTGTAAAGATTAGATTGGTAAATTAGATAATAATTATTTATTATTTTTTGTTATGATTAGATTATTTTTTAATAAAGTTAAGGTAATATAATAATAATAGTCAATTATTTAGTTCAATTTATTCTTACTTCAGTATGGCAAACTATTAGGATAAAAATTAAACCATTAAATGTTTCAGATTATTTTATTTAGCACTGTTTCATTTAACACCCAGTTTATATACATACTATTAATACATAGATATACATGGTACAATATTGTTTGTAGTAAATTACTTTTTTTTTTTCGCTGGGGAAACCCATCATGGGGACCCTGCCGGCCGTCAACGGGCATGGTACTGTGAGACTCCTACTCACTAAAACCCGCAGCGGAACCCGTCGCCGCAGTGCAATGGGGCGTTCCAGGGTCGCTTGCGCACACACTACAACACCCCTGCGGACGGCCCGAACCATGCGGGCCAACCTCGCCTAAATTAGGATGCTCTCGATTCACAGAGCATCCTGACCGCCCCGATGACGTGCAGGGGAGTCAACGAGAGACCCCCCGCAGTAGCTCCTCTAGGATGGCTGGAGAAGACGCGCATACCGGCGTTTCCACTCCCCCAGCCGACGGCAACGAAAAAGGTCTGCTAAGGCGTTAGCCTCGTGTTCCCTCTCCGCCGTCTCCTTCAGTGAGATGACGGTCTCGCTGAAGGAGACCATCGCCGACCAGGACCTCGCGTCGCGCACCATGGCCTCCACAACGCTTTGCAACGAGAGGTCTCCACCCACTACCGTCATCAGGGCATGGCGCTGGGGAGCCCAAGAGGCGCATTACACGAGTGTGGTGCGAGGTGTCCTCGGACGCACCACACTCGTGGCATACGGCAGCCTAAAACAGATACTTACCAAAGCATTCTAGCGTCCATCCAGGGTCAGGGTAAATTACAATATAACTGCCACCAAATATTAAAATAAACTTATAATCTGACATGTAATAATTATTGCTGCTGTAATCTTCTTACTAATTGATCCCTTAATACCCTCCCTCTAATTAAATCAGTGGTAGAATTTCTCTCTCTCTCTCGGTGCTAATCCTCTCATCATGGTCTTGGATGTCATCATGTTCTAAAGCTGAAAATTAATAAATGATATTTTATTGAATATAAATAGCTTTTACATATGTTATTGAATAACAAACAAAAACTTTTTAACAAAAAAATAAAAACCGACTTCAATCAAAAGCACTAAAAAGTAAAAAATAACTGATTGGTTGTTTTCATTTACTATACATACCTAATCAAATATTTTCGAAGTCAGTTAAAAAAAGTTTTTATTTTTCCCTTTTTAGTGTAGACAGTAGTAGCAAAGTAATAATTCTAACGTGTTAGGCTTGTCAAATCAAACAAAATAAGCCCAAACTCAAAGTATCTACTATTAGCCGTTGAAGAGTTCCACCTATCCACCTTCTGGCCTTACCATCAGATCAGGTCAACAATACCGAACCATTGTACTATTAACGGAAATAGAAACACTTGCGAAGTTTCAAGTCAATATGACAATTAGAAGTAGGTTAAATTCATCATTAGCTATTTTTCCACCCTTAGGGGTGGTATCTATTTTTGAAATTTAAATGGGACCAATCTGAAAGTATACACTTTCAAACAACACAAAAATTGTCCAAATCGGTTAATAAATGACGGAGTTCTGAGGTAACAAACATAAAAAAAAATACAGTCGAATTGAGAATCTCCTCCTTTTTGAAGTCTGTTGAAAATTATAGTAAAATCTTTATTATTAAAATAAATAGTTAATAGTTTTCAAACAAACAAAGGTAGCTAGGTATAATAAGTTTAAACTTACATTTATTTTAAGTCCAAAAATAAACAAGTTTTAAACTTACATATCAATATTTTTTGTAATTCCATACATACCTGTGATATCCACATCGTCTACAATACCATATTTAATGACTATGTTATTTAAAACACAACAAGCCAATATGATTCTTGAACATTTTAAAGGTTTATAATGTAGAACCCTGTCTTTATTCATTTTTTAGCCTTTCAAAGGTATTTTCGATGACAACTCTAGCAGTCATATGCTTTTGATTGTAATTTGCTTGAGGTGTGTTAGGAGCAGCATCTAAAATTGGAGTCATCAGCCATGGCCTTTGTGGATAACCTGAGTCACCTGAGAATATAAAAATAATATATACAAATGTCATACATCCTATGTTACCTTCACACAAATTTTGATCCTAATTTAATAAAACAGTTTCTTTAATGTTCATAATACCCTAAAACATGACATAATTCTGGAATAAAAATTGGTCGAATTACTTATAGTAGATTTTTACCTAAAAGCCACACTGTTTCCCCATTTCGGTGCAATGACTGCATATATTTATTGAGATCACTGTTTTCCCATATAAATGAATCATGATTTGCACCTCCAAATTTTGCATTAACATTAAGGATCCGATATTCATCATCACATACCTGTAAAAATATAATATTAATATAGATAGGTAATAAAAACCATTCATACTATGATTGTACTAGCGGCTCACCCTCGCTTCGCTCGGGTTCGTCGCTAGGTACGTTTTAAATAGATATAAAAAGAAAAAATCTTTCTTTCTCACATTTTAATTATATGTTTTAATACTTACCTATTCCGGACTAAGAGAAATCCAAAAATTAAAATATCATAAAAATCTGAACGCGGTCGAACGGGATAAAAAGTATCCTATGTCCTTCTCCTGGCTCTAAACTACCTCCCTGCCAATTTTCAGCTAAATCGGTTCAGCCGTTCTTGAGTTATAAGCGAAGTAACTAACACGACTTTCTTTTATATATATAGATATAAAGGAAAAGGTTAACTTATTTACCATTTGAACATTTAAAGAATGATAGTGTTTACGGCAATAGTACTGATGCTCTTCTTCTTTTGGTGGCCCATGTATTCTAAAATGACTGCAATCAATGCAACCAATAACCCCTGGTATTCTATATTTATCAGAAAACCTAAAATAAATTATATTGTCAAATTAACAATTTATTTATAACATTTAAGTATTGTATAGTTATGAAAGCATAAGTACCTTTGACTAATTGCTTGTCTGGCATTTGGAGTGTCAGGAAACTGAATATATTTATTTAACATATTCTTATGTATTAATGCTGTGGTTACTTCTTCAATATAAACACTGCACATTTTTTGGGAGATATTCTTTGCAGCTTCAACTGGCCGCTGGTAAGACCCCGTTGCAAAGAAAAATAGTGCAGTGAGTACCTAGAATATAACAATTGATAAAAAAATACACCAAGCGTGCATATTTATGATTTTAAATGATTTTACCTTTGCTTCCAAGGTAACTCGTTGAGTAGATTTCAAATTAGTTAATTGTCTTAATTCTTTGCACAAGCCTTTTAATGCTTTCTTCGAAAGGCGATAATTTCTTTTAAATTCAGTCTCCGGAAGATGTATTAACGGATTATCTGAAATGCGAGCTTCTGCACATTCATTGTTACGCTTCATTATTACGCTCATCTTGTGCTGTTGCCGTCGACAACATCCTCCAAGCGTAAAAATGACGAGCTGCCATCTTTTACTCCAATTAAAACAACACAATAATATGAATTTTGTAAAAATATGTTCGTATTTTAATTAGCGTTTTCACTCTCACTAACAAAATTTAAGTGACAAAAAAACTCGCTCGCAAGTGAGGAAGTTTACAATTGAACTGTCAAAAGTGACATAAATTGCAACTCACACTCGCAAAAACGCCATTCCAGCGCGTTTAATTCCTCACTTCGACAAAGTTAGTCGACGGTCGCAATCATAAAGTTAACAATCAAACTCGCACTCACAAAATATGTTTTACAAACTTTCCGCTAGGTGGCGCTGATCCAACTCCATACAAATTTGCGTTTACTTTAACGCGATCGAGTAGTCAAAAAAACTCACACTAAGCCCACTGGTTACACACACATTACTAAACCAGTAACATTCAGGTTGCTTACGAATACGTTTTACAGTCACCCTTGTAGGAATAACGGAATCCGTTGTTAGCTAGATGACCATGAGAAGCTCAGCCACTTTTGAAGGTTAAACCTCTTACGCCTCTGAAGAATCTAGAAAATCCTCTTCCTCAGAATTGATATTTTCCTCTTTCTCCTTTAGTACTTGTCTTTCTGTATCTGGTCTTGTTTTTTTTATGATCCCCACTTCATGGGTATTTTCTCTATCTTCTGTTTCTTTTTTTATTGGAATAAATCTTTAAACTAAATCACTTTTTACACAACTATACTTTAATAAATGTTTTGGATATACATATACATCACTTCCAGTGTCTACTAGGAACTGAACTTTTGCTGTTTGGTCGGTAACAAATAAGCGACCACTGTTGTGACAATTTTTGGCCGTTATTACAGATTGTCCTGGACATTTCCCGCGAAATTACAAGGTTTCGTGCACTTTTTAGCTCATTCCCAAATTTATAATAGTACCAGCACGTAGGATACTTCCGGAAATTCGATTGTGATATACTGGTAGAACGTCCTCGGGATCGGGATCTGGAAACGCGATGTATCTTGGTCGCCAAATCCTGGGCCTGTCAGGATAGCAAAGCGATCTCTCTGCTCGCGGTGTTCATGGTGCTCGCAGGGGTTGCGGTGGACGTTGACGCAGCGTGTACATGGGAGGTGGGTGTGACTATGTCGTGAAAGTGGTTAGCCAATTGTGCTACTTCGTTCAAAGACATCTTCGATTGCGACGCGATATATACATATTCCGTAAAAACTCGTTCGGGACGCCCTAGCCGGCTACATGTTTGAGGTAGCGCAGGTACTGTTTTACCTTCTTCTCCCGTGAAACGGAAAGTCTCCGAATGAGCACCGTCTTACTTGTCGGTAGAGTTGGTGGGTCGACTATGATGTCCTCGACCTCTGCTGCGTACGTGATTTCTAGCTGGCTTAATGTATGAAAGTACTTCGTACTATCAGCCGTTATGTTAGCCAGTACAAACTGGCTCCTGAGGAGCGCGAACCACGAGCTGGGGTTCTCTGGGTAGAATAGAGGTACCCTGACGCCTACCCGAAAATACTTCAGAGTACTTTTACATAATATATTCTAAAAATGCCCATTTGGTTGCATTTATAGCATCTGACATTAAATTTAACGTTTAGCCATGATAATTTGATGAAAATTATTTTAACATTAATTTACTTAGTAAAGAAATATCGGCAATTAACTACAAAATGATGCTTAAGGAAAATGGATTCAAAATATTAAACAGAGTTAGTAAGGAGTACAGTACACGAGAAACGAATACTTCTGCAACCATACTCGATCATGTTTGTACAAATCTTCAAGAAAACACCTTTCACATGGCAGTCGTTGATAGCGCTCTATCAGATCATAAGCAAATTTACGTCGAAATACAGAATATCAAACCTGAACGACCAAAAAAGTACAGTATGAGGCCATCGACTACAAGAAATTATATAATACTGTTAAGAATACCATTTCCATTAATAGTTACAATGAATATACATTGCTTGAGACTTTTGTTCTACAAGCAATCAGAAACAATAAAATAAAGAGGTTTAAACAACAAATTCCTCCGAGAAGCGACTGGGTAAATAAAAATCTGATTACATTGATAGAAAACAAAAACATACTCTGGCGTACTTTGAAGCAAGCGCCCACTGATGAAGACATGAAAGAAAATATTTATGCTTTTATCATTAGAATAAACAACAAGGTGTATTATGTACAACTAATAGAATGGTCGGGGGCACGATATAAAAGTACCATCTCCATAATAGGAAATACTTTTCTCAGATTACAGTAATTTTAGCATCTTCTTAGAACACAACAAAATATTTTTTTCCTTCTTTCCATCTTCAATAATCTTAAAACTTTCGGGCACGCCTTTACGACATCTTCAATTTTTTTTTTAAATTAGTTTATGTGATCCTAAAAACCTTTTCCGTGCCCTATATAGAGAACTTTTCACTGAGGAAAATGTTGATAATTGGTTTGCAGATATATTAGGGTTTTGCTCAAGAAAATCAGTTGACATGTCATCGAAAATTTGTTGAACAGGATTTAAATTTGTGCAAACTTCTTTTTTCATTGCAGACAAAAGCCCTGCAATTGGAAACTTATTCTGGTCGATCAAGCACTTATGGTTACTTTCACGTATTATTTTTGTTTTATTCGTGCTTAGGGTTACGGTAGCTGTACATATTTCACGATGTGTGCACTTCCACCGTGTCGTACCGTTATGATTCGCCTTACCGTCTTGAGTTAAGTGTCCACTTGCCTTTTACAATTAGAAGATCTTTATTCTTATGATTTTTTGAAAACACAATTTCTTTGGAAGGAGCCATAATATTTTTATTTTATATTTTAACTTTAAATAATGTTTAATTTCATATTAAATGAACAGGAAATTATAAACTGGATTGACAATAGCAAAGGATGACAAATCACTTATAACTTTATTACAAGTGGCCACTTAGATACTACTAGTAATCGATGCACAGAGAATTTATAAAACGAAAGAGTTTTGTTATAATAAATATAAGTATGCAAACTTGAGATGGGGACTTCCAGTGCGTATGCTGGCCCATTCTTCCAAAAGTGTCGTCCTCTTCAGGCCAAGTGGGCATTGCTAGTTTGTATCGTATTGACGAACTGTCTACAATGTGCCCAAGTGCTTTAATGTACGACTCTATTGGTGTGGGTAGATGGTGGTTCCCTGAGAGAACCTGTCCAGCAATAGAATCCTCGTCGTATGTAGACGAGTCATCCTCTTGTTTCAATGTGACGAGGCGAGCATATAAGCTCATGGTGCAATAGTACACCCATGCTGACTTTGCCACGCTCTTAGCGAAGTAAGGTTGGTTCGACGCAATCACGTCGTACTCCTTCTCGCATAGAGGGATGAATCCCTCGGCTGTGATCGCGAACTCAATCGTTCTGCGATATGGGGCTACCCCGGGAAAACCCATCATATCGATGTCGCCAAACATCGGTTCGTTTTTGGGCTTTGTCGCGACGGTTGAGAGCCTGGTTGGCTTCGGTCCGGCACTATTCGGATCTCTGGGCGGCAATGGGGGTGCGGCTGCATTTTCGGATCCCTTAGATCTCTTTGAAAATACTCTACCCTTTTGCCTCCTGGGACCGCTCGTGCTAGGAGCCTTCTCTCCTGTCTGCGTCTCGGTTTGCATGTCTCTGTCACTTATGGTGGTTGCCATCGTGGCGAGTCCTCAAATTTACAAGAAATTTGGGCGAGATGGGGACTTGTCTATCGGTGGGATGGTAACGAACAATATCCATAAATATCACATGAAAATTCATTTCAATTCATTTTTTAATTAATTCAGATTGTACTTATGTATATTGTTTTTCGGATCGTTAGGATACAACTTTTTTTTAACGTTTTGGGATTCAACATACTTATATAATAAAATATTCTTTATTGCACTTACAATATACAGACATTTTAATATAATAGTTGTATGCAAAGGTGGACTTATCTCTAGAAGAGATCTCTTCCAGCCAACCTTTGTTCATCAGAAATAGATTATTAAAAAAAAAAAAACCATATAGCAAGTTCAACTTTTAGCGAACTCAACATTTTAGGAATTCAACATTGTGGGAGTCAACATTTTGCGAATTCAACATCATAAGAATCCAACACTTTGCAAATTCAACATTGTGGTCTAGAATGCTTATATTTTCACTTTTCCTGAATAAAAATTCACTAGTGATAGCATAATATTTTTATTAACATGATTTAAATTTGGATAGTATGGAGAAGATTTTTTTAATATTCATTAGAATATTTTCATTGATTTTTTTTTTATGAATTATTTGAAAATTAACATTTTATAAATATTTTAACTGTTTTCCTAAAAAAAATATGATTTTTTTAAAACAGTACGATTTTTATTTTACAGATATAATTTTAACTTAAACATTACTTTAAAACATTATACAAATACAAAAGCCCAACTGCATAAAAGCTAACTAAAAAGATAAAAACAAGTTGACGAAGGAATAAAGTATTATGCAGTCGGTGACATACAACTTGGAAAAGATTTTTTAGAAGAAATCCTTCTAAGCACAAAAAATCAAGAGAGCTCTTATGATAGTGATCTACAGAATCAGAACATTCCTCGTAAAAGGGGTAGACCAACTGTTACTCCAACTATGAGACGCCGCACTTTTGAAGCAAAGCACATGCCAATTCTCGAAGAAAAACAGTCCAGGTGCAGGTCCTGCCACTACAATAAAACTCATTTTAAATGTAGTACATGTAATATTAGCTTATATTTAACTTAACAAAGAAATTGTTACGCTGATTTTCATGCCTGACTGATTTTACTGTGATAATGAAAAAGATTTGATTTTTTAAGTTTAAAAAAAATTAGAGAAGATTTTGTTTATTTTTTGTTTGAAATTTTTAATACTTTTCAAGTCCAGAGATGCTACAATAAAAGTAGATAATTTAATTATTAAATAAAGAGATGAAAGCTTAAGACTGATTAAAAATATATTATAAATAACATAAAAAACTTTTTGTTTTATTTACCCAATTGTACCCAATGTTCTCTAAGGTGGACAAATAAAATACAGCTGATTTTAGTAAATCTGCCCAGTGTCTTGTTAAAAGAACAAAAGATATAGATTTTAAAATAGCGTGAATCGTTTCATTATGATCTATTTACTACCATAAACAATTATAAAAAATATATATCTTATACAAGACCTTTTTTTTTGTTCTATTTGTTCTGGACAGGAAGCACTTGTAAGATTTTGTACTTTGTAGAGGACAGCAGGCAGAATTACCAAACAAGTTCTTATTAGCTTGGGCAGGACGAGGATATAGTATAAAATTAGACAACTCATAGAATGTAGTTTAGTAATAAATGGATATTCGAACTGAAAACATCTAATCTTATTAATTACCTAGTCCCGTCCTTACTGTTGTGTATGGACCCAGGGCCCCAATATACGGCCACATACTATTGACGAGTTAGCTTTTATATTTTACGAATGCTATTTTTAACTAATCGTATTATTTTTGCATCATAATCAGAATAGGTGTATTACAATTAAATGGTTTTAAATTTTAGACTTAAGATATACGACCAGGACAAATAGCTGGCCTAATCTCAGGGGACGTCGATGTCATGGTATGGAGAGATAATAATAGGGTTTCATGATCGCTACATACCATGGCAACGCTTCTTTACAAATTGAAAAATTGACCAAACCTATTTTAATATTAAATTACTATGTTATGATCGGTGGGGTGGACAAGAAAGACCAAATGTTGGCAATGTACCCCATAGAGCGGAAACGAACAAGGATGTGGTATAAAAAACTATTTAAAAGACTTCTAAACGTATCTATATCGGGGGGCACGGCAATGCCCCCGCCAAGTCGAGCAAAAAAGGTTATATTATTCATCATCACTCTTCTTCTTCTCATACTCATCGAAATTTCCGTTTCGCTTTAGTAAAATCACTTCTTTATAAACATTCGTCTGCTACTCCATTTCCGCTTACGACCTCACAGAACAAACGTGTAGATCTCACCCATCGCTTGGTTCAGTACCAGTTTTCGAACTAACAGCGCCAGCGGTCAGTGTGCAGCATTTGCAAAAAACGGGTGCATACGTTCTGTATTGGTTGCGATAAATGTGTATGTATTGAACCCCGTTTTCTTAAAATGCATTCATAGACTTTTAATTTATGTAATATGTATTTATAAATATATTTTTTGTATTTATTTATAAAATATCTTGTTTTTAAATATCTACTAGCGGCTCACCCTCGCTTCGCTCGGGTTCGTCGCTAGGTACGTTTTAAATAGATATAAAAAGAAAAAATCTTTCTTTCTCACATTTTAATTATATGTTTTAATACTTACCTATTCCGGACTAAGAGAAATCCAAAAATTAAAATATCATAAAAATTGGAACGCGGTCGAACGGGATAAAAAGTATCCTATGTCCTTCTCCTGGCTCTAAACTACCTCCCTGCCAATTTTCAGCTAAATCGGTTCAGCCGTTCTTGAGTTATAAGCGAAGTAACTAACACGACTTTCTTTTATATATATAGATATTTTACCACGTCTTTGTTCGTTTCATCTATCTGGTGAAGTTGGTAAAGTTCATCTTAAGCGAGACATGTTGAACATTATATGGGAGGAGATTAGTATAGCTATGTATCTTTACTTAGTGATAATTAGTATTTGTTGCTTTTACGCCGAGTTGCACGAAACCTTCGCTAATTTTCCGTTATCTAAGTAGAAATTAATCTTAAGATTAGCTAATGTCAAGATTAAATTTAAAGCTATTATTCGTAATTATTTTCTCATCCTTTAAATGATTATTAAGTGTTTCCTCATAAAAAAATATACTTAATCTGAAGACAGATTAGTAAGGTTTAAAATTGTTCACCTTGAATGAATTAAATGAACGATATTTTTTATTATCTGCGTTTTTGCTAATTTAAATTGGCGCCACTGAATAATAATATAATCAGAAAAATGAGTTTTATGTCATAGAGCTTAGAAGCTAATTTTCAATTATTACGTAGTTGTCTCCGCGTGTGTCTGAAAAAAGTCGAACAACAAAAGCACAGAACCGTCGAAGTAGAAAAAAAGGTGTTTTCTTTTGTTAAAATTAAACCGATTTTTTTGCGTGTGGACTTTCTAGGCACGTCAACATGTCTAATTCAAACGATAGAATTCCGCGAAAAAGGGGCCCAAAGTATACAGAGGCAGAAAAAGAAAATTTGATGTTTTTGGCTAAACGGTAAGTATACTTGCTTGGTCTCAATTAGTCCAGAGCTATAATGCTTCATCTACTAGTGGCATAAGAACAACGGAGCAGCTGAAGCATTTGTACGAAAATATTAAGCAAAACGCTAGAAAAGCTCTGGCTACATCAAATGTAATTATTGTTACCTTAAAAGTTTGCTGCTAGCCGATCTGGCCGTATCTAATTTGATATTACATACCTAATAATGTATAGACTATATTACTTCTGGATAAAGTAGCTTTCTAATGGTAAAAGATTTATTAAAATCTGATTATTGTTACCTTAAAAGTTTGTAGCTAGCCGATCTGGCCGTATCTAATTTAATACTACATACCTAATAATGTATTTTTATACATAGTAATTTGAAATATATATTTTTTAGAAAGCTGACTACCTGCATAAATTAGAAGAAGAGAAAGAGAAAGCAGTTCTGGAATCTCTGGACAAATCAGACGTAGGTTTATTTGTTTAATAAATTTATACTTGATGAATTAATTGTTTATTCTAATATTGTAAGTATTAATAACTTGTTTTTTTATTAGAAAGAAAACATATCGGATTTGGAAACACTGAAGTTCCTGGATAAAGCTGACAAAGTTGGTATAATTATTTAATAGCTAGTGTTATATAATAACTACGATGCGTTGGCAAAACGGTCACAGAACTGGTTTGTCGCTGTTGTGCTGGCGGTTTCGGGTTCGATCCCTGCACATGACAAACATTTGTGTTGGCCATACAGATGTTTTCCGTGGTCTGGGAGTTTGTGCAGTCCTTGAGGGTCTCCCCACCATGCCTCGGAAAGAATGTTAAGCTGTCTGTCCCGATTGTTATCATACACACCTGATAGCAATCATTACTCATGGTAGGGAATATACTCGTATCTGTCAACTCGCATTGGAGCAGCATGGTCGATTAGGCTCTGATCCTTCTGCTACATGGAGAAAGAGGCCTATGCCCAGCAGTGGAATATTACAGGCTGAAGCGTATATAATAACTATTTAGTCCTCATGTTATATTTTATTTCAATAAAATTAATGACTTTCAGATTGCACTTAAAAAAACTGGTGGAGGGTGCTTCATCCCCATATCCACAGCAAAGATTAAAAATTTTGGAACTAATAAAGGATCAGGTGGAACCTCTTCACAACCCTTTTGATTCTGCAGCGTCATATTTTAAGGGTAATTATAAAATTAAGCGGATGAGCCATTTCCAGTCGAAAATCAGATAGTTGTTTGTGAAGTTATTGATGTTGACAACAATTTTAAGGAAGTAAATGAAAAACCAAAAGGTATTTTGACGTTTAATTATATGTATTATACATACTTAAAGTAACTTACTAAAAGTAAATTAAATGTTTTTCTTTATTTCAGATCATAATATAAAGAAAAATAAATTCAGGACCCAGCATAAGACTATAAAAGGTGACATTACCAAAAAATAATAAGAGGATCTGTAATAATTAATTAGTGTTTGTACTTGTTGCTTTAATATTTTACATATTTTTCAGAAACTCAAGGCCAATCTGTGGTGTCTGCTAACAAGAAAAAAGGAAAGAATATATAAAGCAGCCTATTTTAAACAAAAATATCAGAATTGTATTTTGGAGAGGAGGCGAATATATCAAGATGTTGTCAAAAAAACTAAATTAGAAACTGAAATTCTAGAAAAAAAAATTAAACATTTTACAGCCCTAATAATATTTTTATTTAACCAAATCAAACATAGTTACATACTGTTCTAAATATTAAATAATTAATTAAAGTTTAATAATATGACTGCTATAACTCTAGCAGGTTACTATCAATGTTCAAAGCAATATTATTCAGTTCAAAACTATATATATTGCTTGAAGCGTTGACAGAAACCCCCCTCGTGAGATTCAGTATCTTCAAATCAAGAGTGAATAGGCATCTTCTAGGCAAACATGCTCCACCTTAGGCTGCTTCAGGCCTTTCAGCAAGTCTGATTGCAGTCAAGTGGTAGCCTATAAATTTAAAAAAAAAGATTGCAGTCAATGGCTAACTTATAGTGGCTAAAACAAATTATTAAATCTGTTAAGTAGTTTCAGAATTTATGAATTACAAACAAATTTGTGACATACCTCTTGTGCTGGTTATTAAAATTAAATATTTCACCCGGAAAACACAGTATTTACTAAAGTGGTTCTCACAGAAGTATCCTCGCCATATTGAAATGCACTGTGCAATTCTTCTAATGAGGCTTCTTCTAAATCAAAGTCTACACTTAGATCTTGGGGAGGCTGTTCATCATTCATCTCTATCGCAATGTTGTGTAGTACTGCTGTTGCCACAATTACATTCAAAATTGTCGTTATTTTTCTTAATGTAATACCTGCAAAATTGTATTGGTAAGTATATTATTTTGGACGTGAATGCTCATGCAGTATTACCTGCTCAACTCAAAAACGTAACTTAGAAGATACCTTTTTGTAAGCAAGGAAAATGCCTTTTCCAGACACCAAAACACCTTTCTATGGTGTTCCTGGTTGTGATATGGGCTCTGTTATAATTTTCCTCCACTGGTGTTGCTGGACGGACAAACGGGGTAAGCAAATATTTTTTACAAAAATACCCACTGTCACCTAATAAACTCGTGAAAGCTGAACTAAAGACATGATGTATAATATGCCAATAAATTGCTGGATGTCTGTAGTGGAAACCCGAAAATTATTATTGGGATCCTTTTGCACAATGTATAAATTAGTTTGCGTTGCTATAAAATCAATTAAATCTTTAGAAAACAAGGACAAGAAAATCTGGATCGGCGTGTCAAGCTCTAGAATATTTGTTGTTAAGTTTTCGTTTCCTTGAAAACGTAACTGATGCTCATTCAAAAGCAGGTTTTTCATTTTCCATCACAGGTTGAGTTTTGCTGGCTTTCTAGGTTGTACCACAGGTTGCATTTGTTGCGATCCAGTTGGTACAGCAGAAGTAGATGGAGACGGATCAGGTTGATTGTCTTCTAAACTATGAATGATCTCTTCAAGGTTCAATTCATCATATTCGTTTTCATCGCCAGAAAACTGCTCTTGTTCCATCTCATCTTCAGTTCGATAGTCAGGATCTGCAACACTGTCATCGTCATCTTCCATACCATCTTCACTGTCTTCATTCATTCCAGTCAATATTTTGGCTATTTCGTCATCCCAAAGGGGTCGAAAAGTCATTCTAAAAAGAGAGCAAACGAAACATGTAATGAACCTCTTCACAAAAAAAAATTACCCACGTTAGGCAATGTAACATTTCTGGTACAAACAAGCCAGACAGTCAAACTCATCGAAATTCGAAGGCATTCAAAAACATTAAAACCCACTATACACTACAAAGTATATGTAATCACCTGTATATTTTTAAAAAGTACACAGTATTTATCGCGTTTTTCTATTTTTCACAGATTTTTGATTATTTGTAAAAATCAAGTAGATAGAACGCGCGGGCGACAAACAAGTGCTGTCACGCCACCATCACACTTACTTACGCCATCTACATTATTTGTGTTACACTAAGTCGATACATCGGTTTGTTACAGTTTTGTTACAGTGCCACGAAATGGACTCGAAATAATATTTTAATTATAAATGGCCAAGAATCGGTTTGTGACAGAAATGTCAAACGGCGCTACAGAGGGTTATGAGCTCGAATTTTGCAAAGCCTTTGCACGTCGTTAAAGCTTTGCAAAATTACAGACACTATCTGAGAACTCATTAAAAATGTCATAACCCGAAATGAATGAGATATTAAAATCGACCGTGCATAAAAAGTAGTGTATCGTTGTCAAATAAAAAGTATGATTATGATGGTTACTTAAGCTACGAGTATTATATTGTGATATTTTTTAACAAAGATAGTTTCTTAAGGCTGTATTATCGGACTTAAGGTTCTTTAACTTTGGATTTTTACTAAATATCTTATAGTATTTCAAGAATATGTAGTAAATTTAATTATTGTATAACTTAGAAAACTTACAAAATTATTATAAAAAAAATTATATTAAAGTTTTAATGACATTAGAAATAAAACAAAATTGTACTTAATGTTTTTTATTTAATGAAAACTAAAATCTTTGAACATTAAAATCTATACAGATACGTAAATTGAAGTGTCTGTTTGTAACACAAAAATAACAGCTTTTTACTACATGCATGTGAACGGTACGGTACTAACAATTAGAAAACACATTTTTTTATATTTTTGTGTGTCTGTCTGTTGTCCTCGCTAATCTCTGAAACTGCTGGACCGATTTTGAGGGGACTTTAACTGGCAGATAGCTGATGTTATAAGGAGTAACTAGGCTACTTTTACTTTAATCTCAATAATAAAATGTACACCATCCACTTCCATATGACACTTCCATATGACACTTCCATATGAGTATGACCTTTCATAAGATATTTATGGTTAATGCATTGTAGGTTAGGTATTTTCCATAATAACCATAAGTAACACATGATGATATGTATGTTTTTATTTTGTCCTGCACAATTATCGGACCAAATGGTGATTTCTCTTGTTGGCGTGATGAGGACATTCTTATCAAACCATTTGATTAAACCCTAAGATAATTCGTTTCCCCCACGCCCTTATATAGATTCGTTCAACATAATGCAGGTACTTTTGTTTGTGACACCATCTAGTATTGTATAGTTGAATGTCCACAGGTAAACATTTCTGTAAGTCGACAGTGATCATCTTACAATCAAAATTTTCTCTACATTGAAATCTATTAAAAGCTTTTAAATCGTATCGAGTCTTTGCTTCTTGCACGTGTTTTTCATATTTTTCCTCTAAAGTTTCCTTTTCGGTACCTTGAGAACTACGTATTTAAACGACATAACGATCACAATCATCACACGTGTCAGTCTCTGTTGGCTTAACTCTACAACCGTACCCATACATGAATTTTATTATAGGTACCCTGGGGTACAAGCACACCCCAAATAAAAAAGTCACATTTTTCAAAAGAGACTAAAGTTTTATTTAAAATCAACATACATGCATGCATTCTTACATCTATTTTGGTCTCAGTGAACACAAGTCGTGTGTGCGTGTGCATGCGTGCTTGTGTGTTCGCGTACGTGTGTGTAAAGTAAGAGAAGAGTATTAAGAATGGGAGTCCAAGTTATCGTCATATAAATCGTGATTTGGTCTTAAAAGCATTACATTTTGTAGTAAATGACCGTCCATGTTACTTCTTAAACGAGATAAAATAAATTTTAATGATGAAAATAAACGTTCAACAGACACTTGAGTTGCAGGTGCTGCTAAAATTCTATTAGTAACTGCAGCTAATGTAGAAGAAACAGTTCCTTTATTTGACCAATCTTGAATAATATTTTCAGTTGGGGCTAATCTTGGTGCAAATCTTAATTCTTTCAATGTAATTTCAAAAGAAGAAGCTGTCTTTTCGAAGTCTTTTCAAGAGGACTACTCCTCTTTCTTCTTCTGTTTGCTTTAATATTCTTTCTATGTCTGTAGTAAATGTCTGTGAACTAGAGGTATTTGGATTTTGTTCAATTAAATGGGGATCCTTATAAAGCATATTCTCTTCAAATTGAGATTCTTTTATCTCTTAATTAGGCGTATTAAGAAAATCACACAATTAGTCGCATGGGGTCTCGAGTGACCCCAAAAAATGTTGAGAAAGGAGTGTAAGAAATAAATAAAACAAAGTTTGAATTATAAAAAATATTAAAGTTCTTTATTATACTTAACTTTGATAAACGCAAACATAACTTTTACTTAATATTTAAACAAAAAAATAACAAACTTCTAACTTCTCTTAAAACTACAAATTTTTTGATTAATTTTTTTTTTTACGTTGATCACTCATTAGCAGATCGTTCTAATCTGCATTCGACGCAGTATAACCTAAGTGTTTTTGACAATTTACAATACTTTTAACATTTGGTTGGCACTTTTTTGTCATTCTTCCTAGGACAATATGAACAACACCCGCGCTTAGCTGTTGACTGTTGCACCGTCTTGTTCCAATCATGTACTTTACGAAGCTGTTTTTTTGTTGTCGTGGGGACAGTACGCTGTTGAATACGACGCTTGTGGTGGCTTTCTACAAATGCTGCTGCTATTTTTTCCAAAAAAACCGTCTTGTATGAGTAATTAGTATTTGCTCTGTGTATGACAAATGGTTCATTCCATCGTTTCGGGTGTTACATTTGAACTCAATAAAGTATGTTTTATTAGAAGTAGTAATAGCAACTAGACTATTATAACTATTGAATCACCCATTTGTTGGGTAATATTTTCTTTTCCAAAAATCGCATTTTTAAAATATTTGAGCAATAAAGAGAAAATTACGAATAAGTAGCTGTTTCGGGTGTTACACGAAATTGCCTCTACCTTCTGACCATGTCTTAACATGCATAATTCAGCGAATTTTCCTAATAATCGCCAGTTTAATTTATAGCCAGTCAAACTAGATCCAGTAGCCCATCTCAACACGGAAAAAAAAATTAGTAATCAATGTTTTATTAATTTTAATGAATAAAATTACCTGTTTCAGGTGTTACTAATTCGGGTGTTACTATTACGAAATTAAAATACATATATCCGAAATTATGGGCCATATTAATGAAATTTTACGCTCTCTCTTAAAATCATAACAAAAATAAATCAAAAATTATAGAATTATTATAAAACACTAATTGTTGTGTGCGTTAAGGTTAAGGTTGATTTTTCCTTTCGATAGCTTAATTAAATAAAAATGCGTGTGCTTTAATTTTGCAACTGTTCGTATAACGTATTACATTGAGAATTGAGAGCGGACGGCGCGTAACAAAATGTTTATACATATAAAATATAACGTATGTTTGTTTTAAAGCGTTTTAGACTTAACATACTGCCCACCAAAGAACTAAAGGTTCTTTAAAATGATTCTATATAAAACTACAAATACTTTTACCACAAGTTGTTAAACAAAAATAAACAAATGTTAATGTTACTGAACTAAATAAAAATTACATTTAATTACTAAGAAGAATCAATAGGTAGTGCACATAACTTAGAAATGGATCTCTTAGTAATGGAACCGTCGCTCTTGACGCTGTAGACCCTCGTGAAACCATCTAGTCCTGGATGCTTATTTATAATTCTTCCTAGTTTCTATTTTTCAGGTGGTAAGTTATCCGTTTTTATTATTACGATGTCCCCTATTTGTAGCTCTTTCTCTATTTTCATCCATTTAGGACGTTGTTGAAGTCTCGACAGGTACTCGTCTTGCCAACGCCGCCAAAAATCGTTTACAAGTTTCTGTATGTTGCCAGCGTGACAAGTGGGATGTTTTTACTTCTCTAAGATATGAGCCCTTAGCACGAACATTAAACAATTACGTCATGTATTCGTATCGAGTTAACTACACGAAAACGTATACTTAACTATTACTATAGTTGTCGGCAGCACGAACGCCTAAATCTTACGTGTACTCGATAGCATCACGTTACTATAGGTAAACAATGCCTAGAACACAATAGTAATAAGAACGAATGTAATTAAATGCTACGTTTAAAAATTGCTGTAATTGTGTTTTTTTTAAGTCAATTATGGTGATAATAAAATAGACACCGCGTTATGAATAACTTAAATTTGTGTCCTAGGTAATTTAAAATAATATTTGAATGAAAATTATATTTTATATATTTTATTATATTATAATTAAATATTTGGTACATAAAAATGTTCCATGTTTTTTATATTTCGGAACGCGCCATTTAAGTTCTACCACTTAAGAGTAAGGGTCGCGTCGTTTTACTTGTTGCTTAGCTCGTTGTTTAAAAGTTTGTATTTATATTTTGTTTTCGATTTTATTCGACTATAATTTTATTAATAATGTCATCATGAACTAGCCACATACACTTTTTAATGATGGTGGAATTCATGGAAAAGTAAGTCCTCACTAAATTAAAAACAAGAGCTTTTTATAATTTTATTTATTCTTAAATATATATTCTAATGAGTATATTTATTTCTTTAAGAAATGGAGATTTATCGAAACCTCAGTGTTTGCCGCAGGGGCGTCAGTATTGTTTAAGAATGTGGAAAGAATTAGCGGAACTTCTTAACAGCCAGGGAATCGGCGAATATCGCAGTGAAGAAAAGTGGAGAAAAGTTAGTTCTAGTTCGTTAATTTTTCTAAAGATTTTAATGCATGTCAAAAGCACTTCAATTATAAAGTTTCACTGCATGGTTATTCACATTTTTTTGTTCATAAACATTTTATTTGCATTGCCTAAGGTATGGAGTGATTTAAAAAATAATACCAAAAGGAAGTGGGCAAAAATTAATAGATCGGTGCGTGGCACAGGTGGTGGGCCTGCTCTTAAAATGTGCCTAACCGATTTAGAGAACCGGGTTCTTACTATGCGTGTCCAGGCAGCAACTGGAATGCCCATCGCTGAAATTGGTTTTGGAATGGTTTGTGATTTTTTATGACTGCTAATATGAACTAAATTTGGTTTTATATTCAGGTGGTGACTGTTGCTTTGTTAACTTGTTTGCCACATTCATTAATTCAAATACTACATATATCAATCGCAATCGCATACTACATAAATCAATCGCAATCGGCAATCGTGTGTAACGAAAGTGAGTTCGGGCGACGCCGCGCCGCCATTCATTCTCCTCGTCGAGCGTCGCAGTGATCGGACGCACAAAGGAAACAGGCCCCTGACAGTCTAGTTTTCAAGTGCGCCGTTTTGGCGCTGTGATCGATGGCTTATAACGACGCCATTTTGAGATGCCGCCATGATGTTGTCACTTGGACTTGACGTTTAATTTTTATTCATTGTGTCAACTAACAGCGTTGAGTGTACTGGTATTTTGTGAATTTCCTCGCTTTTTGCTTGAGTTGAAATCCAAAATATTCAATTACTCCTCTGTTTTTTGATACAATACATCAATATTTTTAGGGCGGAGTTCACCGACTTTTAAAACGGCTGTTAATCATTTAAACAACTGATTAAATCATTTTTAATGTTCACCACACGTTAACCAGTGTTTACATCCCTTAAACAGCCGATTACTATAACCGAGCTCTAAAGCATCGTTTAACCGTCCATTAATGCCATATTTTGACATCTGCTCAGCAGATTCTGCTGTGACTTTACAACAGTTGCAATATAACGTTATTTTTTTGATAATAGATAAACATGCAGTCAGTATTCAAGGTATTAATTGATAACTATCAAGATCACTACTTAGGCCTTCTTGAAAATCTAGAAGATATAGAGACCAAAACTAGGCGACCTAGAGTATTTCAAATGCGTCGTAATTATTACGAAGAATATAATGAGGAATCATTTAAAACTAGATTCCGTTTGTCAAAACCTTCTGCACTGAACATGTAGCATACATATAATGTAACAATATGTAAAAGTATAGAATAATATATAACTTACTCGTATAATAATAATTAAAACATTTAATAAATTATTAAACTTTATATAGTAGAACTGCATGTCGGAAGGCGGTCGTGGCCGCGTCGTTGCGCATTTTATAAATGTTGCAATAATCCTCAACCGGTACGAGAACAATAGGCATCGGCGACGCAATCATGCGCCGGCCGGCTGACCGCCTCACGCCACAGTCCACAACAGCTACTCAAAGTGAACGCATGTCGCTCTGTATCAGCTCCGTACTTAATCTTGCTATCGTAGTTAATTTAATTTTCACTTTCGTACTTCCATCTTATCATCTGTGTATACTAAACTGTTGCTTGAGCTTACCTATGACTATTTCTTCTGTGAATTTCTTCCGTGCCTTCTGACTGTAACCTGTTTCGCTAAATAAACTGTGTAGTGAACATTTAAAGTGGCGTGATCATTTGTTGCCTAATCATCCGCACATACATCTCACTCACCCCACAAACATACTACAACTAATAGAAAATAAATTAGAATTCCCGAACGATAAGTAAGTAATTACTATTATTTATAACCAATGTTTATTAAAAAGGGGTAAAACTGTGTGTAAGTTCTTTCAACTCACAGCCTCAAATAGATTATACTTATTATGTGGTTTGTTATTCAGTCTCAAGTTCAATGTCGCTGCTAGTAATAAAAAAATGCAATTTTAGAAATTAAAATGTTTAAATATTTATTTAATCTTTTACTTTATTGTAGAAATAATTCCCTGGCACCTATAAATCAGTTACTATTGACTTTACGGTACTATGCAACTGGATGTCATCAACTGACCATGGGTGATTTTTCTGGAGTCAGTCTACCAACAGCTAATCGTGTCATCCACCGAGTAACTGCAGCAATAGCCTCCCTGAGTCGTGATTACATCAAGTTTCCGCAGACTGACGCAGATATTAGAAAAACCCAACTAGACTTTTACAATATAGCCAGATTTCCAAAAGTTATAGGTGCATTGGATTGCACTCATATAAAGATAATATCACCAGGAGGAAGCCATGCAGAAACCTTCAGGAATAGAAAAGGCTATATGTCAATTAATGTGCAAGCTATTTGTAATGCCTAATTGTTATTGACAGACCTAGTTGTTAGGTGGCCAGGAAGTACTCATGATGAACGGATATTCAGTGCATCTAGAAGACATGCCATGTTTGAATTGGGAATGCATGGTGATTCAGTACTTGTTGCAGACAGTGGGTACATGAATAGAAATTATTTGATGATGCCATTAGATAGAGTTTCTACATCAGCAGAATCTTTATATAATGAATCCCAAATTAGGACACGCAACCCAGTTGAGAGGTTATTTGGGGTTTGAAAAAGGCGCTTCCCAGTGTTAGCCCTAGGAATTAGGGTAAACTTGAAAAATGCCCCACCTATTTATTTATAGTAGCTACTGGTGTATTACACAACATTCTACAAATGAGAGGAGATCAAATGCCTTTAGACGACCTGAGTCTAGACTTGCCAGCACCATGGGAAGAAATATTCCGTAAAACGGGGTGAATAGCAATGATTTTCAACTTCGTCTTAAGAATTTGTTGTCTGTTACTTTTTTTTTTAATCTCAGGTTATTTTATATCATGCCCGGTTCCATAAAGAAAGTGCTGAAACAATATTTTTTTAACTATAAGCAAAGGTTTTCCAGATTTTTAATAAAATATGTACCGTTTCTATTCACCCGACGATTGGGGTCAATAGAAATGCGTAAAGGGGTGAATGGAAAAACTGGTAGGGCTACCAAAAATGACTTATCCAACATTGCAAAAATATAAGGTTGTATATTTAAAAATTGTTTTGGTTTGTAAATGTTAATTGAAAATCAAAATTTGTTATTTAAGCTATTTATGCGTATGAACATAAATAATAAAGTATGTTTGTATTTTAACCGATTTAATTTTTATGGAATGTTATCTCTTTTCGATAAATCAAACAAGATACTACTTATTCGTATTTTTATTTAAATTAAATAAAATAACAAAATAAAAAACAACCTTCTGAATTAAAAGTTTAGTTTTTCTGAATTTTAAGTTTATACATATATGACGAAAAATAAACAACTATAAATCTTTTGAACTTAACTTAATCATCATAACAAATATCACAGGTAATCAACTTCAGCCTACGTTATGGCTTTGTAGAATCAGTACTACTGGCGTAAAAATAATCAATATTCTTTAAAAAAACCCAAATTCTAAATCTTCTGAACTTATCGATATTATAATAACAAAGTTGTAACAAGGTAGGTAACTTCAGCCTACGCTATAGCTTTGTAGAACCAGTGTGCTCAGCGTGAGTTTTCTCAACCAATAAGAGCGCCAAACACGGTTGAAAGTTACTATCGCGTCAAAGAAAAAAAAACTCGCACTAAGTACACTAAACTACTTACTATGTACAAGTAATCAAAATTCTTAACTTAACAATTATTATAACAAAATTTTCACATGTCATCATCCTCTTCTAAAACTTTTAATATTTTGTCACTATTATTGTAGTAATTATTTGTATGGTTTTTCTTTGGCAATTTAATGAGATCTTTTACCGCTACAGTCTTGTACTTTTTTATAATAGGTGATCTGTATTTTTTGTTATACTGATCGTCATTCACTAGCTCATTCGATATTATTTTTACTTTATTCTCCATAATAGTATTATCATCAGCAGGTTTTTCAGTATTGATCGTGAGCTCTTCACATATGCTGTCAAAAAAGAGAATGGGCAGACTGTTTATGTTATCATTAGGTATTTCGCATTTTAATTCTTGTAAGATATTATTGTAGTTTTCCGTTTCCGTAATACTGTTATAATTTTGTTGTTCCATATTATTATGATAATTTTCGTAAACCGTGACGTTATCGTAATTTACCTGACCAATATTATTATCATAATTGTCGTAATTCGTGTTGTAATCGTAATTTTCCTGCCTTGTTAATCGGTATTTTTCTTGTTCTTCGTTTTTGTGAAACTCTTCTTTCCATTCTTTGTTGTTATCATTATTGTCCTTGTCTTCTGTTTTTATTCTTTTCAAACTTGATTTTTTTGTTATTCCCTCCATATCTTTTCCTTTAATCTCATTGTTTTCTATATTATTCTCGAGATTTTCTTTTTCTTGTATTTCTTTTGCTTCCAAATAGGATGTTTTAGTTTTTTTTCCATTCCCTTTGCCTTTTCCTTTGTAAGGTTCTATTTTATTAGGGCAATTTTCTTCTTCTTTCATTGGTTTTAGTTTCAACTTTGTAATTGTATTTTTTTTTGCCTTACCTTTATTTTTATTGTTTAAACCTGATGGATAGCTTGTATCGTATTTTGTTTTTTTTAAATTTGCCATACTAGTATCAACATCGGTTTCTGCATAATCTTCGATTTCCTCTGGAGCGACACTATGCGTATAAACTACGATGACTTTTTTTAGTTTATCAAGTTTTTTAACAGTTATTTATCTTTTACAGAATTATTTCAACATGGCCCAAAATAGGCAGTCTTCGACTGAACAAATAAGCGCGATTCTTGAAGATGAAGAAGGAGCTTTCGATGAGACTGACGATGACTTGGGCCTAGAAGGAGACGCAGATACATTTTGGGAGCCAGAGCATGAATCGAACTCAGAAATAAGTGATACTGAAGAACCATCCACATCGACCTCATCCCAACCACCATCCGATTCATCTACGTATTTTTTGGGTAGAGATAAGAGCACTAAATGGAACAAAACTATTCCCAGCCAAAGAGTAAGACATAGATCTCATAATATTGTTACCCATTTGCCAGGCTCAAAAGGAGAAGCAAGAGATGCGAAAAGTATGACTGATCGTTTTTTGTTATTTTTTGATAAAAGTATTATAGAATTGATAATGAAACATACAAATGAGTATATATCTTCAGTTCGGTATAAATTCCAAGGGACATGTGATGCCAAAGACGTAATTTATGAAGAAATGTTGGCTTTTTTTGGATTGTTGGCAATGTCCGGAGTTCTACGTTCGTCGCATTTAAATTTCCTAGATTTGTGGGCAAATGATGGGACTGGGATAGTTTTTTTCAGACACAATGTCAGCAAAACGTTTTTGATTTATCCTACGTTGTTTGCGTTTTGACGACGCTAGTTCTCGGCAATCTAGACTAAATGTAGACAAACTGGCCCCGATTCGTCAATTTTGTGACATTCTAAATGAAAATTTTAGAAAGCACTACACAGTGTCGGAATATGTCACTGTGGATGAACAGCTGCTTGCGTTTAAAGGAAGATTTTCAGGATTGATATACATGCCGAGTAAGCCGAATAAATGGAAGGCCCACGGATATTGAATATTCAAGAATGGAAAGAGGATCGTCTTCAAGCTCTATTACAATTTGCCCTGAAAGAAAAAGTTGGAAAGAAACAGTTTCTCGGGTGAACGCCTTTATTCAACTCCGACTGACGCGAATACATAGTTCGAAATTACCCTCAACACTACATATAGAATAAAGCATTATGCAATGATTGATGCTAAGACTGCCTATCTCCAGAAATTTGAAGTTTACGTAGGGAAACAGCCAGACGGGCCCTACAATAACCCTAATGACACAAAAAGTATCGTCAAACGATTGACCGAAACAATCAAGAATACAGGACGAAATATTACTATGGATAATTATTTCACTAGTATTGATTTAGGTAAAGACCTTCTAAAAGACACATTGACAATAGTGGGTACGTTAAGAAAAAAATAAAAAAGAAATACCACAAGCATTTTTACCTGACAGACGTCGTGAAGTACACTCAACGTTATTTGGTTTTCATGACGACCTGACTTTGTGCTCCTATGTCTCAAAAAAATCTAAAGCTGTTGTAGTATTGTCGTCTATGCATCATGGTGACATCATAGACGAGGGAGAATTGAAGAAGCCTGAGATGATTTTATTCTATAATAAAACAAAGGGTGGCGTAGACACTAATGACAAGCTGTGTTCCACATATAACGTTGCTCGGCGGACAAAGAGATGGCCTATGGTTATCTTTTTTCATTTATTCAATGTGTCTGCTATAAATGCATTTGTTATTTATAGTTTCAATAACAATGAGTCTACTATAAACAGACGAATTTTCCTAAAGTTACTATCAACAGAATTAGTAAAAGCACATCGATTAGCGCGAGCAATAGTTCCGTTCCTACCTAGTGCTTTGAAAAAGCGATTATCAGAACCTGAGGCTGCGACTCCTTCAACGTCTAACACAGGATTGCCCCCAGCAGAAAGAGGAAGGTGCTACATCTGTCCACGAAAAGGCGATAGGAAAACGACCGCAAAGTGCAATAAGTGCAACAATTTTATCTGTGGCGATCATACAAAGAAAGTTTGTGATAATTGTTGAATTATAATAGTACTTACAAAAAACACATTTTTCTATTGTTCTAAATATCTTTCTAGATTTTTTTTTGTATTTTTCTAAAAGTTTAATAAGAAATAAGTAGAATAAAAACAATTAAAGTTGATTATTAATTAAAATGTTTCTTATTTCATACCTATCAATTTGGGGTAACTGCAGACCCCGCGCGACTAACAATATTAGTTTATTGGCGTGCCTAATTAAAGGTTAAATTTATTAGTAACAAAATCAGAAATTGGAATTCACAACAAAAATTATGCACTATTGTTTTTGATGAAATTGCATTAACACCACATTTAACATACAATGAAAGAACTGATGAAATTAATGGGTTTGTTGATGTAGCTGGAAACAGAAAGATGAGATTTTGTGACCATGCTCTAGTCTTCATGATTAGAGGAGTGTGTTCATCATGGCGCCAAACCGTGGCATTCTACTTTTGTGAAGGGACTGTGTCATCAGCTTCACTACAAAATATTTTGAAACAGCTTGTGGAACAAGTGGCTCAGACTGGATTAATACCGTTGGGACTAGTCTGTGATCAAGGTTCAACATTTAGATCTGCCATAAAAAGTCTAAGAGAGATGACCATCCAAAAATGTAGTCATCAAAATGAAATATGGTGACTGTTTCATTTAATACTAAGTATATATCTAATGAAATGCAATCTATCTTAGAATAGTTGGACTGTTCTTTTTTCTGTTATACTTCCATTTTTAAACCATTATGTTTTCCTTTCAGATGGCACAATAATCATTGCTGGATACAGTTTGAGTGTTTTTTTGACCCACCTCATCTTTTAAAAGGGTTGAGAAATTATTTTTTGAATAAAAATATAATCTGGGACGACAAAACAGCAACATGGAAAGATATCCAATTTATATATGATTTGGATAGCAAATTGGGACACACCAGGGCATTACCTAAATTAACAGCACATCATGTTGACCCAAAAAAAATGAAGAAAATGAAAGTCAGTGTAGCTGCTCAAGTACTAAGTGCTCGGACTGCCGCCATGCTAAAATATACAAATACACTCAGTAAGTTAACAATATACTACATAATAATTATTATGTTAAGATCATTTTCTAAATAGAACGAATTTTCCAACATGAGGGATGGATAGCTTCTACTAAATATTATATTTGTACTTAGATTTCAGATTAACTATATACAGGGTGGACCAAAATCCGTTAACATTTGAATCGGTTGCCGCGTCTAGCAGCGGCGGCGGAGGGGGGTGAACGGGTTAGGCATTGCAAGAGCGGCCAATGGGAATTCAGTACCATGGCGTCGTTCAGCGGTAGTCAACGTGCGTTTTGTGTACGAGAGTATTATCGAAATAACGATTCTGCGACCTTAGTTCAACGAAAGTTTTGCTATCAATATAAGATACGACACAAAAATCAAGCTCCATCAGGTGTGTTAATTAAAAAATGGGTGCTCAAGTTTGAGAACACGGGTTCAACAATGGATTTACCTCGCTCTGGCCGACCTAAAACGTCGAGGGACCCCGAAAACGTGGAGCGAGTAAAATCGTCTGTTCGTGACCAACCTGATCTTTCAACTCGTAAGCGGTCTGCTGTCCTTAACGTGCCAAGAACATCATTAAACCGAATTCTAAAGGGAGATTTACGGCTGCATCCCTATAAAATTCAAATGGTGCAGGAATTAAGGCCTGAGGACCATGCCACTAGGCTGCAGTTTGCAAACGAAATGTTAGAGCGGTTCACCAGCTTTACAAACATTTTTTTCTCAGACGAGGCACACTTCCACCTAAATGGGCATGTTAATAGACAAAATTGTCGTTATTGGAGTGATACTAATCCGAAATTAAAGCATCACAAACCCCTGCATTCACCCAAAGTCACAGTATGGGCTGCTTTATCAGCAAGAGGCATTATTGGTCCTTACTTTTTTGAAGACTCAAGAGGACGTGCGGTTACGGTGAATTCCGAGCGCTATATCACCATGTTACAAAACTTTTTCGCTCCAGCGCTGCAGGATTTTGTTGGTTTTAATCAACGCTCGTGATTTCAGCAAGATGGAGCCACTTGTCATACATGTAATGACTCGTTAAGGGCAGCTCGAGACATTTTTGGCCCAAAAGTGATATCGAAAAGAGGGGACATTAACTGGCCACCTCGTAGTCCAGATCTATCCCTAATGGATTTTTTTCTTTGGGGATGTCTTAAGGCTAAAGTTTACGACACCAACCCAGTAACTCTTGACGAATTAAAGGATCGTATTCGCACAGAAATCCAAAACATCTAAACAAACACATGTAAAGCTGTTATCGAAAATTTCCGCTCTAGATTACAACAATGCGAAAATAATGAAGGATTGCATATGGATGATGTGATTTTTAAAAAATAAATTCCCCTTTTGTTTACTGTCAAAAACAATAAACAATTTTAATGTACTGTAATTCGTTTGTTTTCTAACATCATTTCAAATGTATTTTACAATACTCTCAATAATATAATTTCAAAATTTGTTCCCCTTAAAAGAACAAGCCTTTCACACTACCCACGGTGGTATTCAAAATCTTTAATACACATTATAAGAGACAAAAAAGAAGTTCACAAACGATGGAAGATCTATAACAATCCGCGAGACTACGACGAATTCGCTTTACTTCGATCTCGGCAAAAAGTCAACCAAATAAAGTGCTTTAATTCTTATAACCAACGTATGCAAGAATTTATTAAAAAAGATCCTAAAATGATCTTTACATACATGAAAACATTGAGAAACATTAAATATGGCTATCCTAATACACTTACATATAATGACAAAACTTATAACGAGGATACTGAGGCTTGTATTGGATTTAGTCAATACTTCCACAGTAATTTTACAAAACCCGCCACATCATATGAAGATCTTGAACTGAACACTAACGTTATTAATGATACAATTTCTGCATTTGCTATAAAAGAAAATACTGTTCTTAACCATCTAAAAAAACTTAACATACACAAGGGCCCAGGAAGTGATAATATTCCACCAATATTTTTAAAAAACTGTGCAATGAATCTTGCTAAGCCTCTTACAATTATTTTTAACTTATCAATAAATAATTTCGGATGCTTTCCTTCTAAATGGAAAGAAGCCTTAATAGTGCCTATTCATAAAAATGGATCTAGAAATCTAATAACAAATTATCGACCGATCTCAATCTTAAATGCTATGAGTAAAGTATTTGAAAAAATCATTTATGATCTAATTGGACCTACTATAACGAAATCTATCCCTGGAGAAGAACACGGATTCATGCACAGACGCTCCACAGTAACAAATTTAGGAGTCTTTACAAACTACATCTTTGACGCTATGGACGGACGCGACCAAGTCGATGTGATTTACACTGATTTTGAGAAAGCCTTTGATCGCGTAGACCACATAATTTTACTACAAAAGTTACATCAGTTAGGAATACAGGGAAATCTTTTTAGATGGTTTACATCATATATTAAAAATAGAATGCAAGCAGTAATTATAGGCGATGCTAGAAGCAACTTCACGTGTGTACCTTCTGGTGTACCACAAGGTTCAGTACTGGGGCCTCTTCTATATAATGCATATCTTTATGATATAGATAAATGCTTTAGGCATTCACAATTCTTAATGTTTGCTGATGACAAAAAAATCTTTCTTAAGGTCAAAACTATTGAAGATTGCATAAAAATACAAGAAGACTTAAACACACTAGCCCATTACTATGAAATAAATAGGATCAAGGTAAATGTTCGTAAGTGTCATCACATAACTTTCAGTCGAAAAGAGAGACCCATCTATTACAACTATAATATTAACGAAATATCCATCGAAAAAGCTACCTCTGTAAAAGATTTAGGTATTACACTTGATCAGAAACTATCCTTTTCGGAACATTACGACATAATAATAAACAGGACATACAAACAGCTTGGATTCATTAAACGAGCTACACAAAATTTCACGAATACACAGTGTATTAAACTTCTTTACTTTACGTATGTACGAAGCATTTTAGAATATGGCAGTAACATCTGGTCACCTTATTACCAAATACATATCAAAAGACTTGAAAATATACAAACTAAGCTCATAAAATATTTACAATTCAAGGATTTTAAATACTTTGATACATACCAAAGTGCATACAAGCACTATGGCATTGAAATACTTGAACATAGACGCACACAAAGTGACATTACTTTGTTACAAGCAATTTTAACTGGCAGAATTGATTGTCCTGACTTGCTGTCAAATATATCACTACTTGTCCCAAAATTAAGAACGCGACATACCGCCCTATTATATGAACCACCAAAAAAAACACTATATGCTAAAAACGGCATCATACCGCGTCTGACACGAACCTATAACAAATATTACAGCGACTTAGACATATTTAATCTCTCTAAACACGCTCTTAAAAAAATATGAAAATGCTTAATGTCTTTATATACCCGTAATCTATATAAATAGGTGTGCATAACTGTAAATATATCCATAACTACTATAGACCCGTACAGTTATACATAACACAGAAACACACATATACTCACAAATATACACACACACACACACACACACAAACGCATGCACACACACACACACACACACACACACACATACATACGTACACACCCGCAGAAACATGTACACATTATGTTTGATGTGCATATCAGTAGTATGATCAATTTAATTTATTCAGACTTTTTCTTCCTTTATTACTCTGTTGTCTAATACATACACTATTATATCTAATAGAGTAATCTAATCTTGGCCATATTTATTAATAACTCTGTGCTCTAACTGTATATCAAAAATTTTATAACGCTGTAAGATTACCAATAAATAAATAAATAAATATAAACGGACTTTTGGTCCACCCGTTATTTTAACTCTGAATTTTTTTATATTTAATTTTTAGATCACCATTACACAGGCAGCAGCAGCAGCATGGAAACTACAGCAGAAGTTGTTGAATTCTTTGACGAACTCTTTGATAGTGTCAATTGCTATCCTGGCGGTGCAACTAAAGGGAAATTAAGAAAAGCTGTAAAAATGAACTCCCCACATGTACAGTTTTGGACAGAAGTCATAAAAAATTTAAACAATTAAAATATGAGGACATGTCAAGTAAACTTGCCCTACAATCCGGAAAACCTCGACATGTGCGTGTACCATCAGTAGATGGTTGGATTACAACATTGGAGAGCTTTATTAGGATAACTAAAATATTACTCGAAAAATATGCCTTAAAATATTATTATCCTCGCAATGTTAATCAAGACCCACTAGAAAATTTTTTGGGACGTGTAAGGGCTCTAAATTATCGGAATGTTAATCCGGATGCAAATACTTTCATTTATGCATACAAATCTTTATTATTTTCGCATTCATTGAGCCCTCATTCCAAATTTGCTAACTGTGAAGTGGACAATGGAGATACATTAATTGATGCGAATTTATTATTTGAAGATGACAATAATGAAAATAAAGAAAATATAAATCATAACATAATACCATCCACTTCACAAAAAAGTCATGTTCCAAAAAATTTTATCTGTGGGTCTATCTATATCAAAAGAAGTTGTCTTAGAAAAAATAAAAGTCCAATGCTCAGCGTATACTGCAGGATACATTTGCCGAAAAATGTCTTAAAAATTTTAAATGTAAAAGTTGTTTGGAGACTTACACAAGTAGCTCTACAGAGGATAATATTTATTCTTATATCCGGCATAGAGAATACAAATTATTAAAAAATAATAATTTAGTATATCTTAGTTCTAAACGCCTAATGTTATATCGGGACGCAAATTCATATATACAAAATTATTTAAAAATTAAATAATTAAATAAAAATTTGAAAAAAAAATTTAGAGAATTTTAAGTTTTCCTGGTTGGGGTGTCAGAATACACATTCAAATTTATTAAAAAATATATTTTTAAAATATGTTATCAGGCTTCATGTCCACAACTGGAGCAATATTTTAAATAAAATTTTAAAGGGAGGCATTGAAGAAAAGTATGTGTTAAAAATGTCAGACTTTCACAAAACTGCTTTTGTAAAATATAGAAGTAATAAATTAAGAAAAAACCATAAATAAATGAATTAACTATATAACCTGGTTTTTATTTTTTTGTAAATATTCAAAATAATTAGCTGTTATAGGAACCTACCTGCCTACACAAAAATTTTATCGATAAAATAGGCACATCACTTAAGTATCGATAGCTGGATTTTCGACTGTTTCAAGCACTATGCGATGTGTACTACAGTCCATTCACACTTATTTTACCTCTAACAGTATCATGATATGTTTTCTTTGGCTTTACTATCGAGTCGTCCTTTGAAGTTCCTAGCGTTTTTCTGTAATATTTGTGATATTTTATCTATAATCATGCATGAAAAGGATTCAAAGTAGCGGAAGAAATATTGTATTATCAGTGCGTGATTTTTGTGAAAGGGAAAAACACAATAATGCTCCTTTAATTCCATTTGGAAATGTTCGTCAACGAGTAGCCGCCATGACAGGTATGTAAAATAGGGTTACCAGTCTTTAACATTTTACCCAATTTACCACCATCAATATAATATATAGTTCTGTCACATGATATTCGATTTGCTAACACCACAAGGCATGTTCGACTGCTTGTATTTTTTGTAAGTCTACTTACACGAGGACAACAAATATTTTGTGATGTTTTGTTATGTATTATTTTTATAGTATCATGTCGAGTCTTTGTATTCAGTTGACTTTAATTCTATATTTAATTTTCATGTCCTTGCTATTTGTTTTTAATATATAATAAAATAAACAAGGGGCCGAGCTGTACTCTATTTTGTACTAACAATTAGTACTTCAATTTTCCTTTAGAAGCGAATGATTGTACCTTAAACGTAAGTAGGGACATTATTGAGAAGAAATAGGCTAAGAAATACCTAGACTATCAAATAAAGCTTTTTTTCATGTTTCAGGTATATCTGAAAAAACCGTCAGCACCATTACCAAAGAAGGCGAGTCATCTCAAAAAAAATCTACGCCAAGAAAGAAACGCGTGCAAGAAAAGAAAATTATACTAGATGATTTTGATCTGTGTGCAGTTCGAAATAAAATACATGAAATGTATACCGTCAAAAAGGAGGTACCGACTTTGGGAAAACTCTTAGCAGAGTTAAAAACTGACATAAATTTTCGTGGAGGTCGTACTACATTGTGGGAAATTATCCGACAAATTGGATTTCGATTTAAAAAATGTGGGTCAAAAAGGAAGTTACTTATGGAAAAGCCTGATATTGTAGCTTGGAGATACAGATACTTAACTATTTTGAAACAACATCGCGATGAAGGTAGGCCTGTTGTATTCTTGGACGAGACTTATATTCACGCGTCTTACACAGTGAATAAATGCTGGCAAATAGAAAATGAAGGTGTCCTAAAAAACGATTCTGCTGGTGCACGATGAATAATTGTTCATGCGGGTGGTGAAATGGGGTTTATACCAAAAGCTTTATTAATTTTTAAATCCCAGTCGAAATCAGGTGACTACCATGATGACATGAACAAAACAAATTTCATGAAATGGCTTCAGGAAAAACTAATTCCTAACTTGCCGGCTAATAGTTTAGTGGTTATGGATAATGCCCCTTATCACACGGTAAAGTTAAACAAGGCACCAACATTAAGCTCTACCAAAGCAGAAATGTAAAACTGGATCATAAATAAGGGGTTATCGTATCTACCTACAATGGTAAAAGCTCAACTTTATAAAATTATAAAAGAACATAAAGAAGCTCCAATATATGAAGCCGATCAAATGCTTCAAGCTCATGGCCACAAAGTGGCTAGATTACCGCCGTATCACTGCGAGTTAAACGCAATTGAATTTATGTGGAGTCTTGTCAAAAGGCGAGTAGCAAATAAAAACGTAGGACAAGAAACAAACAATATAGTTAATATAGCTGAAGAAGCTTTTCAAAGTATCACTGCAGAAGACTGGCAAAAACAATGCGAACATGTGCGCCACATTGAAGACAAGCTTCGTGAAAGAGATGTGTGTATGGACGCTGAAATGGACAGGTTCATAATAGAATTAAATAATGAGTCTGATACAGAATCTGACAGCAGTTCCGAAGATTCATCTGATAGTGATTATTCATCATTGGCAATCCACATGGATCATGCTTATTCAAAATAAAAAAATATATTTATAATTCAAATGGCTGTTTATAATTTATATTTAATAATTAATATATCACGCTCATGTAATTTACGAATTTTTACTTTTGTATATCAAATAGAACAAAATTTAAACTTTGCTAAACTAATTTTCGTACAACCGAACTGATTTTTTAAAAAGAAAAATTTAAATGCGTTCATCCATCCTGGAAACAAAAGATTTTATTATAAACATTACAATGTTATTGTGTAAGAAAAAATAGGCATAGATATTATTAATAATAGTTTAATAATAACTGCATATAAAAAATTTAACATTTCGTATAAAGGAGTCATATGAGCTAAATATGGCAACATAACGCTCACATTGGCCAACATAAGAGCTAGAGGTAAAATAACTGTGAAGGCACAGTAGTACCGTTTATGTACAGAGGATAAAACTAATATTAGAGAAACCAAGGGACATTCATTTTAGCAAAATAAAAAAATAAACCTTTCTTGAAGTTAAGGTTTCAATTAGAAAAACTAAGACTTAAAAAATTATTGATAACTCAAAAATGGTAATTTTTTTTATTATCATATTACGAAGTTACAATAATTATTAACGAAATTATTTTTCTATTACAGGAATCCCTGTCAAATAATCCATAGGTTGCAAGCCTTTTTTAGTAAAACCCCTTTGTTTGTAAAATATTTTGTTTTACTCTGTTTTGTTCATTTAACCATTAAAAATTTTCATTATAGTTAGCTTGCATTGATTGCACAAAATAAAGACTATTTACAATGTCATACATATAGTTTACTTGATCTAATTCTGTTTCATATTTATTGTTATTTTATATTAAAAAAATACAAAACAGAAAAGGTTTATGATGTCTGAATTGTCAAAGAATGATAGCTGTCATATTTCCGTCGAATTAAAAATCAGACTATAAAGGCGTGTCCAAACATAGCGCGGCAATCGTGAGCGGCATGCCGCGCGCGATTTCCGCGCTGTGTTTGGACGGCCGCCGCGCACGAATGCCGCGTGTTGCTGCCGCGCGCGAACGAGGTTGCCGCGCGCGTAGTGTTCGTTCGTCAGTGAAGGTGTGTGGACGTAAACGATGGATAACGAAACGGCAATTCGACTTATTGAAATATATGGTTCATTTAATGCATTATGGGACACCAGGCGCAAAGAATATCATAACAATAATTTAAGAGAAGACATGTGGGATGAAATCGCAAAAAATTTCGAGCAACCGAAAGCAGTTCTAAAAACCAAAATGAAAAGTCTTTTAAGCTCATACAGAAGGGAGAGAAACAGAGAAAAAACGAGTAACATTACTGGTTCGGGTAAGTTTAATCTTTTATTTAATGATATTGATGAAATGACAATAAGTACTCCTACAGCAAACAATAACAAAATGAAGTACTTGTAACAAAAGATTCTATTCTACTTACATATAGGTATCTAAGTTAAATGTATACTGTGGTATATGTAGTTCTTGGAATTTACGTAACCGAGTGAGCTTTATTTGTGGTTACGTCGTGTACATGTATAATTGTGTAAGTGTGCGTGCCTGTCGGAGCCTAGGTGAGAGCGGTCAGGCGCATGCATTGCGCTCGCTCACATAATGATAGTAATATGGTTCGTACGCAGTTCGCACGTTTGTAATGCTCAACTAAGTATAGTACGTTTTTTCATGCACGACCCAAAATATAAATAAATATGGCAAACCGATTGAGTTTGACATTTCTTAGAGCGCAAAATCATTGAATGAATGTTTTTAATAAATCAATGAATTAGTGCAATTACGTAGATTGAATAATTTTCGAAATACGTATAATCATCATCGAAATATTTTGGTTAAAATATGTGACCGTTGTAAAATATGTTTAACGGTCTGATCAGCTGGTAAACTAGACTGATGGTCGTGAGTTTATACACACATGTTTAGGAAAGTATTTCTCACAAGCAGATGGATATAACAGAATTGACACTTTTATTGTTACAGATAGAAACAAGGCCTACAAGTCTAAATGGTTTGCCTACGAATCTTTCCACTTTTTGCATGATAGGGGTAATCCTATTGACACAGTGGTAAGTACGCTAATTTCATACATACATTCATGTATAACCATACTAATATTATAAATGCGAAAGTGTGTTTGTTGGTTTGTCCTTCAATCACGCCGCAACAGAGTTACGGATCGACGTGATTTTTTGCATAGGTATAGCTGAGGACCTGGAGAGTGACATAGGCTACTTTTTATCCCGGAAAATCAAAGAGTTCCCGAGGGATTTTAAAAAATAAATTCACGCGGACGAAGTCGCGGGCGTCATCTAGTTTCTCATAACGTAATTATTTAATATCTATCTTGCCAAATAATCGACCCGTTTGCCATAAAATGTTCTGCCAAAAAATTACGAATATCGGTTGGAGTGCCACCTATACATTCGTTCGGTGTTAAAGTAACTGATTCATTCATTGAGTTATTAGAGGTTGTTATTGAAGAGCTGTTTCGAAGAAAATTATGCAAGTGAACAGCAGCTAGAACTACCTTTTTAGCTGATGTTGGGTTTAACATAATTGCATTTCTCAGTACTCTAAATTTAGACGCCAAAATACCAAAAGCATTTTCAACTACTCTACGTGCTCTCGATAGTCTGTAGTTAAAAATCCGTTCTTTAGACCCTTTTGAATGAATTCCTGCAAAAGGTGTCAACATATATTTAGTTAAAGCAAAAGCTTGATCTCCTAATATGACATAGGGTACTTTTGTTGTGTAGGGTATATTTAAAATTTCTGGTGCTGGTACATTAAGTTGATTATTTTCTAACTTTCGGTACAATTCACAATGTTTAAAAACGCCTCCATCTGATATTCGACCTTGACTTCCAACGTTAACGTACATAAAATTGTAATTTGAGTCTACTAATGCTAAAAGTACAATACTAAAATATTTTTTATAATTGTAATACTCGGTGCCGCTTCTAAAAGGAGCCTGAATAGTTATATGTTTTCCGTCCAAAGCACCGATGACATGTGGGAAATTCCATTTTTCCTCGAATTCTTTAGAGACTATCTTCCAATCTTGTTCCGATACTGGTAACTGAAAAATATAAAGTTCACATTAAAAAAATGCGAAATTTATCTTAACACGGGTGGGGGTGGGTAACCTCAAAGAATCGCGTGGAAATCTAACTACGACATTCTACGACAGATATAAATGAAAACAGTCGGACATCATACGAAAGCATTTTAGTCCTAGCTGAAACGGAGACACTTCTTAAATCCCAAAGACTATACCTATATTCTACAAACACAACTAAAAATCGTTGTTTTGATTACAGGATTGTGGCTCATCGTCGCAGTCACATAATACAGAACAAGGAGCTACAGAACAAGGCGCTACAGAACAAGGCGCTACAGAACAAAGCGCTACAGAACAAGGCACTTCAGAACAAGGCGCTACAGAACAAAGCGCTACAGAACAAGGCACTTCAGAACTAAATATGACTAACATGAATACTGCATCTACGATTCCAACTAAAAGGAAGCCAACAAAGAGAACACACGAAGATCCGGAGTATGATGCCGAGAATAAAATGTTAGAAGATGCATTGGAAGAAATGCGAAAACAAAGCGATAACAGCAACGATTTATACGTTGCTTTTGGCATGCACGTAGCGGCAGAGTTGAGAAAATACGATCCCATAACCTTAGCAAGAGTAAAACATTCCATAAATACTATAATATTTGACGCTGATATGGCATGTATAAACCAACTCAATCAGTCTACAATTCAAGAAAACGATGAAAGAAGACCAGGTTATTTTACTACACGTTATACCGATATCTCCAATACGGCATCCTCTAGTGACTCTAGTATGGGATCCGGACTTACACAATTGATTAACGATTTGAATACTGAGAATAGTTTATAATTAAATAGTGATTGTTTCATTTTTATTGTCTGCACATTAAACATGCACATATTTATGATTGATTAAAAACTTAATAAAAATAATGTAAGTAATAAAGTTGTTCTTTTTTACCTTTATCACATCCTTCAGAGCTTTCACTAGGGCATCGCACACCTCTGGGACTATTTTTGAGATTGTTTGCTTTGACACGTGAAATATATATTGTAGACTAGTATATGAGTCTCCTGTGGCCAAATATCGCAAAGTTATTGCGAGTCTCTCTTTCGTCGTTATTGCTACACGCCAGTGTGTATCAGTTTTTTTAATAAATGGTTCCACCAGTGTATGTATATGTTCAAATTCTTCCAAGGTCAATCTTAAAAACTGTGTTGTTCGATAGTGGATTTCATAATTAATCACTTTCAAATTCTTTACCCTCTGTTGGAAAAGTGGTCGTATCCAGCATTGCCTTGTTTTTTTCAGTCTCTTCCTTCTGCGTAATTTTCGAATAATAAGTAGAGCTACAACACACGCGGCCGCTTTCATTTTGGATCGAATGCAAACTGAGAGCACAGCGTGTCTAGGACATGCCGCGCAGTATTGCCGCGCACACATTTCTGGGATGTCTACACTAGTCGCGCATCAGAGCTGTGTCTCGCGATTGCCGCGTGTTGCTGCCGCGCACTCGCAGCGCTATGTTTGGACACGCCTTTAGGGTTCATACGCACTATGCGGGTAGCCGCATTGCGGCTAGCCGTCCGGCTGAACGCAAGCACAATTATGTACGTAATATTCATTTCTATGCGCACTGCGATGCGGCTACCCGCAGACCGCTCCGGTCGCTCGGAGGGCTGCGGCCCAAGTGACGGCCAGCCGGACGGTTGCTATACGCACTGTGCGGTTCAGTCTGCGGCTGCCCGCCATTGAGTGAGTGTGTGCACGTGGTACGTCTGGTAAAATGGAATTCGATACCGAAAAATTTATCATCGAAATCCAGAGTCGGCCAGCAATTTGGAACACCAAATTACCAGAGTATTCTGATAGAATACTAAAACAAAGAGCATGGGAAGAGTTAGTGCATATTTATCACGGTACGGAATTGACAAACGAGGAAAAACAAAAACTAGGTAATTATCAAAATCATTTTATTTTTTAAATGTAATTATCCTGCCATTCTACCCTCCCTTCATGCATAAAATATTCTGCAAATAATTCTCGATATCCGAAAGCAGTTCTATTGTTTTTTCGCACGTTATCTCGAGTAACAGTTTCAGTTAGTGGATTACTTAATGAGTCTCTAAAAGAATATCCGTCTCTGTCTCTTACAAAGTTGTGTAAAATGCAAGCAGACTTAATAATATCACTAACAAATCGATGTGAACATTAATTGGTCTGTGAAAAATGCGCCACTTATTCGCAAGTACGCCAAAAGTACATTCAATGTAACGTCTAGCCACACAAAGTCTATAATTGCTCTCACACAAAGTCTATAATCCATTCTACGTGACATTGGCGAAGTAATATTTACTCAACTGGCACGTTTTGAAGCCATTAACAAGTAAATTGAATTAAATTGAACTCATAAATCATGATAAGGATATACCGTATGTATGTAGTGTTGCTCAAAATTTTAACAAATCAGACAAAATTCTAACGTCACCGCTACTACTTTTAAAGGGTTCATTTACTAAAACGTAAGTTAGTAAATTCATGTGTTGTTTTTTTTTGAGATATGATTATCTTATATATAAAATTTCCATGTCACAATGTTTGTTACCGTACTCCTCCGAAACGGCTTTACCGATTCTTACCAAATTTTATATGCGTAGTCAGTAGGTCTGAGAATCGGCTTCTATCTATTTTTCATACCCCTAAGTGATAAGGATAAGGGTGGTCCTCCCAGACCCCACCCCAGGGACGAACCCGAGCGGAGCGAGGGTGAGTCGCTAGTTATAATAATATAATTTGCATTTTAAACACATAATCAGATAATAATTGATTTATATCGCTATTTTACTTTAGTGTGGCAGAAATTCCTCGGACGTTCAGGTAAGAGGATCATTAAGCTTACATATAGCTATTCTGTTATCTTTTAATGATTACTAAAATTAATATTTATTCTAGAAATTACCTTATAGATATATTCTAAAAACAAACATTATTGAACATCGAAATAATTAATTGTTGTATGAATGAAAAATGACTCATCTAGTAGAAAGTTATGATTGCTTTTAGTACATTTTTTGGTCTACGTCTATATTATTTTTAGAAAGGAATTTTTTCTTCTACTTGCTATATTTTTTACACTAGTTTACGTTTTAACACGTATATTTTTCCCACCAAAGCAACGTGGTACACTAATTCATTTCAATGCAACGAGATGCGAATTGTAAAATGCACGAGTAGGTACCTACTGAAAAAGACGGCGGCGAATGAGTTTTGAACGATGCGGGAATAACCTTTTTAATTCTAATATGTTTTCTTTTTGTAATATTTAAATTATTTCTCGGATAAGGGCGCATCATACTCGTACTTAAAGCAAATGCCTCGTCTCCTACAAAAACGAAGGGGAAACAAGTTGCATTGTTTCCTGAAATAGGTGCTGGTTCAGGAATGTTCAAGCGGTTCTCTGCAATTTTTTTATAAAAGTTTGAGTTTTGAAATATTGCTGAGTCACCGAATCTTCCATATGCTCCAACATCAATCATCACAAATTTGTAGCTGCTGTCACAAATTGCTAGCAATACCAAAGAAAAATATCCTTTATAATTGAAGCACATTGATCCACTATTGTTAGGTGCTATAATTCTAATATGTTTTCCGTCACAAGCACCTATACAGTTCGGAAAATGTGCTCTAGTAGAGAAACCATTTGCAATTTGAAGCCACATATCTTTGGTTGGTTGTGCTACACATACTTCTATATTTTTCTATATATAGCTGCACATACTTCTCGAACTATTTCGGCGATAGTACTAATTCCAATCTTAAACATATAATGCAATTCTGCGAATGAACAGCCTGACGCCAAATATCTGAATAAATGTTTTTTTTTTTAGGTTTGAGTATTCAAAAAAAATGGACAAATATTTGCGACTGTTTTGTGAAGGCCCATAAAGCGAAAGAGACTAAGAGCGGATCAGCGGCAAAAAAAAGACTTCATATGTTTTCTACGATAGTTTGTTATTTTTAAAAGATACTGTAACTGTCAATAGCACAACGGGGAATGTAACTACAGAAAATGAAGATGGTAACACAGCTATGCAAAATGAAGAAACACTTCCATCAAATACTTCATGGGCACCAAAGAGAAACAAGAAAAATAATAGTGATGATCTTATCGGTAGAGAGTTAGTCGGGGCCTTGAATAGAAATTTAGAAAGAAAGAGTGTTGAAGATGACGAGGATCGCCTCTTTTTCTTGTCTCTAGTAAAAGAATTTAAAAAAATTCCAGAACATATGCAATTGCAAAGTAAATTAGATATTTTAAAGGTAATTAAAGATGCGCAGATTTTCAATTATTCGAATTTTTATCCAAGGCCTAATTCTTACCGGGGATATCAAACGTCACATTATTCTGGTAATAGTCCCTATTCTCACCGTACAAACTTCTCGGAGGTTGGACGAGGGAATACCCATCATGGATATCAAACGGCACAGTATTCAGGAAGTAATGTCTACACGCAGCCTGTGCAGTCTTTGCAGTTTGGACGAGACACGTCTCAAGAAATTGTGAGGAATCCGACGAATGCACAATCGCCAATTTCCGAAAAATCTCAGGAGAGTGATTATATGGAACTTTTTAATTCCATCACTGACGATGATGCTTGAAATGTGTACCTACATTATTTTAATAAAAATTGAATTATACATATTTATTTTACTTACCGTAGCACTATTATTAACTTTGCTTCCGGTTTAATACTATTGCGAAATTGTGTGTCTTGCTTTGTTATAATTTTTTCTAAAATGTTCAATAATTCTTCAAACGTTTTTATGCTCATTCTAGTAAATCCGAAAAACTTATCTTCATATTTTTTTAGTTCTTCGAAAAATATTGCAAAATGCTTGCTCTCATCTCGTGTTTGCAAATAAGGATGCACCCAGTACTTCTTTCTTTGTTTTTTCTTCTTTACGTAACTTGTGTAAATGTAGTAAATAGCTGCAACTTCTTCCACGTCCATCTTTGAAATGGATCGACATGACCGCAAATCGCAACGGTTCTTCAACCGCACGTTGCGGTTGCGAATGCGGCTACCCGCGATCCGACTGGCCGCATTCGCAACCGCATCCTGCGGTCATCGCGCGGCTAGCCGCAATGCGGCTACCCGCATAGTGCGTATGAACCTTAAGTCATATTCGGATATACTAAAATCGTATATATCAGACAGATTATTTAGAATAAGGCATGAAGATGCCTACTCTGAAATTAAATGTATTATAGCTGTGGTGCCACAAGGAAGTGTATTTTGTCCGGTCCTGTACCTTTTATACACCAGTGATATCCCCGAATTAGAAAATAATACCATCGCGACCTTTGCTGATGACACTGCCATAATGGCGGTTGGAAATTCTCATGCAGAAGCAGCAGAAAAGGTTCAAACAGCGGTTAATAAAATCCATGACTGGACATTACAATGGAGAATAAAGTAAAATGAATCAAAATCGATTCATATAAACTTCACCAACAAAAAAGAAGACTACTAGTGAAAGGAAAAATAAGTTCATGAGAGAAGTTTCCAGAAGTTATAATATGAATAGGTAAGTAATGAACAGTTTTTAAATATTAGATTATGTATTTGTTAAAGTTTAGGGACAGAAAAAGTGATTTTAATTTCGATAATTTTCTAATCGGTAGCCATTTTTGACGCCACGCCCGCGGACTATCGTTTTAATTCCTTTTATTACTAATAATTAAAAACCTAATGTTAATAACTTGTTATATCACGTAGTTTATTAAGTATTGTATTATTGTTATAGAGCATTTAATTTCAAAATTACTTTATACAATTTATGTAACATAGAAATAAAAAACAAGAATGCTTAACAAGAAGAACGATGTGTTATCGATGTCTTAGGTTTCAACATCGACGTTTATGAACGATGTTTGAAAAAAATGGATGTCTTTTGCATCCCTATCCACCTCCGGGGGCGAGCGCACGCATCGGAACGGCAAATCCCGCGCTCCGATAGCGTTAACGGAGCGTCAAATACTAAAAAAAACTAAAAACCCAAAATTTGGGCTAATTTTGACGCAAAAACGGAAAAAGACGTTAAAAATTTTAGTTTTGTGCGTGAGGCTCCAAATCTGAAGCGACAACCTATATTTTTTTAATTAGTGCGTTCGAAAGTGCATAAAAAGACCTTTAAAACGATACCTCACACGGATTTTTTGGACTCCAGGAAGTGTGAGTTTTTAGCAAAAAAACCATTTCGACTAAATCTCTCTTTTCCAAACGGAGAGTGATAGAGAGACAAGATATACATTAAATGAAAGTGCAAAGTGACCCTTGACGGAAAAAAGTTTTCCTGTTTCCGTAACACAAAAATTAACGAAGATACAGAGCATCGAAAAATCCAAAAAAAAAATGCATAGGTTTGGACGCAAATAATAAAGGATCTTCAGTGACGACCTCCTGAAAAATTTATTTAAATTTGAAGCCTGATCATAGAAGAATCACTTTTATATAAAAGAAAACCCTGTGAAAATCCGACGAGAAGATATTAGCCAATATATAGTTTAAGGTAAAATATATATTAAAGATGTTAGAAAAAAATTATTTTAAAATCATTTGGCGTTACTTCCCATTGAAATATTAAAAATTTAGATAAAATAATAAGTTTTTATACATTACAAAATTTATTTAGCAATAAATTAATCTTTGGTAAATACTTTTTTGTATCAAAAATAAAAAAAAATCTTAAAATATTAATATATTCTATAATAAAGGTATAAAATTACATTCAACGAACAAAACTTGCTGAACCAATTGTAATGAAGTTTGATATAGAGAGGGATGGGACCTTGGAAAAGGACATCAAACCTGAATGGGCTTGAAAATTTATTTGTTATTATATTTTGTATGCTATATAGCATAGAGGTGATAACTGTATTGAACTAATACAACTTCTTAATCAGGACATAAAGAATTGAAATTGTTTTTCAAGCAACAGGTCAAACATAATAGCGGATCAAATCTGATCCTCAAATTAGCAATAGATCTTTTTGAGGATCGGACATCATTTTCAGCTGCATACGAAATAAGTCAAAATTTACTATAATTTTGTCCTACATATAGAGAAGTCGGACGGCTCCATTTTGTTAAATTATGAAACCAGCATGATGAATATAGTTGTGAGGACGTTTTAAAGTACACCAAGTTGCACTGTATCAATAAAATGTAATCAGTGCTTAAAACATGAAGAAATAATATAATTGCCCCCCGATTGCTTGCATTAGCGACATCGTGAATGGCAAGCTTGATATCGCCACACTTCCTGATTAGTGCATGATATCACGATGTAGATCTACACACTGCAAAGGACAACTTAAAACATTTATTTCAAAACTAGGTATGTATGTACAATTCGACATCATGATATCAAAAATAAAAAATATATATATATTTTAATTTTATTCGACAGGAAACATGGTTATTCTCGAAATTTTTAATGCTGGTGGAGAATGCTCAATAACATCAAAAGACTTGAAAGGATTTCGTAAATCCACTAGAATCAAAAAATAAATATAGGATTGTAGGAGCAGTTACACATGAAAATTTAGGAAGTGGTGGAAATTTTGTAGCCATGTGCTTGAGAGGAACGGAATGGTATAAATATAATATATGGTGGTAATATTAAAAACGCGCTCATTATGGCTGGAAGACAATTCAATGAAAATGAGAAAGTTTGTCTTCAGGAGTTAATTATAAAATATAAACTCAATTCGACGGCTACAACAAGTGGCGGAAGTGTTGCTTCGAAAAAGGTCGCTTGGATACGCGTAACGGAGGAGTTTAACTCCGTCGAAACAAACTCAAAAGTAAATAAATTTCACATTTAAATAGTTCCCCTCTTAATCGTCTTAACTTTCATGTAATAGTGCCATAGGTAGTGTGTAGGCCGTAACGGGACTTTAATAAAAGTAGTGGACTGTATATGAAGTACGTATAATCAAATTAGAGTTTGAGGAAGTGTCCGTAGTCCAGCGCGCAGGTAGGCGAAGTGGCGCGATCAGATGCGCTCGCGGTCGGGGAGGGTCCCACGCCCGCGCAGCTCATACGTCACGCGCCCGGTAAGAGGGAGACGCGCCGACATATTCCCCGGGTTGAAGAGATCTTCAAGATTCAATTGGAAGAGGGCAGATGCAGTTGAAGGCACGACGCACGGTACCCTTCTTCGTCTTCATCTCAGCTACTCACGTGACTCCGTCGACGCCGGGATAGGTCTTCGTGACCCGACCCAGGGACCAGAGCAACGGTGGTGTAGCTTTATCCTTGATGAGGACCAGGGATCCAGGCTTCACTTCTCCTCTGGAATCAAACCATTTCGATTTGGCCTGTAGTAATGAAATGTACTCATTATGGATCCTCCTCTCATAATAGGAAAACCCATCAGAGAGCTTCTAGGGTGGCAGCTCTGGCCATGCAGGAATCGTACAGACACTTTTATCGCAGTGAGCCTCCTTCAATTACTAACTCATCTCTCCCTTTAGACACACTTTTTTCTGACATTTCCTCCACGTGGGCTCAAGCCATATACTCAGTGGCTCAGTCTCCCTCTCCCCGACAAACCGTCAAAGTGGGAGCAGTAGAGATTGTCTTCGACGCAGATATCTGTTTCATCCAAGTATCTCCACGGACGTGTTATGTGGTCCCATACACCATGATCCTTTGTTTTTCTGATATGTGCGCATCGTGGTTCACGGTTGATTGTTATTGTTGGGTCCATCACAATAAATATCCCGGATATTCTCTCCATCATGAGTATAGAGAATGTATCCATCACATCCTTTCCTTATTGAATTCAACTCATCAGAAGGCTTACCTGTTACTGAAGATGTGGCCGTCCCTAGTGATAGGATCCATTTTGCGTGATCTGGAATCCTCACCTGGTTTCCTTTCCACTATCACGGCAGATCTCGATCTCCTTCTCCAAAACACAACCTTTTATCGTTTTGCCACTGGCACCTTAACAGGAACCACGCATGCCATGATGAGGTTGGAGCTTGCGGGGCTGTGGAAAGTAGCGGGTCACCCCATTGTCAACATGAATGCAAGCACGTTGAGTTGGAAGAGAAAAGGCACTGTAATGAAGCCCGGCCTTCAAACGGCAGCACGTAAGATAAACAACATGTTTAAAAAGGAGTTCTGCCGCCAATATTACAAAACACACAAACGATGGCCTCAGATAGAGATGTCACCCTTTGTCAATCCATCCATTAGCTCCTGTCACCAAGCAAATGAGTGGGGAGAAACCTCATCATACAAATGGGATCCCGAAGACTTTGAGGGGGTGACACTACAAAAAACCTTTGAATTCAATTATCACATAGACACAATCGACATAATCTCTGATAAAGCCATTATTCCCAAAAAGCCCGAATGGATATACGAATATGACAGCAAGGCGTTCCGAACCAACTACGGACGCTTCCCAGTAGGACCGGCCCCAACCACGAAAAGTGTTGTCATGCATTACCTAACCACTGAAGTTTTCAATTGTCGAGAGATCATTCAGTTAATCGACTCTGGAATCATCCCGTTAGATTGGAGGGTGATGGTAGCAGTACCCAAAGAGAGGGAGTTCAAAGAAGAAGACGCCCGATGTTACGGAAAGATGACACCAGAGATGAGAGCCTACCAGGTAGTCACCGAGAAGAATCTAGCAGATATCATATTTAGATATATCAAACATCAATCCATGACCCTCACAGAGGAACAACTGACTAAGACCCTCATAAGGATGAGCTGCCCTGGCGAGGAGCACGAATATGTGAATATCATCATAGACTTTTCCTCTTGGTGCACGCATTTCAGGGCCGAGTTGTTGGAGCCCCTTTTCAGAAGCTTAGATAACCTGTTTGGGTTCCAGAACGTCTATGGATTCACGCATCTTTTCCCTTTACTTTCAACACAACTTTGTGTAGGCCGTAACGGGACTTTAATAAAAGTAGTGGACTGTATATGAAGTACGTATAATCAAATTAGAGTTTGAGGAAGTGTCCGTAGTTCAGCGCGCAGGTAGGCGAAGTGGCGCGATCAGATGCGCTCGCGGTCGGGGAGGGTCCCCCGCCCGCGCAGCTCATATGTCACGCGCCCGGTAAGAGGGAGACGCGCCGACAGGTAGCCTGTATAATACCGCTGTAAGTTCGCCGTCCTTACAACCTATTACTAACTAGTATTTAAATTCTTTAGAAAATAATTATATTCGTTAGTGATGCAGTAAAATGTGCACCTATTATAGTCAATTATTGAGTTATAGAATTAGCGTATGAATTTAATGATTTTCTTTCTTTCAGAGAACTGAAATGCAACTTAAAAATGTCGGGATAATCTAAAAACTCGGCGTAAAGGTATGTTAGCCCTACAACAAAAAGAGAGAATGAGGACAGGGGTCTTTTAATCCTGATATACCAAGTACATCCCAATCCAGCCAGGAAATATAACTGGACAGCGCTTTTACTGAGCAGACAGATGTGGAGCTGATGTTTGCGATCGATAGTCACACCATATTTCGCACGATGGGACATCCCAGCCGCCGATCGGCTTGAAGGACAAATTAATTTAGGCTAGGTTCAGATGACAAGCGCTCAACGCGCGTTTTGTTAACGCGCGTTTACAACTACATACATTTTATTCAGGCCGTACACATGCTAACGCGCGTTTTAGTAACGCGCGCGTTCAACGCTGCGCCAGCGCTCGACTGTTGTCAGCGCGCGTCAACGCGCGTTAACGCGCGCTTTGAGATCATTGGTTTTCTATGTTTCCGTTCAGTTGAGCGCGCGCTTTCGACGCGGATAGACGTATTTTAGGGTTCGTCAAGTTCGTCCGGAAATCGTCCGAAATGGAAACCGAAGCTTTTAATACGGAATTATTAATTGATGAAATAGAGAAACGTCCGGCGATATGGGACATGACAAGTAGCGATTATTCAGATAAGAATTTGAGAAGACGGGCTTGGGAAGAACTCGTCCTCATATTTTGTGAAGGACATGACAATGAAGAAAAGAAGAAAATATTATGTGAGTATATATATTTATTTACATTTACAATCGGTTTGTGTTACAAGTTAAATATAACGATCCTGCCAATCTACTTTTCCTTCATTGATGAAATAGTTTGCTAAATGTACTCGAACATTATCCGCCTGTCGCACAGCGTTTGGTATAATGTGAGGCTAGATTTTCCAGGGGTGGCGTATAAAGTGTGTCTTCAAAATTGTAGCCATCCCTGATTCTGACATAATTATTTAGTGTACATATCGCTTTTACGATCTTTTCTGCAAAACCGATGTTAACATCTAACGGCCTGTGTAAAATGCGCCATTTATTGCACATTATGCCAAAAGTACATTCAACATACCGGCGTGCTAATGTCAAACGGTAATTAAATATTTTTTTAGCATAAGTTAGTGACCTTCCCGCATATGGACGCATTAAATTCTCCATCATGCCAAAAGCTTCATCAGCCACTATCACATATGGCAACGTTGTCGGTCTATTTTGTATTAACAATGCCTTTGGTTCAGGTAGATCTAATGACCTTTCTGTCAGCTTTTTGTACAATGAAGAATTCTTGAATATACCTGAGTCACTTTTTTTACCGTAGGCACCTATGTCAACCCACACAAAACAATAGTTTGCATCCGCTAGCGCCAATAAAACTAGCGAAAAATAATTTTTATAGTTATAATACATAGAACCCGTGTGTTCAGGCTGGATTAACCGTATATGTTTCCCGTCCAAGGCTCTCAAACAATTGGGAAACTTTGAGTTTTTTTCAAATATCGTGGATATTTCACACCACTTTTCTTTCGTTGGTTCACTCATAACAACGGGCCTTAATTTTTTCCAAATACATGTGGTATTATTTGACGACAAGTTTGGCTCATTTTGTAGTAACCCTACTTGCTGTGCCAGCGGTCGCGGGTTCAAGTCCAGCTGGGGGCATTCATTTGTGTGATGAGCGCGAATGTTTGTACTCTAGTCATGGGTGTTTATATTTATAATATGTATGTATTTAAAGTTATATATGTGTAGTGTATCAACTATCTGGTATCCATAACACAAGCCTCGTAGCTTACCATGGAACTAGATGGTGCTGTGTGTTAATGTCCCAACATATATTTATATTTATATATTTATTATAGTAGCCACAGTAGATTTGCCAATTCTATAGTCGTAGCTTAATGTCCCAAATGAACATCCAATGGCCAAATATCTGGAAAAAAACATAAACTATTACTAAATACTGTTTTTTTTTCAGCGTCATCCCTGCAAAAAAAGTGGAAGAGTTTACGGGATAATTATATGAGAGAGGTGAAGAAAATGAAGACTGTCAAATCTGGATCAGGAGCTTCCAAAACTTCGACATATATTCATTATAATAGACTACGATTTCTACAGGCATCAATTGCCAACAAAGATACAGAAAGTAGTTTCGATGCAGATAATGCATCAACTTCGTCAGAGGTTGCTGAAGTAGAAATAAGTTCTGGCTTTAAGAGTCCTAAATCTACTTCAAGAAAAAAACAAAAATGAAATCCTGCTGATGAAAGATTTGCAAACATATTAGAGCAGAGTTTAGCACAGAAAAATGTGTCGCATCCAAAAGAAGATGACGATGAAGACAAGCTGTTTTGGTTGTCACTCGTTAAAGAGATTAAAAAAATTCCGGAATATAGGCGACTTCAAACTAAAATTGCCATTTATAATTTAATTTTGCAAAACCAAAATGAATTTCAAGGACCACAACAACAGACATATGAAAATCAAAATTACCCGGTACCACAACGAAGAAATTATTTATCACAAGAGCAGCGTCATCAGTCATCAGCTTCTGTTAAAGGCTTTCGTTATCATGATTATAGATCACAGCAGTCTAGTGTGTCAAATAATTTTGCACATTATGGTTATACTACAACAATGGGGTCTCCATCGCCAGTCACACCTACTACATCGCCAGCACCAACTAATGTCAGCAATGAATCAGAGTTAGAGTTATTCTGCGAGTAACAAAATGTTATTTCTTCTTTAAAAAATTGTTCCTAAACAAGTTGATTTGATTTATTTGATTTATAGATTACGTTGATTATTAAAAAACTTACCTCAATGTAATTATGAGTTTTTCTTCCGGTGAAATGCTATATCGCACAGCGTTTTTATCTGCTACGAGTTCATCGTTTATGAGAGTCAGTAAGTCATCAAATGACTTTATGGACATTCTTAAGTAGTTAAAGAATTTGGGCTCAAATTGCCTTAACTTAGGATATAAAATAATGTACTGACTTTCAGTCAGCCTGGTTCACAAAATTGGGTGAACCCAATATCTCCGTCTTCTGTTGTGTCGTTTCTGCCGTCTGTATAAAATCACCGATAAAACTGTTTCTACGTCCATCTTCGACAAATGTAGAACTCAAACTGGCCGCGACAACGCGCGTTTAACACCTGACAAGCGCGCACCATGTGAACACTATACAAAAATTCAACGCGCGTTGAGCGCTTGTCATCTGAACCTAGCCTTACTCATAACTACAGGTAAATAATGTATTTAATTTTAAGCTCGTGTATTGTATAACTAGTTTCTTACGCCTGTGTTTTATTATAAGGCCGTAGCCATTAAGTTAGAAATCATTTTTACTTCGGGTTTTTTACCATTTCTATTTTATCTTATTCAGCAATTATTTACCTTTGTATTCCGTTCTTTGTAATGCCGACTATTTGTATCTAAGTTAATATTTAAAAGTTTATTATTTCCTGTATCTCTGTTCCCCTGTACCATTACTGTAATTGTTTTATTTCTTAATTTACTTGAATTGTTTTATTTCTTTCTGTTTTCGGGATTTACTTTTGTCTTTTTTTATGTTAGCCGACACTGACCGCTGTAGTATTTTTGATTTTTTAAAAGCTCCGATTTCTTGAGCAGTACACCCTCAACCACGGGCCGGGTTGATTCGCTTATACCACTCTTCATATTATTTATTTTACTTAATACACATCATATCATTCAGTCTACGAAGTTATCATTTACTCTCCGCGCAAACCATACACGTATGGCCCAGCCAGAGTGCCGACAGTTTTACAGGGTAATCTTTGAAAGTACTGATCCGATTCTAAAAACTGATTCTTGAAATCATAAAAGATCTGTCATCTTTATTTTATTATCTTAACTTCTGTTTGTATTCCAGAATCATTTGTAAGCCCTTTGACACAGCGACGTCGTAAAAACCCCATAGAATTACAAGAAGCAGGAAAACATATGAGAGATGCAATGATTACTTTAAATAAAGTTCTACAAAAACAAGAAGTGCCAGAAGATGATTGCGACCGATAGGGTAAAATCTTAGCTAACAAGTTAAGACCACTACTTGATTTGGAACGGATGCAATTAATGTGGGAAATCGATGGCTTGTACGTAAAAACAATTCAAAGGAAATTTCCTAATCATCAATTTTTTTCATCTCCTAGCCCTTCGCCTACATCATATTCAGCGTGTTCGGCATATTCAGAACCGATTATATCACAAAGAATAATTCCGCCCCGTTCTTCATCTTATTCTGAGACTTCGCCTATTTTAAATAATGTAGACGACACTCCAGTTATTCATATACCAGAATCAACTCAGCAAATACCGTCAAATTTAATTACTATTGCATCTAATGAAGTAGTTGCTCCTGCAAAACCTGCTACACACTCCGAAGATAATAATATTGTCAACAAAGCTTTTTTTGATGCGATGCGTAGATTTGATGTGTAAGTTAGTTTACACGTTCCTAATTAATGCAAAAAATTTTACGTCACAGTTTTAAGTTTTTAGGCCGCGGCCCCATGTCCACGGCGCGGCGCCGGCCGCCGTGTGACGTTGCGGCGCCGCCGCCGTAACACGGTACGTCGTGCCGCGGCACGGTGCCGCGGACGGCGTGCGCGGGCGGGGGCGAATTCTCAGTCGACATTTGGCAGTTGGTGTGCAAGCATGCGTGTTAATCAAAATGGTGGAAAATATCGATTTAGATTTCTTTATTTCGTTAGTGGAGGCACGTCCAGTGCTCTGGGATAAGACAAATGACAATTATAAGGACAAACATGTAAAAACAGAAGGATGGAAAGACGTTTGCCGAACCATTTTTAAATCATTTGATGACAAAGATATTAAAGAAAAAACTAAACTAGGTGAGTACTAACATTTATTTGTCTTTAATGTTTTAATGATAATCGAGTGCTACAGTAGTCTCATCGAGATATATTTTTATCGAGAAATAGAATAGAACACAATAACTACGAACTTTTCAGAAAAATTACGAAGGAACATCTTTTCAAACCACAAACTATAGTTATTCCGTATGTAGGTGAGTAGATAATATAAATACGTAAATTAAATATTTAATAAAATATAAATATTATGATATGTGAAGTTTAATATTCGTTAAAAGTTTATTATTCGTAAGAAGTTTAATGTTCGTTCGATCAAATAAACTGTATTGACAATGATTACGGGCCAACTTTTTGGAATGAATACACACGGGAGGACTGTAGACGGGATGCTTATCACGTGTTGTTTCGTGGGCCTGCGAAAAGAGTATCTACCGTTGGGAAGGGTGCGTTCGCACAAAGAATCATAACGTATACTGTACAAAATGATTTGAACGTTTTTACCTTAACTTCATCCAATGTGCGACAATATTGTATGCTAGAGTTAAAAACGACTGATCATCCTAAATTATTTATTCATGAAGTTAGTGCTGAAAACTGGTATTTTAGACAAGAGGAAATACCTGCTCTCGACATGGACATGTTCATGTATGTGAATACGAAATTCATGCATTTGGAGAAGGTTATGGCTAGTAATATGAAAACAATGTATCAAGAAATAGTCGCTAGAAGATGTGAACTTGAGAAAAAGATGCTCGAGACTCGTCTGTCTCTTGCTGCGATATCTCCATTGGAATTTGCCTATGAACATATGGGAAAGGCTGGATATACTGCCACCATTCTCGGTGAAGTAGTATACGTTATACAGTGTACGCCTGTCGAAGTTTCTGCTGCTAGTGTATCAGAATGCACTTCCGAGATGCCAGTGACATATAAAAATCAGACAATGTATATGAGAGCGCGTAGTAGAATACTACAATCTAGCGGAACTCCCGTTTCCTGTACTGGGGTTCTTAGGCCTCAGTACCGAATAAATGGACAGTGGTTTAGCACTACGCCAGCTCTACACTCATCTATTGGACCGAACGCCCTCGCGCCAGGGAGAGGATCGAACTGGTCATACACATCTCCAGGAAATCTTGCCTCTGCAGGGATCTACACCTCGAGACAAATGGAAGCTCTGCGAGAACAGATAATGTCTCCAATTGAACGAAAGATCAAGGGCGAGCGTTTCGCTGGTTTATTGAACTCAGAAACATTATCCACTGGTGGACTAGACTTACGATCCTTTGCAAATACGGATATAATTAAGGATGAGATATCCAAATTTTGGAATAAAACTTGGAACTTTGCGTCGAACTTTGGGACCATAAGCGCGGGAGTTATCGGGATTGCGTTCATTTTGAAGTTTATCAAGTTCATCATTGATACAATCATTCACGCTCTCTCTCTCCATGAGGTATATGGTTGCACTTGGCATATTCTAGGCGCGATCTGGGATGCGCTAACTACTTATTTATTAACGTCGAGACGTTACCGAAAGTCATCTTCAGCTCAAGCTGATGTATGTAATAGTGGAGAAAGAACAATGGAAGGGGATAAGTTCAAAGACGCACGAGGCGCGACAATGTCATCGCCACCTGGCACTAGTGATGGGGGGATGTCGATAGACCCCAGCAACGTTTTTAAAGTCGGCGTACGAGTGCCCCCGTTTTGGGCTGAAGAGCCGGAGATTTGGTTTGCCCAGGTCGAAGGGCAATTTAGTATAGCTGGAATAAATAGTGATGTGACAAAATTTAATTATGTTATCGGACATCTGGACAATCAATATTCTAGAGAGATAAAAGATATAATTATTAACCCACCCGCCACTAACAAGTATGAAAAATTGAAGACCGAGCTAATCAAGCGACTCACCGCGTCCAAAGAAAAGAAAATTAAACAGTTATTTATGCATGAGGAGCTTGGCGACCGCAAGCCATCTCAATTTCTTCGACACCTGAAAAGCCTGGCAGGCTCAAACGTTCCTGATGACTTCCTGAGGACGATATGGGTTAGTCGCCTCCCGCATAGCATCCAGACGGTGCTAGCAGGACAAGCAGGTACAACTTCTCTGGAGGATCTAGCTGACTTAGCCGATAGAGTGAATGACCTGGCAGCTTCAACTCCGAAGGTCGCCGCTGTGAGCGACGCCGTCCCTAGCTCGGTTCTGAATGAACTAACTAGGGAGATAGCTGAGCTTCGTCGACAGTTCCAGCAGATGTCAACTCGGAACAGCCGTTCACGCTCACGTTCCACCAGAAACACTCGCAGCAGTTCGAGGCAGCGCTCTCAATCGAACTACAGAAAGTTTCCCAATTGTTGGTACCACAACAAGTTCGGAGAAAGAGCCAACAAGTGTATCCGGCCGTGCGATTACAAGTCGGAAAACTCCAAGGGCGGTCGGTAATTGCGACTAACGATTGCCCTTTGCCTGCTTCTGGTCGCCTGTTTGTTACTGACCGATCTTCGAAGACGCAGTTCCTGGTCGACACAGGGAGCGACCTCTGCGTGTTCCCACGGTCAGCGCTTCATGATCGTCGTGCTCGTATGGACTATAGTTTGTGTGCTGCCAATGGTTCTAGTATAGCTACATATGGTTGTATAAATTTAGATTTAGATTTTGGTTTACGCAGAACTTTTCAATGGCGTTTCATTGTAGCCGATGTTACGAAGCCTATAATAGGCGTTGATTTTTTAAATTTTTATAACCTTATAGTTGATTGTCGTAACAAACGCCTAATTGATAATTTAACTTCAATTTCTACTATTGCTGCTGTAGTTTATTGTAATAATATTTCTTCTGTCAAGGTTGTGACTGGTGAGACTCGGTATCATAAAATCCTCAGCGAGTTTCCGGAAATTACTCGACCAGCTGGTAAGCCACACTTAACACCACACAAAACAGTACACCACATACGCACGACACCAGGCCCTCCAGTTTGCTCTCCACCTCGTCGTTTAGCACCGGACAAGCTCAAGATTGCCCAAAAAGAGTTCCAGTCTATGCTGGCCCTAGGTATAGCTAGACCTTCTGAGAGCCCATGGGCATCTCCTTTACACCTGGCGCCGAAGAAAAACAACGACTGGCGTCCTTGCGGCGATTACCGTAAGTTGAATTCCCGTACCGTGCCCGACAGGTATCCGATTAGGCATATCCACGACTTTACCCATAGTATAGCTGGATGTAAAGTCTTCAGCACGCTCGACTTAGAGAAAGCATATAATCAGATACCTGTCAGCGCGGAGGATATTCCTAAGACCGCAATCACAACACCATTTGGACTATTTGAATTTCCCTTCATGACATTCGGTCTTAGGAACGCGGGCCAAACTTTTCAGCGGTTTGTGGACGAAATGACGAGAGGACTAGACTTCGTATATTGTTACCTAGACGATTTTCTCGTGTTTTCTAGAAATCCTGAGGAGCACGAGGATCACCTACGTCGGGTCTTCGAAAGGCTGAAGGAATACGGCATGTTGGTGAACACTGCGAAATGCGTTTTTGGTATGGAGGAGGTAACGTTTCTAGGCTACCGGATTACCGAGAACGGTTCTAAACCACTTGATGCCAAAGTACAGGCGGTCAAGGAGTTTCCCCCTCCAACCAATGTTCGCCAGCTAAGAGGTTTCCTAGGCATGGTTAATTTTTATAGGAGATTCCTCCCTCACGCAGCCGAAATCCAAGCTCCACTTCACGCCTTACTGACAGGCTCCGTCAAAGGTTCGAACCCAATTACCTTAACTGGCGACACACTGGCTGCTTTCGAGGCTTGCAAAGAAAGCTTGGCCAACGCTGCTCTACTAGCTCATCCGGACTGCACCGCTAAACTTGCAGTTGTAACAGACGCCTCCGATAAGGCTATCGGGGCGGTACTGCAGCAATTTAAAGACGATGCGTGGCAGCCCTTAGCTTTTTTCTCAAGGAAATTGAGCCCTTCACAGGAGAAATACTCACCATATGATAGGGAGCTTCTAGCAATTTATGAGGCCATTAAATATTTTAGGCACATGCTAGAAGCTCGCCATTTTATAGTCTACACTGACCATAAGCCTATTAGTTTTGCCTTTAACGAAAGGAAAAACAACTGTTCGCCTAGGCAGTTTAGGCACCTAGATTTTATTTCTCAATTCACGACAGATATCCGCCACATTTCTGGTAAGGATAATGTGGTTGCAGATACCTTGTCGCGAATTGAAGAGCTAGCAGACCCAGTAGACCTCGAGAAACTAGCTCAAGCCCAGGCTTCTAACTCAGAACTCTGTAAGCTTTTGAGCGAAGGTTCTTCTCTGCAGCTCAAAAAATTCAATGTCCCTGGAAGCCAAATTCCCCTGTACTGCGACGTCAGTACTTCAGTTTCTAGGCCATACGTACCTGAACCACTTCGCAAGCAAATCTTTAACAGCTTGCATTCTTTAAGCCACCCCGGTGCAAATGCGTCGGCCAAGCTGATAGCCGAGCGGTTTGTATGGCCGGGCGTGAGAAAAGACTGTAGGGACTGGGCGCGTGCTTGTATACCGTGCCAAAGGACTAAAGTCAACCGTCACGTGACTTCTCCTCTCGGCACTTATAACTTACCGCGCGCCCGGTTCAAGCAGATCCATATTGACCTGGTGGGTCCACTTCCACCTTCTCAAGGTTATCGGTACTGCTTAACGGCCGTGGATAGATTTACACGGTGGCCAGAGGCAGTACCGATACAAGACATTACAGCGGAAACGGTTGCCAAGGCTTTGCTGTCCATTTGGATATCTCGGTTCGGTTGCCCGACAGACATTGTAACCGACCGTGGCCGCCAGTTCGAATCGGCCTTATTCCAATGTCTGTCGAAGATAGCCGGATTCGAACATAAGCGGACGACAGCCTACCAGCATGCAATGGCTTGGTTGAACGATTCCACCGTCAGCTGAAGGCGGCGATCGTCTGCCATGCAAACGATAGGTGGACGGAATCTTTGCCATGGGTCTTATTAGGCGTAAGATCTGCCTTTAAGGAAGACCTCCAAGCCTCTTCTGCGGAACTGCTGTATGGGGAGCCGCTAAGGTTACCCGGAGAATTCTTTGAGCCTACTATCAACGGTACTGTAGACACAGCTGAATTTACTGCAAGGCTCAGAAACTTCGCCGATAAATTGCGGCCGGTTCCAGCTTCCCGCCACTGCAAGCCCAAAGTGTTCGTGTATAAAGAGCTAGAAACTTGCGATCACGTTTTCCTTCGTGAAGACGCATCGCGAGGTGCTCTCCAGCCTGCTTATTCTGGGCCATATAAAGTTATCTCTCGAGGGGACAAGATATTTAAAATAGTCGTTAAAAACAAGGAAGTGACAGTGTCCATTGACCGCCTGAAACCGGCCTATATACTGTCCTCTGATACATCCACATCCCGACAGGACAATATTCCTCCTGTTAAGGAATGTCCCGTAAAAACA